TAAGAAAGGATTAAACTCCTCTAATAGTTATAGGAGTTTACTATTTATAAATAGCCCTAATCTTCTTAGGATCTATTCTTACTCTATCTACTCCTAAAATATAAACTAAGAATTTAGTCTCGGTTCGGTTAAACTTATATTTATAGATAGCTACTTAGAGCCTAGCTACTTATAATTAATAGATTATAGCGCGAATATATTTAATATACTTCTTAGGGTCCTCGCTAAAGATTAAGATATTATCTATAAATATAATAATAACTATATCTAAGAGATCCCTAAGTACCTAGTTAATATAATACTAGAAGGAGGTAGGTCTTCTATATAATCCGAATAGTATAATCTTATACTTAAAAGTCCTATATCGGATTATAAATATTATTAGATCCTCTAAGTCTGTTACTATTTAGAGTTAATAGAATCCCTATTATATATTAAGTTTAGTAAAGTATCTTATATAACTTAATTAGTCTATTATCTTATTAATAAGTAGTAAAGGATAGATATCCTTCTCTATAACTATATTTAGCTATCGGTAATCTATATAGAAATATAGTCTACTATCTATTTTCTTTACTATTAGGATTAGGGATACGAAAGGATATCTAGAAGGAATAATAAAGTCCTTCTATAAGTTCTTAAATAGGTACTTTCGAACTATCTTAAGCTCCTCCTAGTTTATTTTATAAAGAGAGTAGTAGCCCGGTCTTTATTCTCTATTAAGAAGGATCTTATAGTTAAATAGATTCTAATATAGTAGTAGGATATTAGACTTCTATTATAAGAAGAACTCCTATAAGTTATAGTAGATCTTAGGAATTTACTATTAAATAGACTCCTTCTCTATAACTACTTTATCCTCTAGAGCTAGTTCCGTAATTATTACGTTAATCTTATTAAGAGTAGTAATAAATACTTCGGTATCCTTAGCCTATATATAGCGTTTAAATCCTACTCGACTAATAAAAGCTCGAGCGGGACTAAGGAATATAATATTTAGATCTTCGCGAGATAGTTAAGAGAGTAGAACTATCTATTCTTTATTTATAGTAGTTACTAGGCTTAATACTTCGGAGGCCTATATATAGTCCTCTATAGGTTTCCTAGGATATTTCTATTCGGTATTATATATAGTTAAAATAATCCGAGATCTATTAATCTATTCCTACTCGATTAGTTACTCTATCTTCTGATTATAGGCTTTAGTATAAGCTTAGTATTTCTAATCTACTACTTACGGATATATTAATATAGATAAAGGAATCTTAAGGGTTAGTTTCCCGGCTATCTTATCTATTAGTATAACTTTAGTAGGCTACTAGATTTTATAATTTATATAGTCTAGTAATACTTAGTAACGCGCGAACTAGGCTCGCCTAATAATTATATAGTAATATCCTAAGTTAGTAATAAGGAACGGTATTTAATAAAATCGTTATCCGTCGATTTAGAGAGTTAGAATAATTATATAAGTAATAGCTTTCCCCTCCTTTCCTATTATATCCTTCTATTTTTACTAACTAGGATAAGGATATCTATAGAATATTCTAAATATCTCGGATAGTATAGGCTAATCCTTTATTAATAGCTATATAGGATATTACTTTAGTATTAAGTAAAGTAGTTATATAAGTTAACTAACTATTAGATATAAGTATAATTAGAAAAGTAAATTATTTATTATTTCCTAATACTATATATAAATCTAAAGATATAACTACTTTCGTAATACTTATATCTAGAAGAGAGATTTATTCTAGACTTAGGCTTTTCCTATCTTAGAGGATTTAGAGATCTCTTCTATATAGCTAGGGATAGGAACTAATACCTCCGCTACTAATATAGTATACTTCTTACTAGGATACTTTAAAGATATATATCTAGTCTATCTATATCTAAAGTATTAGTCTTCTTTTATATAGTAGATCCGGGTCTTATTATCTAGACTTTTAGTATTAGATACTAGAATTACCTTTATCTCGCGGGATATAGTACCTAATATTACTAGAGTTATAGAGATAGTCTTATTATTAGACTTCTTAGAGAAGTATATCTTAGATAATCTAGTCTAGTTAGTACTTTTATTATTAGTAGTCTAACTATATCGCTAAGTAGAGATCTAACTACTTAAGTAGAGGATATTATACTTCTTCCTAACTTTATAGCTAAACTCGGTAAAAGATATAAGAGACTTATTAATTAAGTCGATATTAATAATCTCTCGGAGTTAGGGAGTTAAATAGTTCTAGAGGATATACTTCTTCTAGTATTTACCTATAACTAGTTTACTAGTATTAAAAAGGTAAGAGAACTAAGATAGGAAGTCGCTAAATAACTATCTATCCTATATCTCTAACTTCTAGAAATCTTGTTTAGAATATATAGCTTTATTATAGTTACCGAAGATAGATCCGAGATACTTAAAGAGATTATTATAGTCCTAGTATTACTTAGAGACTATATCTATTATATACTAATTAATATTTTATTTAGCTATATCTTTATATTAAGTATAAGTATAGTCTAAGACTAAGAGATTAGTAAGATCTAGTCCTATACTATATAACTTACGCTCTATTACGATCTTCTAGTTTTCCTAAGTTATTTCCTTTCTATTAGTAAATAGGAGTAGATCGGGGATCTTAAATTTATATATAGTATATATAGAATCAGAACGGTCTATTATAGTAGTATCTATAGTAGCTTTACGCTATTTATATTAATTAGTAGGAGATATAGGATAGTTTATTACGATTTAGTCGGAGAGGGTAGGATTCTACTAGAAAGTAGCCTATAAAAGCTTAATAGTAGTAGCGTTAAGATTAGTACGCTCTTCGGACTTACGGAGTAGGGCCTTATTCGTTATCTTCTAGTTTATTAGTTTAACTATCTCGGTAGTAGCTACGCTAAGCTATCCGCGTTATTCCTCGATCTTATTATCGAGATAATATAGATAATCGACTATTACTTACTATATATCCTATATTAAATTAAATATAAACCTAGATTTATCCTATACTAAGTCGATAAAATCCTTATAGCTAAATTTTCTATCGCGTAAATACTCTAGTATATTATCCGGTTAAGATATAATCTAAATAAAATATATATTATAGTTCTTATAGGGAAGATTATTAGATCTAGCTAGAGAGCTCTATCGATATACTCTATATAACTCTCCCTAAGTAGATTCTTTATTAATACCTAGATATACTATATTAATAGATACTACTATATCTATTATTTAAAGGATAAAGAAAAAATAAAGAGAGATAATATATAAAGACTTAATAACTTATAATAAGTATTAGTCTATTATATATAGATAAGAGAATATAGTAGATCTTAGTTTTATATAACTCCTAGGTAGTATAGCTATATAAATCTATATATAGAAGGAAGAAGGTAAAGTAACTATATCCTATATAATAAAGAAACTAAGATAAAAGGGAAAAAGGAAAGGAAGAAATAAGAAGGATAAAGTACTATCTTAAATACTCGATATAGGCGGACTATAGGAAAGCGGTAGAATCTTTATAGAAAGTCCTAGATAGGAGATTCCCTTATAGAAGTTAATAGAAAGATAAATAATCCTTAGGCTCTAGCGTATATATATATAAGACTCTAACTATTAATAACGCGTAGATATCTATCCGATCTTATAAACGTAAATATCGGTTATATAATCTCCTCCTCGATCCTCTAAGTCTATCTCCGTTAACTAGCTAACCGATTTACTAGTTAACCCTAACTTACTAGTCTACCGACTAACTAGTTAGTAAACTTACTAGTTTACTATAGCTAACTAGTTAACTCCTCTATATAGCTCTACTCTCTAAGTTCGTCTGCGAACTAGTTAACTAACCTACTAGTTAACTATTCACTTTCGCCTATACGTTATAGGGTTAGCTATACGCCGAAGCTACGTATATAGTATATTAAATCGGTTATTTTGTAATTTAGTGCTTAGGTAGTATAGGAAGTATTAAAACCTTACTCTTTATACGCTAAACAGGGCTTATAACCTAATAGGATATAGCTACTGTAGGGGCAGTAGTATCGATGTGTGAGAGGGATGAGGAGTGAGATTGCTGACGGTGAGAGATTCTACCTAAGCTATGGACTGCGGTGGTGCGGCAGTATCACATACCATACAAACAGTAGTATATTCTAAGAATATACTACAAAATTTTAGGTATTTTATACCTACGTCGGTATTCCTCATTAGGTATAGAAATTTTCATGGGTACGAAAATTCACAAATGGGTACCTATAGGTAGGGCCTTTTCCGCCATGGGGGCTATATTCCCACCTCTAAGGCGCACTAACGCGGAATGCGTGAGGCTCGAGGCATACGTGATCTCGTACGTAACCCCCATTAGCTAGTATTTATTAGCTCTTAGACTACCGTAGCCTTAAATGAATCTCTCTTTTGCCTCACGTCATCCAATAATATCTGTCTGGCTGGGAGGGTTTCAGTAGGTCGAAAGTTACCTTACCTAACGATACCTCATGGATCATGCTGCCATGTCTGATACCGGTCCTTACATATATGAAAGTGACTTGACATGTAGTACAAATGGAGAGAGACCGTACGCAAAAGCTCCAGTCCTCTGGGTGTGATTCTTTTGGCAAAGTCATGGCCACTCCTGGTGGTCTGTTGAAGCGGTGTTCGGTTCCCAGGACTTCTATCGGCCACCTCTGGCCTACTGGGTTGCACAGGATGATGTAGCTTCAAGCCTTTTGTCATGGCAAAAGGACGTGAGTCAAGCTACAGCACAAAGACAGCAGCATGGCCATCGACTAAAATCATGTCTTCCAATCATTCACAAAATGAAGGAACTCCGAGTTGTGTGCCCTTAGGATAGCATAACCTTCTTAGAGGCATGACAGTGTAGTAATACTCTATGGATGCTGGAAGTCAACGCAAATCCCACGAACAGACGGAATTGCTAAAAGAGTCCTGCCGTAATAACTGTGAGATCTCTCGTCCTTCCTACTTAGACCCGAGTCAAAAAGTACAGATAGGCAGTCTGTTTCATGTCATCAACCTTGTCGCACTCCACCACCTTCTCATCGTTGAAAAGTACCCACGACGGGGACTGGCCGCTTGCCCTTGTCTTACGAATGAACGCCACATAGTGACTAGGAAGGTCAGAAATTGAAGACTCCAGAAAAGAAACTAAATTAGGGGGAAACTTACCCAGCGTGAACAGAGGTACCTTTGTGGCACACGATCGACCGAAGTTGATACCTAGCAGGCACAGTGCCGTAGCCGACAGGCTCAGAGGTCTGCGCTACCTCGGCATTTCCATCGTTTCCAATGGCCTCATCCCCGTCATCAGGATGAGTGAACACCCAGTCGACGGCTCGCTCAACATCCCCGTTTGTTGCAGCAAGGGCTTTCTGCGCACGAGATGGTTCAATACCCATCTCGCCAAGCTGAGCGATCTTAGACTCGTCCTGACCGGCAGAGCGATGCGAGCCAGACTTTTGGTCAAGCACCATTGGCTCGTCAATGTCCGAATCCTCCATATGAGAGAACAGCCAAGTCATCGCAGCTTCTGCATCAGAGTTGCCGGTTGCGTGCAAGGCCTTCTCACACCGAGTTACAGGGAATCCCATTGCCAGCAGCTGGTTCAAGGCCTCTGAATTCGGCGAAAAGGAAACGACTTCCTGAACTTCTGGCAGAAGCTCCTCATTTGGATCATGTTTCCCGGCCAGATACGAGGCCATATCAATTGGATCATCACTGACAATAACCGGAATGTCAAGCTTCGTTGGTACCCAATTCACCAACTCGAAGCGCCGCGCATTGACAGCCAGCTCTTGGGGAAGAGTTTTGAACTTGGTCTGTTTCGAGAAACCTGCAGCGCTTTGGCACGCTGGACACGTAAGCTCAACGACTTCTTTGGCAGTGAAGATGTCCAAACACTCGGAGAATTGTACTGCCTCAAACTTGCCCTCCACTTCGGCAATGCGGCGAGCGGGGACTGCAATTGAAATATTGTCCTGAACATCGACCTTGTATCGAACTTTCTCGCAAACAAGGCACTGCAGGCGCTGTTCAACCTGGAATCGGAACTTCTCGACGGGATTGGCTCGGCCATCAAGGTGCTTCGAAAGACTGACGTTTTTAAAAAGATGCAGCAGAAACTCGAATGCATCTTGTTGCCGCATTGTCTTGAACTCCGGATGTCCTTGTCCAATAAGATGCTTGAACATAGCTGGTAAAAGTCCCTTCTGATGGATGGGTGAGCTCGCTTCTGACGACGCCATGGACATGGCGACCCGTGAGTCTGGTCGGGAATAACGCCCCGAGAGTAGGCCATCCGCGAGCTTTCTCATTTGAGTTTCAAGATCCTGCGCTGGCGTCTGGCAATGCGGTGATTGTCCGTTGGGGTCGTAGTAACGACTCTGGAAGGCTGGCGTGGAAAAAATACACTGCATCACACTGGAAAGATAGCAGCTATTTCCAAGATTGGCCAATCCAGTCAAGCCCGGCCCGTAGATTGGTAATAGCTCACGCCCATCTTCGGAGGTCATGGAGAACTCCCATTGCATATTATGCTCGACCTGCATTTCCATTAGGCTTTTCTCTGTCTTGGTGCGTCCAGCCAAGTGAATGCCCCAATGAGCAAGGTGATTGGCCAGCTCGGGATCTGTACGTTCCTCATTACATCTGTAACAATAGATGTCGGCCGTCCCTTCCGCGGAGATCGATCCTAGCTTGACAGCAACAGCATGGGATGTAGAGTCAGCGTGAGCCAGAGCATGCGAATTCCCTCTTGCCCCTCCGTGTTGAGTACGTCCACACGCAATGTTTCCACATTCGAGGCAGATCCACAGATTTTCCTTCAGATCGCATGCTGAGCATTGATTCAAGTCTGAGATTCCAGATAGATCAGTACTGCACCTTCCTGCAATGACCAAAATCAGGTTTGGACAGTGGTACCTTTGGTTCCTGCATCGCCCATGTCTGCTTGGACAAGGCATAATGTATGCTCACAGGGCACAAATTCTTGCTCCCACGCCTTGACTTCCTCCCGCTTGGTGAAAGACATTGCATTCATGACTCCGTCAATTACGACAGGAATATTTCCCGTATTCTTATCGACGTTCTCGCTAGGACATGCGTAGCAAATGACAGACGTCGCAACGTTGTATCGATCTTCATCTGTTTCGGCGGCAATGGCGAGCTTGGACACTTTTTGGGGGGGCTCGTCACGCTACATCAAGGCGGGCGTTAGTCGACAACAACTCTTCACACATGCAGGACGAGGAGGAAAATGAGAATATGGGGTCCTGTACTTGTACTTTCTTCGGAGTCCGTCGAATATTCAAAGCCAGCGCATGGCCGTAGCGCTGAAAGTGGAGCAGACCATGGTTTCTGTCTCCAGCGCAGCCTCCATTGAAGCAATGAAGGCACACATTCAGACCAGCCTCATCATCCTAAGAATATGACCAACGTTAGCCAATTTATTGCAACTATTGCCCTCGACCACGTGATGGCGTACAATAGAGTCGAAGCACTGAGTGCAATCTTCGCGGTAGACGTCTTGAGTAGGACCAGGAGGTCTCAAGTCTGTACCCTGCAATTAGCAGACTGCATGCGAGCAAAGTCTCGCACTCTCCCTCCTCACCAACCTGTAGCTCCGGCATGAACACAGGCCATGTCTAAGATCAACGATCAGGACAGCCTAGTCTCTCGAGGAATCTGTGATCTAGGAGACAGTAGCTGTTGACTGTAAATAGGCGTGAAATTGGCCTTGGTCACGATCGCAAGCTTCTGACTAGCCAGAAGTTTATGAGAAATTTGAAATTTCCAGAGCTAAGCGCTGGCAAGATAAATGATCAGCAACAGCTTAGCATCGGCTGCCCGCCAGGCGTGGGGCATAGACTTACATAATTGACAATGACGTGGGGTGTCCCGGCGAGGCTGCCTCTCCTGCCTTCTAGAAATGCCGATCCTCAGGCGCCAAGGCTCTCTTGACTGACAAGCAGCCAGCTTCCGAAGTCAACCTTGAGGCGCGGGACAGAACGCCAGGCAGCAATGGAGTCAGGTGACCACCCACTTAACGCGTTATTTTTTGGCTTTGTTCGGCACGCGTCGCGCATCAACCACTTTACGCCCACTGCTTCTCAACACAGTGTGCCAGAGTGGTCAGAGTTCCAGGCTGCTCAAGTTGTTTATCGATCGAGCAACAAGAACGATCCATTGACTCATCCTATTCCGAGGCCTCTCTAGAGCATCTACTCAGCTCAGCACGGCACCGGCACAATTGCAACACGATGGCTTCTGACGCAGCGTCACAGATCACGGTGGGGGCTCTTAGGTTCGTATACTGATCAATGCTTCTTGGTCAACGTAAAGATTGTTGCATTGGTCATAAACTGATAATGATTTTCTGGCAGCGCGATCTTTGACGATACCAAGCCGCAGGTTCGCGAGCCGATCGTTCAATGTGTACAAGTGAAGCCTCTCCCACCACAGGCCACCCATCCCGAACGCTATCGAGCCGTCTTCAGCGACATTGCCAACTATGTCCAGACTATGCTTGCCACACGTGAGTTTCAATTTTCTAAACTCAAGACCCGGAGAGATCGAAGTGTCTTGCTGACAAGTAACGCCTAGAAGCCAACCATCTAGTCACGGAAGGAAGCCTTCGAAAAGGATGTTTCGTGCGTCTGAAGTCTTTCCAAGCGAACTCCGTCAAGGGCAAGAGGTAAGATTCGGTGTTCTATATGATCGAGACAGATGACTAATGGCTTGAGCCTGATTCTAGAATTCTCATTATCATGGAACTTGAGGTTTTGAAAGAGTTGGGTGAATCCGAAAAAATTGGAGAGCCAAAGCCCTTGGAGGTCAAGGCGGAGGAAGAGGAGAAACCCCAAGCCACGACAATTTCAAGCAGTGGTTTCTACGGGTCAAAGCCGACTGGTGCGCCGTCGCAACAACAGAGTCGCGCCCAACCCGCCCGTGGGCCTACATCCTCTGCTCACGCGACGATCTATCCTATTGAAGCAATCTCTCCTTACTCAAACAAATGGACAATCAAGGCACGTTGCACAAGCAAGTCAAGTATCAAGACTTGGCACAACAAAAACGGGGAAGGCAAATTGTTCAGTGTCAACCTCCTCGATGACAGCGGCGAGATTCGCGCCACCGGCTTCAATGACCAGTGCGACATGCTCTACGATCTGTTCCAGGAAGGCGGAGTGTACTACATTTCCAGCCCTTGCCGTGTTCAAATCGCAAAGAAGCAGTTTTCGAACCTCAACAATGACTATGAACTCACGTTTGAGAGGGACACGTTGGTAGAGAAGGTAAAGTCCCTCCCACCAATAAGCAAGACTGTCGCTAATCATTCCACACAGGCTGAGGACCAAAGTGATGTGCCGCAGATTCGATTCAATTTTACCACAATTGGTGACTTGCAATCCGTCGAGAAAGATACTACAACCGACGTCATTGGTATCCTCAAAGATATTGGCGAAACCTCTCAGATCGTATCAAAGGGAACTGGGAAGCCCTACGACAAGCGAGAAATCAGTCTCGTCGACAACACGGGATACTCTGTTCGTCTCACCGTATGGGGTGCCGGTGCAGTCAACTTCAATGTAGCGCCAGAGTCCGTGGTTGCTTTCAAGGGAGTTAAAGTGTCTGACTTTGGCGGACGCAGTTTGAGCTTGCTGAGTTCAGGATCAATGACAGTTGATCCCGACATCGCGGAGGCTCATCGATTGAAGGGCTGGTACGACGCGCAGGGCAGGACAGAGAACTTCACCTCTCATGCATCCCTGTCGGGCGCCACCAACTCTAACATGAAAGCCGATTCCTTCAAGACCATTGCGCAGGTCCGCGATGAACAGCTGGGTATGTCAGATCAGGTTGATTACTTTTCTTTGAAAGCCACGGTTGTCTTCATTCGCCAGGAGTCAACATGGTGCTACCCCGCCTGTCTCTCTGAAGGTTGTAACAAGAAGGTGACACAACTTGATGAGGGTCAATGGCGATGTGAGATGTGCGACAAGACGCACCCCCGCCCTGAATATCGCTACATCATGCCGATCAGTGTCAGCGATCACACCGGTCAACTCTGGCTCAGCTGCTTCGATGACACAGGACGCCTGATTATGGGCATGTCTGCTGACAATTTGATGCAATTGTGTGAGGACGATAATGAAGCGTTCCAGGCGGTTTTCCATGAAGCGAACTGTCGCACTTGGAGTTTCCGTTGTCGCGCCAAGATTGACAATTTCGGTGAACAACAACGGTAAGTAAACACCAGGTGCGGTCCAACCCATTCCAATTTGCTAACACAATTGTAGTGTCCGATACCAAGTCTCCTCCGCCAAGGCTATCAACTACTCCGAAGAGGCCACACGCTTGGCAGAGATCATCAACTCTTATAGTCTGAACTAGACTAAACGCTCTCGCATATTGGTTGGGTTAACTATGTCATGTACGGCTTGGTTCTGGGCCTTTTTTTTGTCATGGATGAATGTATGCGGTTTGGACGGAAACTTGTCAAAGTATGCTACTACTAGTACTATCACGAGACTGATTGGGACCTCTATTCAATTTCAGTTTCGCTGTTTGAAGAAAGTAGAATTTTCCTCCAATGCCAAGCTTGGCACCCGTTCGACTCGGCGTCTCTTCGTTCACCTTGTCCACCACGCACTTGAAATGAATCTGGTCTGTGTTGTGCTCTCAGGGCGCAGAATTATGCCAATCTAATTGGCATATACAGACTTTATTTCGCGCTCCTTGTACGTAGCGCGAAGTTGCCATTCTAGCAATAGTTACGTAGTTACCTACCTAGGTCGACCGCTTCTCGTTCTACGCCGTAATGGTCCCTGTTCCGTATCAGACTTATCGATACGTTGCGGCCCACCTTTGCTGGGGACCCTACCTTATCGTGCGCGAATCTGCGGAGATGGCCGATAAGGAAGTGGAGACTATCTGGCGGTGTGCAGGGGCAGTTCTTTTTTTTTCTCTAGTGAATTTTTTTCGCCGCGCCTGATCTTGATTTTGGATAAACGACATCGGAGTTGGAGCCTGCAATTTTCGTGTCGGGAATTATACATCATGGCTAAGAGAAGCGCCGACCTAACAGAGCTGCGGCCCTCAAAGAAGTCCAAGTCAGACGAGGAGTCCTCAATCAAGAAGGAGAAGAGAGACAAGAAGGACAAGAAGGAGAAGAAAGAAAAGAAGGAGAAGAAGGAGAAGCAAGAGAAGAAGGAAAAGAAGGAGAAGAGCGAAAAGAAGGAGAAGAGCGAAAAGAAGGAGGAGAAGGAGAAAAGGAAGGAAAAGGAGAACGACGAGGACAGAGTGATCGCAACTTCCCCTTTGGAAGTAAAGGGTTACATGCAGGCTTCGGCCCTGACTGATCTGCCTCAGTCCCAGATCGATCAGTTCCTGGAGGAAAAGGTCATCAAGATCACAGATTCAGCCACAGATGCACCTCCTCAACTTCGCCCAATCATTTCCTTCGACTACCTTCCCCCTTGTGGGAACAACCTTTACGCGCCCTTGAAAGCATTCCCTGCTCCCTCGCCTATTCAGGCCGCTACCTGGCCGCTGCTCTTGTCCGGTCGCGATGTCATTGGTATTGCAGAGACCGGCAGTGGTAAAACCTTGGGTTTCGGCCTTCCGTGTCTAAAGAAACTGCTGGACTCCAAGCGTAGCCGCGCGCCGTACCAACCAGCCGCTGTGATCATTTCTCCAACGCGTGAGCTTGCTATGCAAATTTACGACCAGCTCGTCAAGTTCTCTGATGTTGCCAACGCTGATGTAACGTGCATCTTCGGTGGTGTGGGCAAGGATGAACAGCGGGTGGCACTGAGGACGGCTGCAATTGTGGTCGCCACTCCTGGCCGTCTGAAGGATCTTCAGAATGACGAGTCTGTCGATCTGAGCAAGGTCAACTACCTTGTCTTGGACGAGGCTGATCGTATGCTGGATAAGGGATTTGAGCAGGATATCAAGGACATCATCGCGCCTATGCCAGTCTCCGAGAGACAGACAGTCATGTTCACAGCCACTTGGCCCAAGTCGGTCCGTGAACTTGCTGCTACCTTCATGAACTCTCCCGTGACCGTGACAATTGGTGGTGACCCTTCTGCAGATCCTCGTGCCAACACTCGCATCAAGCAAGAGGTCGAGGTCCTCGACGGTCGCGAGAAGGAGAACCGTCTCATTCAGCTGCTGAACCGATCACAAAGAGGTCAAAGCCCCGAGAAGGTTCTGGTCTTCTGTCTCTACAAGAAAGAGGCTATGCGCATTGAGGGTCTTATCAAGAGGAAGGGATTCCGTGTTGCCGGAATTCACGGCGACCTGAACCAGTCGGACCGATTCCGCAACCTTGAGGCGTTCAAGAGCGGATCCGCGACCGTTTTGGTTGCCACCGATGTGGCTGCTAGAGGTCTTGATATCCCCGCCGTGAAGTTGGTCATTAACGTTACTTTCCCTCTCACGGTGGAAGACTACGTTCACCGAATCGGCCGAACTGGCCGAGCTGGTGCAGAGGGTCACGCTGTTACCCTTTTCACTGAACAAGACAAGGCACTTTCTGGCGGGTGAGTATTTTTCTTTTTTTCAATTTGTGGCGCCAATGTGATTATGTGCTAATTATGTAAAATCAGTCTGATCAACGTCCTAAAGGCTGCGAAGCAAGAGGTCCCCGAGGCTTTGCTCAAGTTCGGTACTACTGTTAAGAAGAAGCAGCACGACGCCTACGGTGCCTTCTACAAGGATATTGGCACCGACAAGAAGGCCACAAAAATCACATTTGATTAGGGTGAAGAGATGTGAGATGTACACAGAATCTAATCTTAGGATTCAGTCTGATTTTGTCCTTTTTGAGCGTGCGGAAAGAGCTTGTCGCAGCTCCGTGATTTGTTGCATTACATATCGCCTCTCCAGGAAAAGCCTGTCAAGTTGTTAGAAGTGTTTTCATATTCGTGTGACCGTCCGTCACAAGACCAGGCGACAGGGGAGGCTGAAACTTACACCAAAAGTCCATAGACACCACTGAATAGAATTGCCTGGATGATACCCCGATTTGATTGTTCAAAGCCCTGTCTCGCCACAAAAGTCGTGGCTGCGACTCCCGCAGCATAGCTTATCGGCTGCATTGAGATCTCAGTAGCATCAATTTCGTCACCTTGCTGGGCAAAGTATTTGCGAATGAAGTTACAACTCCACAGAGTACGCACGGCCATATTGACAATATTGGCCAAAACTAGTCCATACGCCCCCATAGAGCCTACTTCCAGGAACAGGAACGCCGCCAGAGCATAACAAGCAGAGAACGCGCCCATCCAGACTGTTTGGTTGCGGATCTGACTCGAGTCTGCAGCCGATGAGACAAAAGCTTCGGTGATGCCATTGAACGCCAGGAATGGAATATAATAGCAGTAGAGCGAGAGCAGATCTCCCACTTTCGTCGACGCCCACTGGGAGCCACCCAATGCACGAAGCACATACGGGATCGCCAGTGGGCCAAGCGGGAAGATGGCTAGAGATAGTAATTGATACGCGCGAAGCAATCCAATTAGGTGCTTCTTGGCCGCATGAACTTGGGACTTGTCGCATTTGCCTGTCTCGTCGGAGCTGAGGAGACTCGAGAAGAGGTTGCGGCTGCTTTCTTCCAGCGGCTGAAAAACGATACGGGCGACGAGTCCGCCGTAATTTGCTGCCAAGGAATAAATTCCTTGATCTTCCAAGGTAGACAGCGCAGCGAGCATCATGGCATCGCCTTGGGTCAGAAGATGCTTCACGACTGATTGGAGGAAGACGCTGGCTGCAATGGACATGAGAGGCCGTGGGAATCGACCGAAAATGTATTCGGAGGAGCTAGGAGAAAAAGTAAGTGCTTTTGAAACAGCAAGTGAGGGATTCCAGAAATAGACGCAGATGTCTTACCTAGTTTTGATCTTGGCAAGACGATATGTGAACGGCCTATTGTCACTGCCTCTTCCCACCATGGTCCAACAGTAACCACAGAGCAAGGCAAGCGAATAGCTGAGATGGCCCAATGCAAATGGAAGGGCACCAATGGGGACATTTGCGCGAGAAGCGTAAATGAAGGTCGAGCACGTGGTAAGACTACGAAGAAATGCTGCAGGCATTTCCACAGCAGCTCTCTTCTCATACCACATACGCTGCTGGATGACCGCGAAAAAGGGCTCAATAGCCAGCTCGAGTAAAGACGCAAACCCTGTGATCACCACACTGTGTTGGAAATAGGGGGTGAATGCAGCCTGGACTGGCGCATAATACCGGTATAACGAAGTGATCGCCATAGTCAACAGGACGCCGAGGCCGAGACTCAAATAAGACAGATTGACCACTGATTGAGATGCGACTGCCAGGTGACTCTGAGAAGACGTGACTCGTTCTTTCTCAGCTGGATCCGCTTGGGACTTTGGTAAATTGTTGCTCGACATGGGCTGAAGAGGCTGTCTCTGGATTGCCATGCGGATACTCTCTCGAGAGAAGTATAATATTGTCACTTGGAACAACTCCAATTGAGCCGCGATCCCAAGAATGACCGGAGACATTGCACTTAAAATCAGCTGATTGGATATGAACGTGAATATTCTCGAGGATAGCTGAATCAATATCAGAAATGGCGTCCCAGTGGCAGACGAGGCCAGCATGGTGCCTGTACGGGCTTCGGATGATTGAGCCATCCTTGTCGATCTGCTCAAGGCCCAGCTTTCGTCGGCCTAGTATTTAAGAGTATATCAAGGCGGCCGAGCCACATGAGATACCGGTTTTTCTCTGAATTTGTTTCCGACAACTATACATTCGCAGGCATATTGAACCAGGAGTGGAGGAGCTATGTGGCTAGATGTCTGCGGGCGGTCAGATTCGGCCTACTTGTTCTATCAAACACGTGGTTTTGGAAAGTGTAGCGGAGCTTTAATCTGGGGTCGTCACCTTTACACCACAAGCTTATAAGTAGCTTACACCGCGTCTCTCTACGGATTATTGTTGACAGCTGGTTTTGGAAGCAACGCGGTTGCTTCTCAATAAATGGACGGTCTGTGCGACGATCTCAGGTCTAGGAGTTAAAAAAGACCAGAGCCACAACAGCGATCACCACCTGTGCTTGTTCTTCTGTATGTCGATTTTTGAGAAGCTCTCTTGGAATCTGATCTGGATGTTGCTCTCCTTGCATTGGCCTGGATTGAATTCGCAAAGATGAACAAAAAATTTCGTTGACAAGGAGCAAGCCATTTCCATTGCGCTTGTTAATCTAGAATATGCAGTTTTTAATACATTTGTTGTCGCCGGCGACAAGAAAAACCCCTCAAAGCATGAGTGACATCACAGCTCCATTCAACTAGTAGTCAAATCCGAGGGTAGACTTTCGCTATACAAGTGTGTGCCGAGTCTGCCGACTGGCCAAACGGAGCCGCTAAGAAGCTTGGCGTTGAACCATCCTACTGTTGTTTTTGTAGCAACCCTTCGCTCCTGACAGAAGATGGCTAGAAAGGAGGAAGCCAGAATGGATAGCCGCCATTCTTAATCTTGAACACACTGATCAGGAAGCTGTAGGTTCCGAAAAGGACACCGGCCCAGATGAAGACAGCCAGTTGTTGACCATTCACATCTTGCATGCGAGGCACCTTCAAGGCCAGGGCAATAGTGACGAAGGAGAGGACAGCGTCTAGCAAATAGTAATGGTTAGAATGTAAAGAAACAGACAGCTTGTAAACCACACTCAGAACAGGAAGATTCAACGTACAGGTCGCAGCTACAACCTGGGTCTCGAGACCGAACTGGTTTTGGAAGCCACTGGCAAAGTAGCTGACTCCGCCCTTGCCATCCCCAGTCACATAGGGGACCTTGCGGATGTGGTTGAACATTTGCCCACTAGTGAAAAGCAGGATCGCGATCAAACTAATGGCCGCCCAAAGATTGCGGTTCTGAATTAAGGGCAGAATCCAAGGTGAGAGTACCGTGAATAGCGTGATGGCACCCATCAGCACTGTCACGGTCGAGACGATACGCATGTAGTTCACGGGTCGATTCAAGGCAGGCAATTGTCTCTCAGGCAGATGGCGCTTAAGCCATGTGTACATCTGATCGGCACTCATTGGTCTACAACGGAAGATTCCGTTAGCGGTCAACGAGCTCATGATGAAGGCCGGAAAGAAGAAGTCGAACTCACCCAGTAAAGTCATATCTGACGGGGTCCGCTTTCACTTTGGCGTAGGGTCCGGCAGTGGGAGGGAAAAGAAGCATGATGGGAGCGGATTGAAGCATAAGCTTATCCGGATTTGTTAGCTTGTCACCGACTCGTATTCCATAGAGAAAATAATCTGCAATCAGGCCTGCTCACCTTCTGGAAGACTGTCTTGCCCTTGTCAAAGTCAAGAGTTCCAAAGATGACCTTCAGGTCATCCGGCTTCTCGCCCTTATTCCAGCTCTTTCCAATGAGATTCCATTCGGGGTCAAATTGACGGCACATATCACACCCGTAGCGGACATCCATCGCCGTCAAAATGACCGCTGCATAGTAGTCGCGTGGAGCTTTGGTGAGCTCCTCAAAAGCGGCACTGTCGAGTGAAACAGGTCCCGAGCGTGAGAGAGACTGATACTTCTGGTATGTACCCTTGGCGGAACTTGCGGCGAGAACGCCGGAGACGGCCGACAACGAAAGAAGAAGCGTAGACCAGAACTTCATTTTGGCATGACAATGAAATGGATATGAAGTTGAAGCGCAGCTCGGAAGGAGTCGACGTAGCTCATCTCCACTCCATGCTTGGCGGACATGAAAGGTGTCCCGATCCCGCAGGATTATGTAAGATTCGTGGCTGCCCGGACAAAGCAAACACGCCTCCGAGCCGACGACGCGTAGGCCGCTACATTGGTGGAGATGGCTGAGACTGATAGACTTGAGATCTCAACACTTGGGTATCGAGACCAGACGAAAGCTGCAACTGGGTCGGATTTATAAAGGATTTAATTGCAGACTTGCCCGAAAGATGGCGCATATTGATGAATCCGCTTCGGCCGATGTATGTCCCATCACGATGTTATGATTTTTCTGTTTACGGTCACTCATAAAGCATTATAGTACGATATGTCAATCAAGACCTTGCGTCTTGAAAGAGAATATGAGAAGACTATCGCAGATTCTGCACGTCTTCTCGATGCAGAACGCGACCGTGTGAGGCGGATGGAGTATTTGCTGCTCCAGATCGACCGCGATGCTCTCCGAGCCACGCTTGAACAAGCACATGAGCAGGTCGCATTCCTGAAAGAGTCTGAGTCTGAGACGCGTCATTATTTGGAAGAGGCAATTTCTGTAGTCGACAGCTTAAGCCAGGTTGTCAACACCGCAAAAAGCGAGAATCAGAAGCTCAAGGTAAGTGCACACCGGCTCTAATACCTCTCGAATTACGAGTCTTACACGCATTAGGAGGAACTCTCGGCACTGAACACTACCTCGACAAACAATAGCGGCTTGCTTGCTGAGAAAGTGCAGCTCTCGCGGGAGTTAGCTCATGCCAAATCCAAGCTCGAGAGGCTGGAGACGCAAGATACCGCTCATCAAGCGGTAGTATCTGAGAAGCAGGCGCTGGAGCGACATCTCAACATGCTCGAGCTTCATCTCGAGAATGAAAAGCACTCACACGAGCGCACTCGGGTCAAAGGTGCGGAACAGGCATCTCAAATGACCAAGCTACTGTCGATGGTGGACGAGCTCCAGAACGAGCTCGCGCGAGAACAAAGAGCGAATCAACAGCGGGAAAGGAAGGACCAGCAGCAAAACGGTGGATGGGAGAAAGAGCGGTCCGTCATGGAGGCGAAGATTGAGACACTCAAAAAGCAACTTCGATCGGCCAAAGACAAGCTTCAAGAGGCGCGAAACGATCTGCAACAGCGCCGCAGCATCGTTCGCAATGCGGAATCAGACAATGCTGGACCAGAACCGCAGAAAATCCCTCTGCAGAATGGAGGCCCAAGCTCGGACTTCCATGAGGCTGGGATAGTCATTGCGACGCCTGGGGCAGTTCGCGTGGAAGACAAAACAAAGAAACCGTCGGCATTGCCGGGCGACAAGTCGTCGTTCTCCATGACTCCGTTCTTGAATCGTACTGGGTCTACTCCGAGCGAGGCTCCCATTAGCTCCGATATTGATGAAGAGGAAGTTCGGCAAGTACTGGACGATTCCGCGTACCCTGGGAGTAAACCGGGTGTCGCACGCAAGTCAGAAGACGGGCAGGCTTCGGTAGACGAACAGCCAGAGTTCATCAAACCAGCAGGCAAGCCGAAAGCTACGACGGCAAAGGCAAAGGCAAAGGCAAAGGGGCGTGGAGCGAAACCCACCGCTGCAAATGCCGACCGCGACAAGAATCCAGAGCCCAATCGTGCTGTGAGTAAAGGTGCAGGTGAGACATTGGAAGACTCCTTAAACGACGGCTCCGTCGAACAGGGCCAAACGAAGGTCAAGAGGAGAAAGCTTGCCCAGCGAGACCGCAGTCTCTTCGAAGATGACGAAGAGGATGAAGAGTTGCTTGGCAAGCCGAGGAAACCGTTACTGGGAGGTGGCCGACAATCAGTGCTTGCAGCGCCTCTCTCAGTTGGGCTCTCTCGAGGTGGAGGTTTTGGAGCCTCAAGGGCCTTTTCTCCTTTGAAAAGAGACCGTACGCGATGAGAATACGGCTTGGAGTCTTCGTCTGGGAAGTTGAGTTTTTTGTCCCATGCTACTTTGATTGGAGAAATTGACGGGCTTGAGATTGATGCTCGCCATGTGCCCATGCACTCCTGGTGTCATGATAACATGTTTCTTGAGTGACATTCAAGAGAACTATCACGCGCTTTAAAGCAGTCTGTCGCGAGAGACAAGGCCAATATAATTGATTGGGGTACTAGCCGTATATAATGTCCACGTTCTCTATGGGTTGGCCACAACTACTGCTTTGACCAACGCAATACTGCGATTGCACAACGAGCTTACTACGGACTTCCGTGTTTGGATTTACGAAATCGAAGCGCAGCATGCACCAGAATTCCTAGCATACTAGTATTTGAGTCTCAACACTCATGCTATGCCTGATGCTGTCGACGATTGACGGTTCTGTAATACTCGTTAGTTAGTATATGACAATGTGTACGTAATCGGGCTAAGTATATACAAGTGTGCTGCCCCTCCCTTCTAATTCGTGGGGCGAGAAGTGCAAATTGAAGTAGTATATCATATATGTAAAATGATGTCTAAGATTATATTAATATTCTCAATTCTATGTACGGGGGAGACCCCCGTAGACCCCCATCAACGCAAGTCAAATCATATATCTATAACGTAAGTTAATATTACATAGACGCGAGTTACGTGATAACTTATAAGTCACCCGAGAGACGATAGTCACGAGACAGTAGGACCACGTAACACGCGTGGAGATCAAGACTGATCATGTGATGGAGACAGAAGCAAACATCTGAGAGACATCACGTGATGTAGCTTTGGGGACGGTCGATTCTGCCACAGCTAGCCAATCAGAGCACAGGAATAAAATTCCAAGCACTTACATGAGAAGCAACTTCTCGTTCCACTCCAATTTGCAAAGGTACACCGCCTCTACTCTGAATGATGCACCCAACTTTATGCCGGCAGAATACTTTCGACACGCATCATCCGCGGACAACTTCATGAGATCATCGACCACAAACAGCGTCATGTTTGCCTTCCCATGTTCTCGGCCACATGCCGCTGGCTTCGCAGGACTAGTCAGGCAAATACGACAAGCATCATCGAAACGGTGGCAAGCGCGCCAACAGAGAGACCAATTCACAAGGGAGGCGGCAGTGCAAGGACTCAAAAGCCGAGCTGCTTTCAAGCTACTGCAGGTATAGAATTGGACAATGAATACATGCTCGGGTGTCGCGTAACCAATTGAAGCTAAGGATCGCAAAAACTAGATTGATGATAAGTATCGGCTATTTCAGCGAGGTCAGACAGTCGTAGATCTGGTACGAAGTCAATCTCAAATCCAAGGCTCAACGAACTTGGCCATAACCGACAGGCTAATAATATCTCACAGGGATACGCACCAGGATCGTGGTCGCAGGTATGCCTGTCTTACTTCAAGAATAAATCGCATGCTTTGAATCCACGGAGGACGATCTCCTGACGCGATCGCCCACAGGTAGCCGTGAACCGAACACAGCCGAACGGCCGAGTCCTCGGCGTCGACATTATCCCTGCGCAGCCACCGAAGGGTGTTTCTACAATTCAAGGAAATTTTCTTTCGCCGGAGATTCAGGAATACATTGAGGAATTTCTGCGTAATCCAAACCGAGGTCGGCCTCGACAACTTGACAACATCGACAGCGACAGTACTTCGAGCCTACTCGAAGCAAATGAGACGCAGAGTCAAGCTGAGGATGGATCGGAGTCTCCTGACACCAGGCAGTGGAGGACAGTGGATGTGGTGCTCAGCGATATGTCTGCTCCCTGGTACCAGACATCCGGTTTTTGGAAACGAAGTCTAAGTAACCCTTATCACAGGATGATGAACACCAGCGGAAACAACTTTCGAGATCACGCGGGGAGTATGGTGAGTTCAGACGCAGGTCTTCATTTGTCCGATCATTGGAGGCTGACATGCTCGTTATCCTTTCGTCCCAGGACCTATGCAACGCCGCCTTGCAATTCAGCTCAAAGGTCCTCAAGGCGGGTGGGCATTTTGTGTGCAAATTCTACCAAGGCGCAGAGGACAAAGACTTAGAGAAACAGCTCAAAGAAATGTTTCAGAAAGTGCACCGACTAAAGCCAGAATCATCACGCAGCGTAAGCGATATATCTTCCAGCCAACTCTCTCCAATTATGACTAACAGGCAGGCGCGAAAAGGAATCTAAAGAGGCGTTCTTCGTTGGCCTTGATCGCAAAACATGACACCAGCCAACATCCCGAGTCCTTCAGAACGCCTTACACGATAAATATATACAACTCGAGTCGTGCTCACTACACAAATTCAGCATCGTCGTTCTCCGATCCTTCGTCCCACTCTACATCGGCCAACGCCGCTTCGGCTTTCTCTTGAACCTGTAGATCAAGGTCAGATTTCAACGCACAAAATGGCGCCCTACCAATGTATCGCACCGGAGATATTCATACCTCTCGCAGCCCGCTCAGCTCTTCCACATAGCCGCGCTCATTAAGAGCTCTCTTCACCATGTCCCAGCCAAGCTCGCGATAAGTGTCGACCACCTTGTCCGAGCACGCGCTGCAGCATGAATAATTCTTACCCGTCACGGTGAGATTTTCGAAGCTGGCGAGGTATCCTCGGATTTGATGCGGTATGAGTCCCAATGGATGGTCACCGCGGTCACCGCTTCGAGTCGCGGGAGCCGGCGCTGCAGCACCTTGGGGATGTTGAAGAATCGAGACGAGCAATTCAACCAAGAGCGCGGACGCGATTGCGGCGACTCCGGGGCGAGTCACTGTACATTGTTGGTCCAGCGTTTGATCTTTGATAGACTGGTCTGGTTGTTAGCTTGGACATCGGCACGGTTGTGAAAGCAATTCAGACAGAACCGCAACATACGTTGGCAGGTGCTACGACATCATTACAGAAGTAGCACCCTAAACCTGCATCTGCATTCGCCGATTCAGAAACTCCATGACGCATCACAACGAATGAATCGAAGCCTAAAGCCGCATTCATCACAACCTTTCCCGCCGCTTTGCCCATGACTGTAGGAAGCCATCGTGATTCCCGGGTATCCATCAACAAGAAGATTGCATCGTGTTCGTCAATCAATTTTTGTAGTGCTTCAAATTCGGAACGCGTCACCTCCTCATCTATGATCGGATGACCCGCCATGGGAATCGAAAGCTGATGGCCGGATGTGTCGACGCCGGGGTAGATTTCCTTCAAGGCTTCTGATGCTCGGAGTGCTTTTGGCGCACCTCCATTGAGGCAGTCATTGAATGTGAACAGGGGTTGGCGAACCGGGTTGGAAAATGATACTGTGCCCTTGTCTACGAAAGTAATCTTCCTCACGCCCCAGCCCTGAATTCATCGTCACGGGAAACGTGAGCCTCATTAATCCAGCTCGTGCGGTATCATCGCAGATCGTGGCGAGAACGTACCAGCAAGTTCCGGGCAACGTAGCTGCCCAATGTCCCAGCGCCGAGCAATAAGCATTTGGTATACTTGATCTTCTCAAGGTTCAGTGATGGGCTGATGCGCCATTTCATGAGTTTGAGATTGAGATCGACTGATTGATCTGCTAACCTGTAGGTTACGTGGATGGACGTGTCAGTGTCCAGAATACCTGACTGTTGTTAGCCGGAGCGAAGAGCAGCACTAACCTTGCGGGATCCATATATTCGTTCAGATTGACTATTCTTCCTGCCAATTTCCCAGCCGGATTACGTTCCCATCCTGTGATCTTGGGCATCTGCACCTGTTGTTGCCTGGACGGATAATTTGAGCTCGCTGAATCTTCAGCCTTCGTCTCTAGGCAAAACACCATGCTTCGACCCTGATCACGCTTTGAATGAACATCACGATATCGTAGGATCTGCACGCGGTTGAGTCCCCAACGCTGCTTTACGAGAACCAAGAGATTGCGGAGCATCCATCCAGGGGCGTTTTCATAATTTGAAGGATCGGCAAAGCACACATATTGATCGTCCAAAGGTGCGTCCTTGAAGAATCCGTTTTCGTACTCGGCCAGCGCAGCCACGCGCCAGGACACGTCGCCAGAGGTGCCCGTGTCTGAACGTACTTTGCAGGCAAGAAAAAATCCCCTCTGTCGACTGTCGACCCCGTAACTCCATGTCTGCACAGTTTCAACGAGACTAGTGCTGTCTTCAATAGACAAGTGTTTGCCTAAGGATGTGCCAGCGCCATCGAGTTCTCCAGCTTGTGACCCAGCGGGTACCCACGATGGATCAGAGTGAATGGCGGGGAAAGCGAACCAGTAATAAAACCTGTATTTTTTGAGGTCGGCAAAGGACAGGATGATGAAGGAAGATAGTAGAGATGGACAAGAGAAGATCGTGCCGTCACGAATCGCGTCCCAGATCTTTTCAGACGATGGCGAAACAAAAGATCAGCTCAGAACCATCCAGAATTGCGACCCCTCCGTTTAAGGGACGTAAAGAGAAGGATGAAATTGTACCGTCTTCCCAGCTTGATTCAGCATCTGAGACTTATCCATATTTCGGTAATCTTCAATTGTGTTCACGTTTCTGATCATGCCTTCCGCGCGGTAGTAGCCTGCCGGAGCTCTGAACCACCATAACTCTCGTTAGCCTTCAGTCCGCTGTAGCTCTGACAGCCGTTGCACCTAACGTACTCGGTATTCACAAGAGCGTTACCATGAATCTGAACGCGACAGCTTGCGTTGTCTGCATCGGTAGAGCGAATCTCGTACAAACCCAGCACCTGGCGGGCGGAATCATCTAGTTTATCATGGTTGATCTTGTGTGAGGCGAGCGCCGTGTAGAATGGCAGCTCGATGTCGGACGCATACGGGGCGTACTGCATCTTTATGAGATGCGCGTATTCGCGAGATCGAGACTCGAGTCCTCTTTGCCTCCCTTGAGGTGGGCTTCTTTGCGACTTTGTGTGACCTTCTATGAGGCAGCTGATGCGGAGTATACAAATTGGAAACCGCACCGAGTGGAGGTGTGGAAGAGGGGGAAAGTGGGGTTGATGTAATAATCGTCGCGCGTCCCAAAAAGGAGCGCGATAAGCAGAGAAAAAAAAAAGAAAAAGGGAAAATAGATCGAAGAGTGATCATTCATCAGGTACTCAAAAATACATCCGGTGTGACACTTCCCCGTGACAACTGATCAAGCCTCGCTATTCAGCCGCTTCGGCCATACTTTGGGTATCTCGCCCAATCGAACCTCCGTGTCTCTCACCTCCGGTGACTGCTGACTCGACCTTTACCCTGACCAGTTCGCATTTCTCTTCTACACCTTCCTTGCCGTCTTCAGAATGCTTATCGGGTTGTGTGGAGGTCAGGAACAAAGAACGCATTCGTGGCTGCCATGAATACGCTGATATTGACCCTGCATTTTAGGTATCTGCGCTGGCAAGCATGCTATTGCTGAGTATTTGATTCAGCATCAGGGCTTTCAGCTCCTTGAAGTTGCCAACAAAGCCCATACACCAATCACGGATGAGCCCAGCGATCACCAGCTCCTGCTTCAGGCTTCTGCTCCCGACAGAGAGCGTGTCTTTAGAGCCCCAGACGCCCGGTCCGAATTCGTCTTCCCATCGGCAGAGGCTTTGATGGATTTTGTCACTAAGCGATGGCAAGAGAAATGGGTGACTACTGATATCGCCGACGGCGTGACACTTGACCGCTTCTCGCTTCGACCATTTTTCCTCTTAGTGAGCGTGGACGCTCCCGTTAGTCTTCGTTGGAAGCGATTCTCAGAACGGTATGTTACATTAAGATCACTTCTACTTTCCCAAGATTCTCGGCGAGGCATGAGTGTGGTCTGTGTAGAGAAGCTCACGTTGGTGCATGACACAGGTGTCAACAGCGCCAGTTGAGTCCACCCGACTTGGAAAAGTTCGTGCTGTGGAATGATTGTCATCTCTACGACAAAGACCTTGGTCGAGTCTATCTCACCGACCGGGCCCAAGTACGCCTTTTCAACTCCTCCTCGTCCTTGGAAGAGCTCCACCGGTCTCTTGAGACCCTGAATCTGGCGGATGAGCAACGCCTGCGCCCGAATTGGGATCAATACTTTATGCAGCTCGCGTCTCTCGCCGCGCAGCGGAGTAACTGCATGAAACGACGCGTGGGATGTGTTCTTGTCAGAGAGCGTCGAGTTATCAGTACGGGCTACAACGGAACGCCTCGGCACTTGCCCAACTGCAACGAGGGTGGATGTAAGAAATATCTGCCTTTCCAGACGCACTGACTTCTCCTGTCTTCATTTCGTGTCAGTAATGAGAGCTTCGTTAACCCTTCCGTAGGTCCCCGTTGCAACCGGGGTGATGGTGGCGGAGTCGGACTTTCTACCTGCTTGTGCCTCCATGCCGAGGAGAATGCTCTACTTGAAGCGGGTAGGGAGCGCATTCGAGAAGGTGCAATTCTCTATTGCGATACGTAAGCTGATCGCCCGACGCATCTATCTGCGAGTCATGGTACTGTGCTAACGTTTGCGGGTAGGTGTCCTTGCCTGACCTGCACGGTCAAGATCACCCAAGTTGGGATCTCTGAAGTTGTGTACTCGCAGGGCTATAATATGGATAAAGATGTGAGTCTTTCCCACCCTCAGGTGGATGGAAAATTGCAGCTTTGATGAGTACTAAACCGAATGATTCCAGAGCGCGGCGATTCTCGAGGCAGCAGGTGTGAAATTGCGACAATTCAGTCCGGTGAGAAGCCGTTTGTGGTATTTTCCGTATCTCAGCAAGCTTTCTGACACCTTCTCCAGCCCTCAAATGGACTAATTTATCTGCAAGGCTCCGATTGAGCCGAGGCCCGACAAGAACGATCCAAGCACCCAACCCAAAAGATTGCATGATTACCACGAAGACGAGCGCTACAGATCTTTATCTGTTTATCTCAGGTACATCTGGGCAGGCAGGCAGGCAGGCCTGCACACTACTTGATCAGTCAGAATGACATTGTACAATACATTGTCTCACTAAATGTTCAAACTGGGCCCATAGCATACCGCCACTGACGAAACGAAGTGAATCGGAATTGACTCGCACCTCTGTTCAACAGAAGGTGATGATGGTACTAATAGACAGAGCCACTCGCAATTGCATGCTCCAAGATCGCGTGGGTAGCAGCCGTCCTGCGCAGCGAAAACTCAACAGTAGGATTTCTAAGAATACTCCAGATGCACCGTAAGAATAGGGAATATACATACAGTCAGATCTGTAGAGTGTAGACGACTAGTACAGTTAACAGTAGGTAGACAGTACGTTAAATACCACATGGCACATAAAGTAGTGGTACTAGCACGAGATACGACCGCGTCGCGATCTTTCAAACTAACCGTTTCGGGAAGTACATTCTTGGCTGTCCCTACTTTTCCCCACGTCCTTCATTTTCTGCCGGGCAAAAAAAAAGTACAAATGTTGCACCGGCGAGAACTAGTGATCGCAGGTACCCCGAATAGATAAGATTGTCTGAGTCAGCTCCCCGGTGTCTGGAAATTTGGAGGGGCTACTTTCGTGACTCACGAACACCCCACAGTTCTTGAAAAGAGTCGAGACACGATTGTTCTACAGGCTGTGATTGTTGCTATAACGCGATTATTTCACAAAATGCCTACTGTTCACCTCCTTGACTACGTGGCGGGCAATATCCGCTCGTTGGTCAATGCGATCAACCAGGTTGGATACGAGGTGGAATGGGTCAAGACACCCGAAGACGTCAAGAATGCCGATGTATGTGGCCGAGAATGTGAAATTGCTTCAATTTCTCAAACAGCATACCAGCTGCGCAGTTTAGAATGGTTTTGCTGACATGAATCGTTTCAATTGCAGAAATTGATCCTTCCCGGTGTCGGTCACTTTGGCCATTGCCTCTCGCAACTAGAACAAGGTGGTTTTCTGGGTCCGATTCGGGAGCACATCAGATCTGGCAAGCCTTTTATGGGAATTTGTGTCGGTGTGCAGGCTCTATTTGAAGGCTCAGAAGAGGACCCCAATGTTCCGGGTTTGGGAGTCATTCCTATGCGCATTGAGAAGTTCAATGACACCTCTAAGAGTGTGCCTCACATCGGTTGGAACTCCGCGATGAACACCCAGATTGAGGCCAAGAAGCAGAGCTTCTATGGCTTAAGACCGACGAGCAAGTACTACTACGTCCACTCATATGCTGCACTTTACAAACCGGGCGTTCTAGAAGCAGACGGATGGTCAGTTGCGACGGCTACCTATGGCGAAGAGGAGTTCATTGGTGCGGTCAGCCGAGGGAATGTCTTTGGGGCACAGTTCCATCCCGAAAAGAGTGGTGTGGCTGGACTTCGCGTGCTTCGAGCATTTCTGAATGGTGACCAATTCCAGTCCCTGCCCCAGGAGATGGTCGCTGCTAAGGTGGACGGATTGACTCGTCGTGTCATTGCCTGTCTGGATGTGCGCGCCAACGACAATGGCGATCTTGTGGTCACCAAGGGCGACCAATACGACGTGCGAGAGAAGAGTGGCGTGGACGCCGGTGGTCAAGTCCGCAACCTTGGTAAACCGGTCGATATGGCCAAGAAATACTATGAACAAGGAGCCGACGAAGTCACATTCTTGAACATCACATCCTTCCGCAACTGCCCCGTAGCAGACACACCCATGCTGGAGATTTTGCGAAGAACCTCCGAGACGGTCTTCGTGCCTTTGACTATCGGTGGAGGTATCAGAGACACCGTGGACACTGATGGTACTGCCATCCCGGCGCTGGACGTCGCGACCATGTACTTCAAGTCCGGCGCTGACAAGGTCAGCATTGGCTCCGACGCTGTTTTTGCCGCTGAGGATTATTACGAGTCCGGTCTCAGCGGAAAGACTGCCATCGAGACCATCTCCAACGCCTACGGCAAACAAGCCGTGGTGGTCAGTGTCGACCCGAAGCGCGTCTATGTCGACCGACCTGAAGACACCCCTCACCACACATTGAAGACGGCATATCCCAATGCTGCTGGCCAAGGCTATTGCTGGTACCAGTGCACCGTCAAGGGAGGTCGAGAGACTCGTAACCTGGATGTGCGCCAGCTTGTCCAGGCGGTGGAGGCCATGGGAGCTGGCGAAATTCTTTTGAACTGCATTGACAAGGACGGCAGCAACTCTGGCTTTGACCTGGAATTGATCAATGATGTAAAGGCGGCCATCAAAATCCCCGTCATTGCCTCCAGTGGCGCAGGTGTACCGGACCACTTTGCCGAGGTCTTTAGCAAGACCACAACCGATGCTGCTCTGGGTGCTGGCATGGTGAGTATCTTGGACTTGATTGATCCCTACCATCAAACGAGAGAGAGGCCGTCACTAACGCTTGTTGATTTGTATTTTCTAGTTCCACCGCGGTGAATATACCGTTTCCCAGGTCAAGGATCACCTGCAGACCGAGGGATTCCTCGTCCGTCAGTTTGAGGCGGACCTGTGATCGAGTGCTATACTTTGAGGCTTCTCCTTTCACCACGTTGATGAAACGGTAACGTTGTCCGTCTTCTCTTCTATGTAGATACTTCCTGTGATGATTCGAAAAAAATTATAGACTTGTTTAGAGATGACTCAAATCTTACATTTAAAATTTCCAAAAAAAAAAAAACTTTGACACGTAGGTCCATCAGGTTTAAATTCGAGCGCATGTCATGACAGCTGTCAATGGCATTCCTAATTCAACACTTTCAGCCGGAGATGGCCCGCAGCTTCCAGAACCCTTCCAGCACGTGACTGAGGGGCGTGCAGAGCCCGAAGATTGTGTAAGCAAAAGCGGTCAGGCAGGCGGCGGGAGGTGGACTTTTCCGGTCGCCACCTCACGTCGTTCCCTTTCCTCAGTCACAACGCCCACGACCTCTCCAATCCCCTCTCCTCAGTGTCGCATCGCTCCTCAATCGTCGGTCTTGCGTAAAGGCGCTGGACGGATTAAGTGTGCCTATTTCTGGAGAACTAATACAACCAAGGGGAAACCTTGTGCCGCCTATTGATCGATTCTGACCCTCACGAGACGCCGCGAACAATCTCTGAACATCTCGGACGCGCATCGAGTTCTACCGCTGTGAATTGAGCAACTCTCACATCCAAGAAACAGAAAAGTGGCTGTTCTAGAGAGAGCGAGCACGAAGGAATTGAAACGTGTTGTTTTCTTTTAGTGTCCCTGCTTCCCAACAGTGTTTCTTTTCTTTTCCTACCTCACTCTTTATCTTCGGCAATTTGTAACGAGCTGTTTTCGATCCTCATTTGTATGCAGTGTGACCGCTCACCTTTCAGCATCCAAAGAGAAAGATTCATTCTCACTCTATCTTCGAGAAGCACCCGATAGATCAGGACCTCTCATTCGTCCACTTCCTGACCATAAAGAAACCCAAAACAAGAATCTTAGCTTGGTGACAAACACTCTTTGTTTTCAGGCCTATCGAGGATCCCACTCACCACTGAGGACTGTGGTGTCTGCCTACCGCTGACTGATTTGCTTCCCACCTCCAGCTGTCATTGTCATCTCTGACACGCTTCATCTCCCTCGTACTTTTCACAGTCTTTCTTCCCTCGCCCTTTTGCTTCCTGTGTTTCACCAAGCCTGTTGTTTGCCTATTCCGGAAGATCTTGTTTTCGAAGATTGCAGGATCAGTCTGAACCTGAGTTTTCATCTGCTACTCGCTCCCTCATTTCTTCTCCCATCTCCTTGCTCGTTCACACACAGAAAACAAATACAATGTCGTCCTCTGTTCATTTCAAGTTCAAATCGCAGAAAGAGCCCTCCCGGGTTACCTTTGATGGCACTGGTATTTCGGTCTTTGAGCTCAAGCGGGAAATCATCAACCAGAGTAAATTGGGAGATGGATCTGATTTCGAGTTGGAAGTCTACGCGGAGGACACTGGAGAAGGTAGGAGGGGTTCAGTCCGCTTTGTACCAAGTCCAGTTGGCTTGGCCGTGCCAGGGTTTGAATGTTCACAGTTGATTTCCGCAGCATACGACGATGACACAACCATAATCCCACGATCTACCTCGGTGATTGCACGCCGACTGCCGGCCGCACGACCGGGAAAAGGTGGCGCAGCTCGCTATGTGTCTGGCAAGATGCCCGTGAATGCGCGTAATGCCTCGCGAATCGAACCTTCGTTGACCCGGGCTGCGCCGGGTCTTGGTGGATCGGTGACCAACAACGTGTTGGAGCTCAACAATGCGCAGACTGAGGATGAGAAGATCAATGCCCTTTTCAACTTGCAGGCCAGTCAATGGAAGGAGCAGCAGCAAGAAATGGCCAAGTAAGTGATCCTTTTGAGGAACATCTGGGGCGTGACCGTAAACTGACCAACATCGATTCAGTGCCACTCCTGTGCCCTTCGGACGAGGCCGAGGCAAGCCTGTCAACGTCCCTGACCACCCTCCGCCTCCTGGGTATCTTTGCTACCGCTGTCGTGAAAAAGGTATGTTTCAAGCTATGTGCTTGTAGCGAAAGCTCCCTTTTCCCTTTTTTCCCCAAAGACACAATGCTGATCTCTTCGTCTTCAGGTCACTGGATTCAAGCATGTCCGACCAATAACGACCCCAAGTTTGATGGCAAATATCGGGTCAAAAGGTCAACAGGCATTCCCCGGTCATTGCAAACCAAGGTCGACAAGCCTGATTCTATGGCATCCGACGGAACTGGCGACGACTCGCGCAACACCGGCGTCATGGTAAACGCCGATGGAGACTTTGTCGTGGCACGCCCCGACAAGGCTGCGTGGGAGTTGTATCAAGAGAAAGCCAAGGCCTCGGCAGCGGCAGCTGCTGAAGCCGCTGCGGCCGAAGAGAGCAAGGAGTTGCAAGCTCGCGGTCTAGAATGCCCGATCGACAAGAGGATGTTCTTAGAGCCTACCAAGACCCCCTGTTGTCAAAGAACATATTGCAATGATTGTATCTCCAATGCTCTGATTGAAAGTGACTTTGTCTGTCCCGGATGTTCAACTGAAGGAGTTTTGCTGGATAACTTGACTCCCGATGACGATGCGGTTGCCAAAATTAAAGCTTATGAAGCTGAAAAGACCGAGGCTAAGAAGGAGAAGGAAAAGCAGGCCAACATGCCCGCGTCGCCGAACGGTTCTACCGCGAACGGCGTGACTGCCAATGGACACGACTCACCAAAGCTATCTCTCGTGAAAGAGCGATCTCCATCTCAGCAGCCCGGAGATTCCACTCCTAAGCAGGGCCAGAAGAGATCTGCCGAGGACGAGCCTGTTCGTCATCAGACGCATAGCCCCGGCAATGTATCCAAGAAGCAGAAAAGTGACGACCACTCGGACACGGCCACTCCCAGGACCACCAGTGCTACCACCACCGCCGCCGCTATTCCTTCAACCTCGAACGGAGTCTCAAAGGAGAACAATGGCTCCACCCCCAACCCAAACATGCCGTTCAACCCGCAGATGCCCTTTGGCGATTTCAACAACATGATGCCTGGTTTCCCCAATGGCGGCTTTGACCCCAATGGAATGCCCTTCATGAATCCCATGGGCATGCCAAACGGCTTCCCCAACCAGATGGGCCCTGGGTGGAATCCTATGAATATGCCTTTCCCGCCTATGCAGGGCAACATGTTTGGAAACCAGAACGCAGGCTTCCCCCCCATGTTCAATGGTGATCCCTCAATGATCTTCGGGATGGGCGGCATGGGCAACATGGGCAACATGGGCAACATGGGCAACATGGCCAACATGGGCAACATGGGTGGAGGCATGCCGAATCAGAACAACGGCTTCTCGAACCAACCGATGAACAACTTCGCCAACCAACAGCGTACAGCATTCAGCGGGCCATACTCTCGTGAAGAAGACTCTCCCTATTTCCGACAACCCGTGAACCCGCAACGACACCAGGCGCGGAATCGACGTGTTCGACCAAGCGACTATCGCGAGTTGTAGGGGCTATCTCAAGGCCAATATTTTCTTTTTTTCCATTGAAAGTGGTGATACCCCTGGCGTTTTGGGACGGCTGTGGTTATAAGGATTTGCTGTCGTTCTTCCTCAACTTTTTCTCTTTCTGCGCAGATGCTTCCCGTGGGCGACTTGTCTGTTCGGCGTTTTTTTGTCTTTTGAGGTTTGGCACCATTCTCTTGCGATGCACTAGCCCAATGCTTTCTGGTCTCCTATGGTTGCATGATGCATCGTTTGGGCGAATGAGTCTTGCAATTTCTCGTGGTTGCTTTGCTTCGGCCTGATTAGGTGGAACCGTAGCGTTTAGTCGGTAGCAATACAATATCTCCCTCCAACCTGTTTTTACTCGGTAGCTGCAGTTAATATTCGAAGTCGCAGCTAGCATGACGCTCATGATAAAGGACTACTAATACCGTATACACTACGCAGTACACAACTGGAAACTATAGTTTTTACTTTATACAGATTCAATCTATGTCTGACACCAGTATGCTTAATGTAAAACACATAATATCGTGGCTACCTTCAAAATGATACTTTACTAGGACGTTGGTCTTACAACATTGAGTGCAGTAGTGTACTGTGGAAGTGTGTAGAATCACGAATGTCGTTATGATCACATCGTTTGGAGTATCAAATAGTTACCGCAACCCAAAACTCGACATGAGCCAAGGTTCACCAGTCTCAGCGCAGGCCAATCACTGCCCGGTAATCCAGATCGTGCATGAAGTTTGGACTGCCCTAGTGCCCAACGGGGTTTAGTCACGGGCAAGAACCGGTGAAGGCCAAGCCTAAAGATCAGGTGACTCGGTGGAAATCCCTCCCCCCCCCCCCCCCGACTCAATTCGATTCCCTTCTGCGATTTCTCCACCCTCTCGATTCTTGACTCGAACATATGGTCCACTCCGCACTCACGCTTGCGCTCACATCGACTCTTGAAATCACTTCCACACTCTACCACCACGCTACTACCCACGTCGCAGCTTCTCCTGTCCACCCTCCGAACATTTTCCACCATTCCAATCCATCTCAAGATCGATAGCCATGGCGACGTACATGAGTAATCACAGTAGTAATTACAATCAAATGCCCCGGTTTCTCGCCCAGCAGTCGACGGTCACTGCCAGCTGCTACACCGTCAACTCTTCCAGTGGCAACGTTTACGGTTTCCACTACTGCTCTACTCTGGGCGCCGGTATGCCAGAACACTCTCGTGACTCCTTCTCCGTGCCCGGCTTATACTGACCCGTATCTTTGTCTTTCTCACAGGAGCACAGTGGTATCCCTGAGGTCCCTTCGGGATCTAAAATCTCCACCCCAAGACCTCCCCTGGAGTACGCCGCTTCCAGCGGCGCACTCAGCTGGACCGGGACCAACGGGCCCGAGTCTCACGCCAAAGGGGAGGCGGCGTACACCATCCCGGAAGAGTGTGAGAGGCTCTTCTGTGACACACTGGCCACGACTTTCCTTGGTGAGAGGATCGACGTCGGACAGGAGTCACTGGGGATGGGTACGTTTCAACAGACTCAAGCCAGTCAACATCATCGTCCCGCATCTTATTATCGTCAACGACCGTCTCATCGGTCGATTGAGAAATGGATCGAAGTCTGGGATTACAGTGGCGATGCCATCTATCGCGGCTTCGTCACGGGCGAGGGAGACGAGCGTACGCTGTTTGTCTTTCTCGAGGATGGGACCATTGGTCAGGGATTGAAATCTGGGTATGTTTCGCAATCCCAAAGTTCATCTCTTCATTGCGGCTTTTTTTTCCCTTCCAAATGGAACATGAATGGTCATGACTGACCCCCTACTTTTTTCTGTTCTGAATTGCAGACTCATCGCACTCTTTGAATTGGCCGGATCCGACGCCTTTGATTGCACCCAGATCGTCGCCTGCGTCAACCGGTCTCAACATACCGACGAAATGGAACTTGTCCGTAGCCTTGGATGGTGCGGATTCAACCTGACCACCCTGGATCCTTGGATTCAGGGAACATCGGGTGCGGCAGGTCCAGCGGTCAGTACGAAATGGCTATTCTTGGTGGCCGAAGTGTAAGCAGTCTTGAGTGGGATTGGCAAAGGCAAGAAAAAAAAAACACGATCCCTTCAAACTGTTTGGCCTCTCACCTTGTTGTGCTTTGACAAGGCTCGAGTCCTAGACATCTTTTTTTGCTTATTCTTGTTCTACACCCTCTATTATTCCATTAATCCTTTCCCAAGTGGATGGTCGTGGATGACGGATTATACTTGGTTCTGGTGTTTTGATCATCACTTAAATTGCTCCTATTTCTCATCTCCAAGCTCAGCAACGGCGCTGAATGATCGGTTTCTTTCTTTCTTTAATTGACTTCGGCCTCGGTACTCGACTGAGGACGGTATGACTTTGACCAATTCAACTGTCTTGCATTACTTCAATGTCTTCCACCAGTGGTACCCAGCTGTGGTGTCCAACTGTGGTACCCAACTGTGGTACCCAATGTATCAAAACTTTGCACTTGCATGTTCCACCGATGGAAGAATCTGAACCCTAGTACTGTAACTTCTTACCCCAAGGTCAACCTTGAACCCAGTCTCTCCTCAGCAAAGCCGGGAAATGTATGACGAGAGGAGATGAGATGAGCCTCGCTGATTGGCGTCCTCGGTTGTCGGCAGTCAACTGCAGTGGATTGCTGGACTGTGGGGAATCCGATCAAAGTGGCCTGTCCCCAGCCCCACCATTCAACTGGAAAACGGGCCTTTCGATCTGTTGGCTCGATCGATGGGTTGATTGTGGAATGTCCGTTTGTATGAATCGTGATCTACCTGATCAAAACATGAGATCTTGTCTGTTGTTCTATAGTTGCTGGATGTTTGGGACACATGCTCAGGTTTCATGTATCTGGTCATCTTTTTGATGGATCTGTTCCGGACAGATGATTCGATGATGACTGATACCAGAAATGATCCCTTTCGATAGCCCGAGATAGATAGGTACACTGTCTCAGTGTCGCTAGTCGTGTCTACCTCCAGGAACTAGAAGGATGTAGTCCAGCTTGGAGGAGTCAAACAAGGGTTCCCAATCAGTCGGGCACGAGAGATTGGGCCACAAGTACAATCACCAGGCGTGGCAAGCATAGACTCCATCGCCACATCCCATGAGTGTATACTGTATAGTGTATACCCCTTCAACTGTATGGCGACATCTGGGCTGTTGCTGCCCCGTCCCAGAGATTCCAGCTTCCCCGCAGATAAGCAGGTCAATCGGTGCCGATCACCCGTACAACTAGTCCCGAAAGGACTTGAAAGTGCTCCAACCTGGTTGATGACATCAACACTTCCACTGCACTATCTAGCTATCTAGGATCTACGAGTCAAGCTCCACGAAGAGTAGATGTGTTCCCCTAGCGAGGTGAACAAAGTCAGGATTTATTGAGCACTAGAGAGAACCAGACAAGATGAGAGAGCTACATAGTTTCTGACCAAGTGCTGTGACACCCACCCTTTGAAGAGGCAACCTCCGTCTACTTGATTCATGCAGAGAACCGTTTTGGGTAACCGGGTGAAACGAGTCCAGTCGAGTCGATCACATGTCTGGATTCCCAGTTTGCATGAGTGACCTCCGTTTGTGGTCCGCCAGCTGCTACTCCGACTTGCTGTCAGATGATCATGTCTCGTCCTGCCATCTCTGGTCGGTGATCTGGAAATGCGGCGCAGTAACTGTACTGACACTCCCCTTGCACGATCACGATCACGATCTTCCTTCTCTTTTCCATCTTCATACTTGTCTCTTGAGCTCTCATCGACTGCCATCTTCCTCTCCAGCTTCACTTTCTATTCCCCCAAACCCCGTAACGTAGCAGAGAGCTCGTAACGAGAACCAGTCCATCCCAAAATGCTCTCGTCGCAGGACTACTCTTTCCGTTCGCTCCTCTTCCCCCAATATCTCATTCCATCGTTTCTCCCCAACTCCACCAGAACTCGCAACTCCATCCAACAACAACCACAGCCACCCGTACCACCATCCCCATCTCCATCGTCCAAAGCCAAGAACAAACAACTCCACGCCCAACCCAACCCCGTCCCACCCTCCAAATCCCTCACCAACCGCACCTCCTACATCCGCTGCATCACCTGCGGCGCCCACCTCTGCTTCACCTCCCAAATCATCAGTAAGGGCTTCACCGGCCGCCACGGCCGCGCCTACCTCGTCTCTGCCCAAAGCACATCGCCCGATCTCCATGAACAATTCCTCCGCAGATCCTCATCCTCATCGACATCGACATCACCATCGGCATCCACCCTCCAGAATCAACCCCAGGCCCAGACTCTACCAAACACACACGTCCACCGCCCTGTCAGCCGCCAACTCGTCACGGGTGCCCACACCGTCAGCGATATAAGCTGCTTGCAATGCGGGACCGTGCTCGGATGGAAATACGTCGAGGCGGAAGAGGAGTCGCAGCGGTATAAAGTGGGGAAATTCATTCTGGAGACGAAGAAGATCATCTCGGCGACGGTTTGGGAGGGCGAAGATGACCGGGACTTGCGTACAAGAAGGGAAGAATCTGGTGGAAGTGGGCGGCGCGGATCGAGGCAGTCGGTGATCAATGAGGGAGAGGGAGTTGAAGATGGGTCTGTTCATAAGCACGAGCACGAGCACGGGCAAGATCACGAGCACGAGCACGAGCATGAGCATGAGCATGAGCAGGACTATTTCTGCGGCCGCGGAAATGAGCGTGGGTACGATAAGCAAAACACGCGGATAGAAGACCCGGCGGACGAGATTGAATTTGACAGCCAGGACGAAGATGAATGCGAGGATCTCTTTGCGGGCATTTGGAGTCCTGGCCTGGCCAACCGCAGACGGAGTCGGAAGCTGGAGAGAAAGCCTGGCTCGATGGCGGCGACGATGTTTGGATTCTCGTGAGAACGAACCTTCAAACGATGGAGAGGATCCGTGTATGAACTATGAAGTGGAAGGCATCGTCTGTTCCTGCATACGGAAGAAGTGGAATTCTCAAAGATGAGACATGAATTACGGGACACGGAAGAATCTATAATTACGAGCGCCTCTTAGGCGGTGATACCACAACCATGCCTCATCTGGGATGATTGGAAATGCTGTCGAAGTGGGTTCTTCACTCGCCCATTGCGAATGCCTCTTAGTACAACAGAGTCCGACGACCTGTTTAAGTATTCTATAAATCCTCGCTGGTGCCGAGGAGACGAGACACGATTGCTAATGACGATAATAATCAAATCAAATTTGTCCAAAATTGACGCACTGCACGTGATTAACGTGTTTCTGCAGCATTGCTCGATAAATCCCGGCTTTTCAGCTCAGATTGTCATTATACACGACGAAGATGACCAGCAATGGAAGAGAGATCAGCAAGAAATAAAGAAAGATCAAAGTACTAAAGCTGCAGTAAAAAGCTCGCAATGGACATCTGAGCGACAACCAGGATAGGGAATAAAAAGATAAGAAAGGAACCATCGAAAAGTGCGAAAATCACAGATCCGAACAAAAACAGAGCCTAGAAAACTGTCTCCCTCGTTCTCTCGTTCTCTCGCTCCCTCATTTTCTTATTTTTTTTTTTTTCATTTTTTTTTTTTTGAACAAAACAAGCCCGTTCACGCATCCTCCACTCGCGCGCGCTTCGACTCGCTATCTGCAGATGTATCCTCGGCGGGTCGCTTGGACGAAGATGACCCCGAGGACTGTGCAGCAGCGGGCTTTCGTCGAACGAGCGAGGACAGATCGTTCGCGTCTTTACTGACGGCGTCGAGACGGGCTTGCTGATCAGGCACGGACTGCCCGACGATCTGGCCGAGGATACCCTTGAGCATGGCCTCGTTCTCTTGTTCCCTCTGCTGAACGGTGACAGGCGCCCGTCGAAGATCGATGAGCTGTAGATTTCAGAAGGTACGAGTTAGCAAGCTGAAAAAAGAATGTCCGCGCTCAATGATCTATCACCCCAGAGCAGGGGCGAGGCATAGGAAACTGAAACTTACCCGTTGCTCCATATCGGCGATGATCTCCTTGCTATTGGAGATTCGCCTCTTGGTCGCAATCTTCTTGTCCTCGTCAAGGTCTCCACGGTCGAGCTTTTGCTGCTCGGAGGCCATCCGTGCCTTGCAGCTCTCAATGGCCCGTTCCATGTGCTCGGCGGCTTCTTTGCGCATCTCTTTGTCCACTGTCTTTTCCTGCCCGTCCTGTTCCTCATCTTCTCCTTCTCCCTGCTGCTGCTGCTGCTGCTGCTGCTGCTGCTGTGAAGCGAATTCTAGCGCCAGAGAGAGCTTGTAATGGCACTCGGCCACGGACGGATCCTCAAAGGGAAACAGTGTGTTGCGCAGATCGAGTGCCGTGCGCAAGTCGGCCACCGCATCGGAAAACCTCTCTCCCTCCAGTGAGATCTCAGCCTGCAGGTCATATGTATCTGCAAGGCGTTCCTTGATGTGCTTGAGATCTGCAGGGAGTTGCGTGTCTGCGGTCTTCCCTTTTCCTTTGTCCGTGCTGCTTTCCTCCGCGGCCTCCAATCTCTTCATGTAGAGGACTCGAGCCAGGTCGAGCACTTCGAACGCGTTGGCAAAGTCATCTTCCTCTTCTTCCTCGTCCCCTTCACCCTCCACCTCTTCGGCGTCTTCATCGTCAGAGTCAACAAAGTTCTCGTCGCCGGTGAATTGGAAGAACGGTTTCGTGGGCGCACTATCCGTTTCACTGCCCAACTTTCCCTTGGACGAGGAAGAGGCGGGGCCCTCGGCCATAGAGCTCGAAATCGCATCCTTGACCAGGCTTCCACCCGTAGCAGCAGCCCCAGACCCAGAAGAAGATGACTTGGCCGTCGCAGCACCACCAGACGACTGAGGCTGCTCCCCGGCAACCTTGGATCCCAGCACATCACTCTTGCTCACAGCAACATTGTAGAGAGATTTTCCGTAGGCGTAGAGGAGGTCGGCGTTCTCGGGAGACATTTCACCGTTCAATTCAGCTTGGAGCTCGGTGGCTTGGGAGTAGAGCTCCGAGGCGGCATTGTGGTCTTTGGCCGCATCTTTTGCGGCTGCGCGGGTGATCAACTCGTTCAATTCTTGGTGCTTGTCTGTCCTTGTGGGGTTCTCGAGCTGAGCGCTTGTTGTTTGAGATTGCTCTGATTCAGCCATTGCGATGATTTCAATAGCTTTCGAAGGAAGCGTAGGAGCGGGAAGTCGTAGGTGTGTGAGTTCAGAGTGATAAGTGAGAGATATTGGAAAACCAAAGATTTTCACTGAGCTTCAGAGGTCAGACAGAATGTCGAGAGTTTGCAGGGTGTTTGTTGATCAAGATATTGTGAAGCGCAAAAAGAGGTGGAAGCGATAGGAGCGATAAGCTCTTCAGAGGGCGCGTGGGGCGGGCGCGGCGCGTTGAACGTTCAACGCGTCTTTTTCCAACTTGCCTGTTTGATCTTCGTGACAGTCTAGCAGTAGCCAGCAGCGACTTCGTTGGGGATTTGTGAGGAAGAGAAGTTATGATACGGGAAGAGATTTCCTGCCCATTTTATAGTTTGCCAAGTTGCTTCCTGGCTCATCGTCTTGGTTGCCCTCTCCGTTAGCACCTCTCTCAACTCCTTTCGACACCACCGGAGCCTCATACATCAACCTCAACGAGGGGACGTCAACACACGCCCAGAATGGATCCTACTACCACACCAGGGCATCCCAATCGCTTCAAGATGGGCCCGGATGCTTCGGACCCAGTTCCATCATCGTCGCCAGGATTCGGCACACCTGCGCGCCCATTGCGATTGGCAAGAGTAAATGCGCCGCCTACAAAGACCTCCATTCTACCCATTCTTCTTCCTCCCGCGACTCTCCGCCCAGTGGCGTTCCGGACCTTCACTCGGAAGCACAATCTGACGATATCTTCTGCGGCGCTGCAAACTCTTGCGGTTTTTGTGGGCAAGAATTGTGGCTCGGGATGGCGCGAAGAAGGTCTGGCCGAGAAGGCCCTGGACGAGGTGGCCAAGGCGTGGAAACGAGCTGGAGGCGGCGTCATTGTGGATGAGGGCAAAGGCGCCTCATTGAAACTGATTCTGCAGACTCTCGAGAGCAGTATGAGTGGAGGTCGAGTGGTTGCTGGGAAGGGAAATGCGCAAGACGGCACTGGGAGACTATCCGCTCTGGTCGTGGACGCTACTGGAAGGATGACCGATGCCAACAATGAGTCGTCACTTTCGACACGAGCTGGTGAGACGGAAGAAGATGATTCAAAGCTACCCCTTCATCCTCGGCATTGGCTTAAAGTTGTCGACGCAACGGACCTTCCGCGCCTTGCCTATAACGTTGATAAAAAGTACTTTGAGGCGCACAAGTCGAAGCCGACGTTGTTCCCGCCTCCTTCTCGCAAAATAGCGCTGTTCCGGGATCGGTACAACCTGGTGTACCAGCGACTTCTACGCAATGAGTCTTTTCAAAGCTCGCTAGGTGTGGCCGGCATGCCGTCTTTGCAGAGGTCGTCGTCAAATCTGGGCATGCAGCAATCTTACAAATTGACCCCAATTGCCAACTTGCTTGGACGCAGCGGCACATCACATTTGATTCTGGGCTTGTTGTCCATCTCGCCTACTGGAGATCTCTCCCTAGTGGATTTGACAGGGACCGTGACCCTAGACCTCAGTCATGCGCGAATGATTCCCGAGGATGGCGCCTGGTTTGCCCCGGGCATGATTGTGCTTGTCGATGGCATCTACGAGGAGGAGGAGATGGTTCAAGGATCCATGCTCGGCGGCAACCATGGTGTCGGAGGAGCCATTGGAGGTCATTTTGTAGGTGTGTCCATATGTGGTCCGCCCTGCGAGCGCAGAGATATCTCTCTTGGAACCGGTACCCGTCAAGGTGCCGGAGATGTCAGTTCTAGTGGTGGATTCGGCTGGGTCGATTTCCTTGGAACTGGCAGCGAGCGTGCACAGGGCGCGCGTATGAGACGAATCCAGGAGAAATGTATTCGGGAAGCAGCAGCAACAGCTGTATCTTCTAATGAATCCATCGAGTCCTCCTCTCCCGCGCGGCTGAAGGTTGCCATTTTGGGCGAAGTCAATCTTGACAATATGAAGACGCTTGACGCACTTCGCAAGGTCTTCAGCACGTACAGTGATCTCGCACTCTGCGATCGACCGGAAGCATTTGTCTTGATCGGCAATTTTGTTCAGACGCCGATCATCAACGGAGGGGGACGAGCTGGAAGTATCGAATACAAGGAATTCTTTGACTCCCTCGCTCTGGTGCTTTCCGACTTTCCTACTCTTCTCCAGCACTCTTCCTTCGTCTTCGTTCCCGGCGACAATGATCCCTGGGCATCGTCCTTCTCAGCCGGCGCAGCAAGCACTATCCCTCGACAACGCATTCCAGAACTCTTCACCTCTCGCATCCGTCGTGCCTTTGCGACAGCAAACAACGAGATTGACAAATCCCACTCCACCGAGCCCCCAGGCGAAGCGATCTGGACTTCCAATCCAACGCGTTTGTCCTGGTTTGGACCCCTTCACGACATCGCCGTATTCCGTGACGATCTATCCGGTCGACTCCGACGCACTGCAATTACCACACGACTCCCCGAGGACGACAACGAGCCAGAAGATAACATCATGCAAGAAGCACCATCCCAATCTCCCTCCCAGAACGCCGTCGATCTTGACGAGGCCAACGGGTCCAAACCCGTCATAAACGGCGGCGCGTCAACATCAACCTCAACCACCGCGTCTACAAACAGCGCCGCCACGGCTCGCAAACTAGTCAAAACGATCCTCGACCAAGGCACAATGTCCCCCTTCCCTGTTCACGTCCGACCCGTCCTATGGGACTATGCCTCGGCAGTGCAACTATATCCCCTTCCAACGGCCTTGGTATTGGCCGACGCCGAAGCTGCTCCATTCTGCATGACCTATGAAGGATGCCATGTGATGAATCCAGGACGCCTGCTGCCTCCAGGTGATGCGCAGATCGTCAAATGGATCGAGTATGACGTCCTGCGGAATCGCGGACGAGTCAAGGAGGAGCGGTTTTAGCCTTGAATCGTCGAATAAATAAATCCATATTGTCTTGGACTCGACTTGCAGAGGTGGCTCGACTCAACTCGGCCCGGCTTCGCCTTGCTCAATTGGAAGAGCTATGTATTCACCGAGTGAATCTCGAGATATGGTAGACTTTGCATCACGACACGACAGGAATGTGACCCTTAAAGATATAATAATGAAACGAACGCGATACAGTCATACCCGCTGCCCTCCAAGCAATCGTCTCAGGCTACTCTACTCAGGGGATCTGTCGATGGGGGTACTCACTCAGACTCTCTGTGCGCATTACCACGTAGACAAGAGTAATGCTTCCTGTGTCCATGAACAAGACCATGTCGAGCGCGCATGGCGTAAGCCCTCAGGGAAGTAATGAAATGAGTAATCGAGCGCACGTGGATACGATATTTGTGTGTGCGGGTTGAATGATCTAAGAATCACGGCTTCACAGTGCCAATTATCAAAAGGTACAGAGTTTATTCAATCATCCTATTGTGAATCAAGGTCTCCTACTTGGCAATTCACACTCGACAACGTACAAACAAGCGAAATCAACACTCAGTCAGTGCCAGGCGGCAGATCCATTCATTTGGTGAGTAACAAGGCTGTCAGCCAGCAAAGTCGACTTCAAAAGGTTGATCTTTCAAATCAAGGCCATAATGCTCTCGATCTGATTCATCTATGATAAACCACACTATCTTTCATCCCAGTGAGTGCCCGGTCCACAATGTCTTCGACAGGTATCTGGACGGGCGAACAAGATTAAACACGGTGTCTATGAGTACATGACATAGGCCTGAACTTCAAGGCGATCAGATCGTCGTCTATGGCCTTGGCCATTGCAATTTCAAAGAATGATGAATCAATTGTTAATGGCGAAACTTGTGGTGATATGCAATGCACTAAACCCCCTGAATGGGTTGTTTCATCAATCCTCGATTTTTCGTTGCCATTCCAAGAAATCCGAGAAAGAAGACAGATCAATCAATGGTTATAACGTCATTGTCGCCTGTCGTAGTCTTCTTCTTGGGTGACACATGTTTCGATTTGACCGCTGATGGAGGCGCAGGCTTCTGCTGGGGTTGCAGCGGTGGCCGAACCTCGAATTTGACCTGGGGATCTACTTTGATGGCGTTGCTGCCCTCTTGCTTCACAGGTTCAGGCACAGGCGCACATGTACCGAGACAGTCGTGCAGCTTATGAAGGAGGTGGCCAATATGACTGATGGACGCTCTGGCACCATCGCCGAGACCTTGCCAACCATCGCCCTTAGCCTTGTAGATCTGCTCCTGAACGACGGCGGAGACGACTTGGAACTCGGGTGATGATTCTCGGCTGGCATCATCCAGTAGCCACTCGGTCTTGCCCCGCCGCGAATGAGCTGTCAACCGGAACCGATACCGTAACCGGGGAAAGTGCATATGGTATGTCGTCGGGCCACGCGTGGTGATGTACACCAGACTTGTCTCCGACTGAGGGGGTTTCTTGACAATTTCATCAAAGCTGTGCAGAAGGGACATCGTCTTGGCCATCAAAGCGAGAACAGGGTCGATTCCCGCCTCAGCAAAGCACTTGTTGAGTACGACGGTGAGGGGTTCTTGGATGCGTCGATGGGGACTTGGGCTGTCAAAGCTAATTTTCAATCGTAGCCTGTGCAGGGGACCAGATTGCGAAATGACTCGAGAAACATCATTCGTATTCGCAAGTGTGGACCCTGAAACCCCAACACTGAACGTGGCGAGCAACTCTTTCTGCGTGCCGTAGAGGAAGGTAATCTGAGACAAAGACATTGATCGCGGCTCCATGCCGCTCCGAATCAGGCGTTGAAGGAGATAGATGACGCAGTCGAGTCGTTGCAAACGCTCAAAGAGACTAAAAATGGCCGTTTGACCAGCTGGCACCTCCAGGCGGAGAGCAAAGGCGCCTCCCTTGTTCTGCACGACGATCTCCGGATCAAGGAGAGAGACAAGCATGGGCAGAGACTTGATCTGGCACTTGAAGTTGCCATGCGCCACTAGGACGGCAAGATTTTGATTACGATCGACACCCTTGTAAGAAAGGCGAATGGTGCTGTTGAGATATGAGCCATCTCGGATGCGTGTGGATGGCAAGTCTAATTGTAAAGATTTGGGTAACGTCGAAGGCTGATAATCAATGTAAAGATCGGGCACCACCAGTTCTTCTTCAAACTGAAACTCTTCCAGAGAAGGCTGGAAGCGCGCTTCTGGCAGTTCAGCCAAAGAACAAGCGTTGGCATAAATCGCCAACATGCCGGTCAAGCCGTAAACTAGTTCGGCGCAAGCGGTGTGATCGGTCCGCCGGCCAAGACCCATCATCGTGTTGCTCACAGCATGCGCCAGCGCTGGATTGGAACCTTTGTCGGGAACTGCGAGCGGCGTGGCTGACCGTCGAACTTCTGGCCGAAGTTGTACAAGCCACCAGCTATCGCCATCCATGCTGCTCGTGGCAGCAACGACCCAGCGGCTGTCCCAGGTATGATGGGTGAAAAATGCGGAACGCACTGTGTTTGGCGGGAAAAGCTTGCGCAAGTCCATTCCAACGACTCTCGGATTGACAGGCTCTAAGCCCAGACCTTTCGAGCCGGACTCGATCTCGTCCATAGCTGAGGCACAGCGAAGGCGAGTGATTCGGCCGAGCACCTCTTCCACAATTGGCTTCTGGGGACCGGGTTCCGGTCGTTCTACCACGCTTGTGGTGCCTGAGAGTGTGGGATTTCCGGTCTGGGGCTCGATGGAGATTTGCAACTTTCGGGTGATAGTCATGTGCAAAGTGAGATAGCAGTCGCTGGGCTCTGAAGAAGAGAGTTTGCCTCTCAGAGAGAGCAAGTGATTTGCGAATAAAAGATTCTTCTTCAAGGTAGTGTAGACGAGTGAAAGCAAATGTGAAATGTGGAGCGCAATCACACTACGCAGGATTCGTTCCATTGACAGTGTGTCGGTATCGAATTTGACACCAGCGCTATTGGTCGATTGACCGTCGCGCATCCAACGAAGGTGCAATTGCGGGACGGCCGAATTTCGATCACCGCTCCCTCGTCGAACGCCGATCTCGATCCAGCTTTTGGGTCCTGCCCTCGCTGTCCAGTATTGCACAACAAGCGTGCGATGCAGCAGTTCGATATGTAGGAGGCCAGACCATAAGCCGTGAGAAAGCTCATGAGCCTGTCGGAAGAGAGTGTTGACTTTATTCGTTAGAACTAGTTGATGGAGGAAGTTGAAGCACGCGAGCAGCCCGTCGCTGAAGAGAATTCGATTTATCTCCACTTCAAGCTCGTCGAGGATCCGACCCTTAGGGATCGGCGAAGAAGGCTGGAAAAGAAATCGGATGTCAACGAAGAAAAATTGAGACGTCTTCGCCTCCTGCGCTACTGAAAGGTCAAGCTCAAATTCACCGGCTACGGTGAATGTAACCCGGCCGTCGTGAATGCGATAATTTCGCAGTGCATATGGGACTTGATCTTGCAATATGAGTCTCGCGCTGATGATTCGGTTGATTTTGTGTAACTTTTTCAGAGTCGTCCGTGGTGACAAAGATTTGGGGGGCTTGTAGCCAAACTGGAAGAATTGAACTTATTAGCACGCTGAGTAGCAAAGCTGCTGGATTTTGGACACATAATTCGGTAGAACTCACGTCTGGCAAAGAAGCAACCCTGCCTTTGGCAAGGACCTCAAGAGCAGTCTTCAAGTCCGGGTTGGCCACCTGAGCCCGAACAAGGTCTTGCTTCATCATCCCCACCGAATGCATGGCAGTCATATAGGCCTGATGACGGGTGCGAATGAAACCTTGAATATCGATCAGTCGGCTCACGTCGGCGGCATGACGACTCCATTCCGAGAGAACAAGAAGCTTGATAAACTCTGCCCTTCTGGCGTGCCCCCATTCCAAGATCTTGAGCTTCTTGTGCATGTTTTGTGCCGATTGATTCCCAGCAGATTTTCCGCTTGCGCCAGGTGCGCTTGAATGGTCTTGCGGCACTTGAACAGTCGCCAGATCCGATATTAATTCCGTGAGCTCATTCCAGCAATTTTGCACCGCTCGATGGACAAGCGTTCCGAAAGGAAAGAAGCCTTGTGTGATATGTGGAATGTCGAAGGGATTGGGGGCACGCTGGAGTGCTTTCGAATGTTGCTTGGCTGATTGTGCATCGCGACCTGTGCCATTCACATGTGCTAACCCATTTGAAGATGTCCGAGAACCCAATTTTTCGCTTCCACCCGCCGCGCTCAATGCGCCATGAGTTGCGGCCTCGTTAGGACCGGCCCTGTGCGAGGACCCATTCATGTTTGCATTTTCCATTATGACACCGGGCATGTCTGATACGTTGTGTAATGGGCGATTGTGTCCGGACAGAATCTGATTCCCTGGGGTGACCTCTCTTCGACCAGGCGCACTGCACCGACCAAGCGACTTGCCTGAGCCGCCGGCGCCAGAACACAAACGATGTCGGTGCTATGCTAATAGCTGAACAATGAGGCACAGAGACCAGGGCAGGGACCACCGATTCAACCCAGAGCCATGCGTATCGAAAGGCGTCTCAAACAACGAGCCTGAGCATAATCAAGGGGACGTTGCCGGAGGGGGACCAATGTCCAGACCCGAGGAGTTGTCGAGATGAAGCTTGGAGAAGAGAGTTACCAATGAGCGAGGGCTGCGTCGTGAGGTAACTGCGTGGGCAAGTGAGACCTCGGGTGAGGGGACGACGATGCCGTGCGATTTGCGCCGAGGGTTGCTGATCACGATCTCAGAGTCGTTTCTCGTAATGGTGCGCTGGAAGATTCCCGCGCTCGAAGCTGGCTGAAGCGAATTACGTGAGGAGAGCGGAGTGGTGAGGCGGCGAAAAGACAGTCACCACGGCGGCAGTTGGGGCTGAAGAAGATACACAGGGTTATTGAATCTCGAAACTCAGCGGGAAGTTCAGAGCTGCCCAGACTTAGAGCGATCGACTGAAAGCGCGATGCGTAGCGGCCGACTGATTGCTGCCGTGGTGCCTTGGTGCCTTGATCAACCAAACTTGTTCAGGTACCGCATTGACTTCGAGGGTGTTACCGTACGCAGCAGCCGCCGTTCTGCTTTGTGTATTACTGTATTGCGGGCGCGATACAGGCGTACTGTACTAGTTTACTGCGGGAGGAATGGCGCTGAATTGCACTAAATCACAGGTACCTCGACAATGCGCCATATTACATAATCACAGACTCGAGGGGTCACGGTGTATTGACTTTGGTAAACTTCAAACGCAACAGCTGATGCCATGATCATCCCATGACCTCACCATCCCGGAACGACTATGAAAGCGGGTTGTTTCCCCTCTTCAAGAGCACCCAGGCTCCACCTTATCGAGGCCAAAGGCCCCCTCAGAATCTATGAGTCTCAATCAAGTTGAAGATACAGAGGAGGTTGAGGCTTCTGGCCTTCTTCCTCATTACCCCGGGGATGACCCGCGACCGACAAGCAAGCGCGAGCTTGCAGGATGGTATTGTTATGGCTGGGCGGCCGAGGTCTTTACCGTGTGTGCCATGGGTATGTGCTACTGCATGGACAGCACAACGCGACATTAATACGTACTTGGCGCTTGCCAAGTTGATACTGACTCAAAGAATAGGATCATTCCTCCCGATTACGCTCGAACAGCTTGCGCGGGATCGCGGCGTTCTTCTGTCAGACAGAACTACACCATGCACCCCGACATGGAAATCTGAAACGGACCTGATCACCCACGGTGATGGATATCACATCCAACGACCCGATGCTGGGCAGTGTATCATCAATATCTTAGGGGCCGAGATTAATACAGCAAGCTTTGCCATGTATACCTTTTCGCTCAGTGTCTTCGTCCAAGCGATTCTCATCATCTCCATGTCGGGGGCTGCCGACCACGGAAGCTATCGCAAACAATTACTGGTCGCTTTTGCATTCATCGGTGCTTCTGCTACGATGCTATTCCTCGCCGTGATACCCCGCATATACCTGATAGGCGCACTTCTTGCGATCGTCGCCAACACTTGCTTTGGTGCTTCTTTTGTCCTTCTCAATTCATATCTACCGGTCCTTGTTCGTCACCATCCCGCTGTGCTGGAGAAGAGTCAGGCCGTGTCCGACGCCCTTGATGCCGCTAGACACTGGGCGCACAATTCTGGCGTGATCGAGGGTGATGTGCTCCGGCCGCCTGACGCCACCACACCACTCCTGCCTCCTGATGGCTCGGCGGAATTGCAGGACCCGCTGGATGTGATGACTTCGATGGAGCTTCGCGTGTCCACCAAGATCTCGTCGTATGGAATTGGCATAGGATATGTTGGCGCAGTGATCTTACAGATGGTTGCCATCATGGTAGTTGTAGTCTTTCACCAAACCACATTCTCCTTGCGGCTGGTGCTATTCTTGATTGGACTCTGGTGGATGATTTTCACCATCCCCGCGAACTTGTGGCTTCGCACTCGCCCGGGTCCCCCATTGCTTGCCAATGATGGGAAGCCATTGGACTCTTGGGGCGCTTATCTTCGATACTCATGGAAGTCCCTCGCGAAGACCGCCCTGCGAGCCCGCCGTTTGAAGGATATTCTCATCTTTCTGTCGGCCTGGTTCTTGCTCAGTGACGGCATTGCCACTGTCAGCGGGACGGCGGTTCTGTTCGCCAAAACCGAGCTGGATATGAAACCTGCCGCGCTTGGGTTGATCAATGTGATTGTCATGGTGGCGGGGGTCTTTGGTGCTTTCTCCTGGAGCTTCGTGTCGGGGTTTCTGGGACTTCGCACTTCACAGACTATCGTTGCTTGCATCATCCTCTTTGAATTGATCCCGCTGTATGGAATCGTTGGATTTATTCCTGCGGTCAAACAAGCGGGCATCGGTCTTCAACAGCCCTGGGAGATGTATCTGCTCGGGGCCGTGTATGGTTTGGTGATAGGCGGCCTGTCGTCCTACTGCCGCAGCTTCTTCGCCGAGCTGATCCCCCCGGGATACGAGGCTGCCTTCTACGCATTGTATGCGATCACCGACAAAGGATCAAGCATTTTTGGTCCGGTCATTGTCGGGTTGATCACCGATCGCTATGGTCAGATTCGACCCGCGTTCGTCTTTCTAGCCGTTCTCATCTTTCTGCCACTGCCTCTCATGCTTCTCGTTGATGTTGACCGTGGCAAGCGAGATGCTCTGGAGCTTGGTGCGGAGCTGGACCATCTGACCGAGGCCCCGGTCTACGGTGAGACTGAGCCTGTCGCGCCTCTGTAAATATCCCATTGAAGTATGCTGTTTTCCCCATTGACTCTAATTTTACTTTCTCTCTTTCTCTCTCTCTCTCTCTCTCTCTCTCTTTCTCTTTCTCTGGCCCCGTCATTCGTCGCAGATACCCAGTAAATATACGCATATATGAACATATGAAACGAACTGTGTTCCCCCCACCCCCTCTTCTTTTTTTCTCCGAAAATGGCAGTGACCATTTTACTGTCCACGTCTGCACTGTACTGCCGATTCTTCTACTAGCTATCCCAGGACGAAAGTGGTCTTAGGACTGACAATGTGCCTCGTCAGAGGTCACAACAACATTCTGAATCCTATAATCCTATACACGAGTAACACAGCCAGCATCGCATCCAGCATCGGAGCCAGCATCGTAGCCAGATCCGTTACGTCTAGCCAATCATAGGCTAGGGTTGATGCCATGAAACTAAGGCGCGGGTCTATACGTCACGTGTTTTGTGTTTTCTACACCGCTATGGCAGAACTCCTCTCCCCCTAGGAGAAAAAAGAATACTATCATATGACCCCCCCCCCCCCCCCCCCCCCCCCCCCAAACGTATATCCCGAAGAAGTTAGCCTAAATTATTGTTGTTGTGTCTCTGACAAGACATAATGAAGTATAGACCACGAGAGCAGAAGACAATCTGCTGAGACTTTGGGGGAAACGATTACAGAGAGATGTTCACACTTGCGGAGTCGAGCATCTAGATAGTGGCCACGTTGACTATTTAGTATTTAGTATAAATCCGGCAATGTGGCCTCTTCGTCTGAAAATTGTGCATGAAAGTCAATTTCTCAGGAAACTGCACGGAAGAAGATCCTCGTTCCACATTTAGCACGGTAGACGCGCCGAGCCGGGCCTGAGATGCAGACCGTCAGGGCTGTACATTCAACACTGTACCGGTGTACCCTGCAGTCCTGCACAGACTCGAGAGTCGAGACCATGTCACTGTACCTGTCTGGACGCACTCTTCTCCCTGTTTAAACAGTACCCAAGGACCTACTACCCGGTATCTACAGTAATGTGCGCACTGGGAGTTATGATGTATATAATAAGTTACTAGAAGTAAGAGGTAAGTCAGGTAATGGTAGGTACTGGTGGTAAATAGTTAATACTTGTTTCATGTGGTGACAAGGTTCCCCATCCCATCCCATCCCCATCCTCCCCATTTCCCCCAGTTTTGGATTCCTCACGCTACACCGTCTTGGGTCAAGGTCGGAAGTGGCACTCTTGCGCTAGTGGAACACTCGGTCTGCTACAGAAAAGAACACGATTTCCCCAACAGAGCAGGGGTATCAGTTACTGGATTTATCACTACAATAATAGTACAATTTCTGCCGAGACAGTCCCCAGCCTTTTCTTAAAATGAAATTAAAAAAGTCAAAGTTTTGGAGAGTAGATCCTTGGTTACTAAGAGACAATATTGAATAATTATACTACATATATAGTACAATCATACTATATCATCGTCGTCCTTCTCCACATTAGTAAATGGTAAACACGAAATACTGCAGGCGGGTAATGGGTATACCAGTATAGTACTTCACCACTTCTTATATGGGACCATTAATGACCAATTCTTGTGTAGTTCCGAGAAAGGAAATAGAAACACACTACTGAGTTAAGTGAGTAGTGTCCCAGCCATGGTTGCATGAGCTCCTCACGGAACGCCACTGGCGGTGGACACTGAGATCCACCGGCTGTTCCTGACAGGAGTGCTGGGAGCTTGGAGCTTGCTCCTCGCCTCCTACTCCAAAGTCCAAACAAAGTCGGTCGCCTCTTCATGACTGGAAACTTAGCCGCTGAAGAAACTCCACGAGAGAATTCCCGCAATGGACGTGGTCCTTCATAATGGATTATGAAGTAGTACGTGTCTGACTCTGGGTTCAAAGATGGTTAGCCTTGGTACTCGGTACTTTAATAGTCTTGCTAGGAGTAGCAATACCTGAATTCTACTGCTGATAGTAACAGCCTAACAGATAGTGCAGGAGGCTACAAATCTATCCTACCTTATTCGGTCATAGATGTCACTGTTCCTTGGTTGTCAACAGTGACCGACACTGTTGGCAGTTGACAGTTGACATCCATCAACGGAAGCTCCCAATGCAGTACTACCACACTAGAATACTGGAATATCTTTCTGCATCTTTTTCTCAAGTTTTCAGTTATTTTCAAGACCAGACACCTGGACACTGACAGCAGTAAACATCTCTGCAGCTGGTCCTCTAATACAGCTAGTCTGAAATCTCCCCTTACTGCCCTCCCGGAAAGGGGACCACCCTGCATACTTGCAGTGTATCATGGATGGTCCAGGGCTGATGGGCGTGGGCTTGGGGAAGTCAGAGGTACCGCCGACCCAGTAAGAGAGTCACCCGTACCACTTGTACCACTTGTACCACAGGTACCTCTTGTACCACAGGTACCACATGTACCACACTCTGGCGGCGAATGACCGCTCAGCGACCGACTTCGTGAGGGGAACCAAAGGCTCCACTCGGATTTGCTCCTGTGGATGCGCTCTCCACTCTCCAACTCTCCACTGGCACTCCGGCCCGCAAAGAACAAACTGTCCTCTACGACCGGACAAGGTGATTAATCATAAATACGTTCAGCTTCTCCCTCCGCTGGCCTCCTTCCTTTCCCTTCCTCCATCCGCCTTTGTATACTACAGCCGTCTGGGTAAGTTTGGCTCTTCATCAATGCCTTGTGGTGGATGACACATGGCACATTGGTTCTTTCGGTGTATTGCCCAAAGCTCCCTCCCGAAGGAAACTGGCGTTGTTATGTTGATCATGATCCTGTCGAAGCTCCGAAGGCATCCAGAGGAGAAAAGACATCCAGAGGAGAAAAAAAAATGAAAGCCGCATGGAGAGAGAGTAACGCCAGCTAACTCATCATTGATACGAATAGGTGATTACGGCTTTCCATATACAACAACCATCATCATGCGGTCCTTCACCCCCCTTCTGCTGAGCCTCTTGGGCGCCTCTGCCGCCGTCTCGGCCTCCGAGCCCGCTGCTGCTGCCGCCGCCGAGGCTGCTGCGGACTCTAACGTCCACGTTTTGACCGCGGACAACTTCAATGACTTTGTCAAGGAGCACGAGCTGGTTCTCGCCGAGTTCTACGCTCCCTGGTGTGGTCACTGCAAGGCTCTGGCCCCCAAGTACGAGGAGGCCGCCACAGAGCTGAAGGGCAAGAACATTCCTCTCGCCAAGGTCGACTGTACTACTGAGGAGGAGCTCTGCCGTACCTACGAGGTGGATGGTTACCCCACCCTCAAGGTCTTCCGTGGCCCTGACTCTCACAAGCCTTACACTGGCGCCCGTCAGACTGACTCGTAAGTTTTTGTTTTGTCTTCCCTTCAAATTGACAACACAAGACAAGTGGGTCGAGATACAGACAATAGGAAAATGTGGACTAACTCGACAATAGCATCGTCTCCTACATGACCAAGCAGTCAATGCCCGCCATCTCCATGTTGACCGAGGAGACCTTGGAGGAATTCAAGACCATGGACAAGATTGTCATCGTCGGTTACCTCGGTGCCGATGACAAGGCCACCAACAAGAGCTTCACCACCTTCGCCGAGTCTCAACGGGATAACTACCTCTTCGGTGCCTCCAACGACGCCGCTCTCGCCAAGGCGGAGGGTGTCAAGCAGCCCTCCATTGTCCTCTACAAGGACTTTGACGAGAAGAAGGCCGTCTACGAGGGCAAGCAGGATCTCGAGTCCATCCTCGCCTGGGTCACCGTTGCCAGCACTCCCCTCGTTGGTGAGCTGGGTCCCGAGACCTACTCCAAGTATATGGCCTCCGGTATCCCCCTGGCTTACATCTTCGCCGAGACCGCCGAGGAGCGTGAGAAGTATGCTGAGGAGTTCCGCCCCATCGCTGAGAAGCACCGTGGCGAGATCAACATTGTGACTCTCGATGCCAAGGCTTTCGGTGCCCACGCCGGCAACCTGAACCTTGAGCCCGAGAAGTTCCCCGCCTTTGCCATCCAGCAGACCGACAAGAACGCTAAGTACCCCTATGATCAGACCAAGAAGATCGACGCCAAGGAGATTGGCAAGTTCATCAAGGATGTTTTGGCTGGCAAGATTGAGCCCAGCATCAAGTCTGAGCCCATCCCCGAGGGCAAGGACGGCTCCGTGACCATCATTGTCGGCAAGAACTACCAGGAGGTTGTCATGGATGACGAGAAGGATGTTCTCGTTGAGTTCTATGCTCCTTGGTGCGGTCACTGCAAGGCTCTGGCTCCCAAGTACGAGGAGCTCGCTGCCCTGTACGCCAACAACGACGAGCTCAAGGACAAGATCGTTGTCGCCAAGGTTGACGCCACTGCCAACGATGTTCCCGACTCCATCACCGGCTTCCCCACCATCAAGCTCTTCCCCGCTGGCAAGAAGGAGGAGGCCGTCGAGTACGCCGGTGACCGCACCGTCGAGGATCTCGTCAAGTTCATCAAGGAGAACGGTAAGTACCAGGCTGACGGTCTGGCCGGTGGTAAGAAGGCTACCGAGGGCGGTGATGTCACCTCTGCCCCTTCGGCCACTGCCACCAAGGTCGTCGAGACCCCGGCCGTTGATGAGGACATGGATGTTCACGATGAGCTGTAAACGGGGACTTTTTTCTCTTCTGTCAAACTCTTCCTACGAGAGTAGAGAAAAAAAAGTCTCTTGTCTTTTCTTTTCCTGGGTTTCCGAATTTTTTACAATTTTTTTCCCCATGTATCATCACTAGTGAAATGAAATACCTGTTGTGATGTCAAGACTGCAGCGTCGCCCTGAGATTGTTCATTTGGACAGCGCTGAGTACCTAATAGTACAGTACCCTGGTATATCTTCGACCCTTGAATGGTAGTAGTCCCGACTCCCTAATAGAGCCTAGCCGGCTGATCACCAATCCACTTCGTCAAACATGCGGGGGTTGATTTCGAGTACACCTCATGAATATTTGCTCATCTCGATTCCATCATCGTAGGAGCTCTGTTCCGACTTGATAGAACAGCCGGGGCGCCCTTGACGTGTCGAATGCGAGTACGTTATCCCGTTGGCGCTGAAATGACCGACGACCCTGCGTCATCCCGGCCTCCGCACACCATCCGCTTATCTTATCCGCGACGCGTCCATTTCTCCTGTCGCGCACGCGCGATCAATTGGTGACAGGTCCGCGAAGCATCGCTACTAGGAATCACATCCTTGAACTGGAAAGTCCCTCAACCTTGATCTTTGCGTGTCAACTTTTGCAAGAGAAAAAAAATCTATTTGGATCTCTCGACGATCGCAGATAGACCGTACCTTTTTTCTACTCTGACCCCCCTGCATGCGTCGTCGTCTCCTTTTTAATCTCCGCCAAAAAACACGAGATCACCTCGCAACACTCTCCCACCCACGATACATTACCACTACCACCAGCTCCGTCAAAATGATCAGTCCTGCCGCAAAACGCAAAGCCGACCACCTCTCCACCCCGGCCACCACCACGGACCCCAAAAAGCCCAAGGGCGGCAGCATCACCGCGTTCTTCGGCGTCCCCAAGCCCAAGCCCAAGCCCAACGCCCTCGGCACACAGACCAACGGCACCGCCAGTGCGCTAGAGTCTTCCACGACTCGCGCGTCCAACTTTAACAAGGAGAAATGGGTGGCATCCTTGACCTCGGAGCAAAAAGATCTGTTGCAGTTGGAGATTGACACATTGGATGAGAGTTGGTTGGCGCATCTCAAGGATGAAGTCGTGACGACGGAGTTTTTGAATCTGAAGCGGTTCTTGAAGAAGGAGAAGGAAGGCAAGGTGAAGATCTTTCCGCCAGAGGAGGATGTTTACTCATGGTGTGTACAGCAAAACCCCCCTTCAATGGTGTAGAACTGCAGCCTGATGTCGAACGCTTCCGTTCCTAGCTAACCACCCTCTCTTCTCACGCGTATCAGGTCCCGATATACTCCCCTCCACACCGTCAAAGCCGTGATTCTCGGCCAAGACCCCTACCACAACGACAACCAAGCCCACGGCCTCTGTTTCTCCGTCCGACCACCTACCCGCGCCCCTCCGTCCCTCGTCAACATCTACAAGGGTATCAAAAAGAACTATCCCGACTTTGTGCCCCCACCCAACAACGGCGGTCTCCTCACACCCTGGGCTGAACGCGGTGTCCTCATGCTGAACACATGTCTGACGGTGCGCGCGCACCAGGCAAACAGTCATGCTGGTAAGGGGTGGGAGCGGTTCACGCAAAAGGCAATTGATCTTGTTGCGCGCGTGCGGAGTAATGGGGTGGTGTTTTTGGCGTGGGGAAAGCCTGCGGGGTTGCGGGTAGCCAAGGTCAACAAGGCGAAGCATTGTGTCTTGCAGTCGGTGCATCCGAGTCCGTTGAGTGCGCATGGTGGATTTGTAAGTCTCGCGGCACTTTTTGTGATAATTTTTTGTTTCTTTTTTGGTCTCCTTTCTGCCTGACTCCATCCAGGCATTGTCGATGCGTGGGCTAACACTTCGCGTCTAGTTTGATAACGGGCACTTTAAGAAATGCAACGACTGGCTCGCGGAACGATACGGCGAAGACGGAATCATCGATTGGAGCTTGACGCCGACCAAGAAGGCGGCTGGCCATCCGCCATCTGCACCGACTCCGGTCGGAGGCGCAGGAAAAGAAAACTCCACGCCGTTGACCGATGCACTTAATTCGGCATCGGCGGTGGAAGCAGCGAAGGTGGAGAAGGCGGGTCAATTGAGCACTAGTGCCGGAGCTGAGGACGATGAGTTTGATGATGCGGATGCGCTGGAAGCTCTGGTTGAAGCGGAAAAGGAGGATGTATTGGAGGCGGAAGGGGAGAACACGAAGAAGGTTGTATAATTTCACCCTTGTATTCTGGTGGTATCTTGATTGTTGTCAACTCAGAAAGTCAAATATTGGAGATCTGTCAGCCCCGGAAGATGACCTTTTCGGGCGTTCCATTTGAGAATCTCATTTGCTACCTTGTGATGATAGCATAGGTAATTGAACACGATTCCATTCGATCCGATGGATGGATTCTAAAGTCAGCCGTTGATAAAATCATCTTTTCCGTTTCCACTCTATCATGATCGAGAACTCGACATTAACCTCCCCCACCCAGAAAACTTCCCAAGACTCCACTTCCAACCCCCCCAAGCCGAGAAATCCACAACCCGAGACCCGAGCTTCAAGCTTATCTGATTGTGACCCAGTAACCCAAAATTACTCAATGACCCCAACACGGATTAAGCAAGATTCATCCCAGAGCCGCACATCTCTCGACTGTAATCTCGCGGTACCAGGATAGCACGTGCACGTGCTATTCTCCCAACTCAAGCCTAGGCCTACTCGTGCGCAACGGGAGAGTTTCCTGCACCCTCCAGGGGGCGTTTCATACGCTTCGCTAGCTTCACTGCCCCATTATGGAAATCACATGGCTGGCTGATACGCCGCAGTCGCGGAATCGGGTGCGCGCACCAAAGGCCTGCGCGGATTGTCAGCGGCGGAAGGTGAGTTTTGTACGGGAGTCTGATTACGTTTTATGGTTAGGGCCGGTGTGGTGTGGATGTGAGAAATCGGGGTTTCTTAGTTGTCCGCAAGCCGGGGCTGAAGGGATGGGATGAGATAGGTTCATGGATGTTTGCGGTATAGACGAAATGGGCTAATTTCTTGTGATAGAAACGATGTCGTCACTTTCTGCCATATCCTCAATTGGGCTCAAATGAACGGGCGAGGGGTGTTCGAGGTCAAGACCAGGCTCGAAAGAGCGTGTCCGGTCATGAGATTGGGGCTGATGGCAGTGCCAATGACCAAATCCAAGACGATATCAGACCACGACCTTCGACTTGTTCTCGCTCTGCATCGACGGGGCGCACGATTTCACCAACGGTCTCAACATCAATATCAGCATCAGTATCGCCGTCGTCGCCCATGGAGCGCTTCGTCGGCGATCTCAATCCGGAGGCCGTGATTCGCGAACGGCTCGACGAGTCCACGCCAAACTCTCTTCGAGATCGTGTAGGTGTTTGGATTAACCCGGGGGATCGTGAAGAGTCTACGCGGACTGCGAGCTCACATGTACATACGTCACTCAATCTGAACACCCTGCACCCCGAGGTTTCGGCCCAGCAAGATCCGACTATCACCGCCACCCTCGTCCAGCAATATACGTGCGCCTTGCAGGCTTGCAGTCGACTTCCTCTGTCGACGGTGGAACCACTGACGGCGCTGTTCATGTCCAAGATCAATCCAATTATTCCTCTACTGGATCCTTCATCAGTCTCGTTCTCATCATCATCAACAAAATCATCACCGTTACACTCCAACTCCAACATCAATACAAACCACATCTCTCATCTGTCACCCGCAACGAGACCCTCCCCCCTCCTCGAACGAGCAATCTGCCTCGTCGCGGCCAAGGACGCCTCTGCCCACCCTCACTTACACCTCACCACCACCACGTCTCCCCCACTCTCGACCCGCCATTTCTGCACCAAGCTCTACAAAGGCCTCGTCTCCGCCATGCACGCCGGTCTCGAACCAGACCGATACACCCGCATCCGTATTCTCGCACTGATGTCTCTACACTGCGAGGGTTACGAAGGCGCAGAGTCTGCATCGCTGCATCTGTGCGAAGCGATCCACCAGGCTCAGACGGCGGGACTGCATCTTGCGCGACCGGGCCGGAACGCGCACGATGCGTCGTCGCTGGTGTTCTGGGCGTTGTGGACGTTGGACAAGATGAATGCTTGTTTGGGAGGCAGGGCGGTGATGTTGGCGGATAGGGACATTGGGCTGGAGAGGCCGTGGAGGAATTGGTGGGGAGGGAGTGGGGAGGACGCGAGCAGCATGCAGAGTCAGAGTCAACATCGGAGTCCAGGGCAGAGTCAAAGTCAGGGCCGAAATGGTCCGAGTCGATCACTACGCTGTGATCGTCATCTGGAGCCATTTAGAGTGTGGTTTGGAATTTCCGAATTACTCGATACGGTCATCTCTTTCTATCGGCCTGGGGCTGGGGAGTCGAGCGGATGGGAAGATGGATTTCCTGCATTTGAGGATATAGTGGGGGAGACGAGACCGGGGGATTTGGATTACAACACACTGTGTAAGTACATGGTCGAAGAAAAGAAAAGAAAAGAAAAGACAATCAGAATCACGATCACACTTCAAAGTATTTTGTCACAGTGCTCTGATCCTCGGTCTTTTGTCTTTCTGTCTTTCTGCCTTGGACATACATCCGAGTCCCCTACTCCCAGACCCAAAGATATCGTGCCCTAACGACCAGAGCAGCCTTCCTCGAACTATACTACCACTCCGTCGCCATTCTCTCTCGCCGCCACAAACCCCGCGAACCGCTCGATAATTCCAAACACTCTTCCATCCGTCAAGGTCTCTCCGCCCTCCGCATCCATTCCCTCCTCACATCCTCGCAGACCCTAACCCAGACCCTGACTAAACCATCCACCTCAACCTCTGAACCACACTCCAGACATTCCCTCTCCAACACTACCACCGCAAAAAGTACGCGTAGCGCCAGCACCAGCACCAGCACCAGCACCAGCACCAGCACCAGCAAAAGACTCACAAACCCCAACCTCCCTGCCCTCCCCCTAATCCCCTACTCCATCTCCCTGGCCCTCGGCGTCTCCTACCGCCAAGTGCGCTCCAGTAAACTGATCACGTACCTGGACCGGGCGAAAGCCAGCCTCGCGGCGAATTGTGCGTTGCTGGAGGATCTGAGCGAGCAGTGGTATGCTGCTGAGGCGATGGCGCGGTTGGGACGGAAGGCGTTGGTGCAGATTGGGGATGGAGGGGGAATTGATGCACGGGGGAGATGGACGGGGACGAGGTCGAGGGCAAGGTCGAGGTCACCGCGGGACCAAGAGCTTGGGTATCGTCAATCTGTGACGGCGAGGGTTTCTCTCGCGCCGGTGCCGGTACCGGTGCCAGGGCCAGTTACGATGGCGACAAAGATACCGGGAGAACACGACATACTTCTACAGGGCATGGCTGCTGCTGCTGCTGCTACTGGTGAAAATGGAGGTAGCCTGCTTACTACTTCAACGCCGAACCACAACCAGAGCCAGAACCATGATCTCCCTCTCCCTCTCTCCCCTCGATCACTTTCTTATCCGCATCAACACCTCCAGCATGAACAACAGCAACAGCAACAACAAGAACAACAACAACAGCTCGAGCCAGACCCAGCAGCATCTGCGACAGCGGATACCGCTACAACCGACCCAATCAACCACTTCACCGACATTGACATGATCTTTGGCGAATTTCTGGATCTATCCATGCCGACTAATTTCAATTTTTGGGATCCGATTTTTGCAACGGATGGGGATGGAGATGGAGATGGTGATGATTTGTTGGATGGGTAGGGTGCGCAAAAACTTCAGTTTACAAGTCTCGAGTCTTTCCAGCTAGGGCGGTCCAGTGGTGGATTGTCATCCAGAACGAAAGGAGGAGTCTTGCGGCGTCTGAAGTGAATCGCATATCGGATCATATCATTTTCGATCTCGATTCTCGAATCTCTTGACTCGATGTATGAGACTACCTAGTCCCTACGTATCGATACCCCTTGCGTTTTTTTTTTTTTTTTTTTTTTTTTTTTTGCCTTCTGCTTCGTGATAAATTCGATTTGCTGGATGGATGTCCAAATGAACTATCGTATTGAGTATTAGGCCACCGCAGAGCTACAGTACATGCCTTACTGACAGTGGTATTTCCTCGGCATGAACTGCTTTCTCGGAGGTTCGATACTACATAGTACGTAATTACGTACCATACCACTTACTCGGAGTGTTGACGGGGAAACAATGCAATGCAGTAATGACGAACCTAAGGAACTCGGGACCTGTCATCTGACTCTGCACTGTGCACTCTACAGCGCCACTGCAGCTCGAGTCCTCTTGAGCATCATCTCCTTGGTCAAAGAGTACATGAACGGATAATGTCCGAATGATCTTCTTTTCCCGTCCTAGGGTGATGACGAAGGCTTCTCTGAAGAGCTGGCGGTCCGTCATGATCTTCTCATCCACTAATTTGGCTTAAATTGCAATCATTTCCACGTGCGCCCAAGCCTGTACTCTTAACTTTGTTACCTTTGTGCATCGGTATGATTTCGGCAGCCGATCAAGTCACCGGCAGTGAAATCACTGCAAACCCGAAGGATTTCAATTTCCACGCGACTCCACCGGTTCCAGCGCGCTGGGACTCGGAACGCGCACGAATTTGAGTCGCGGATTTGAGTCGAGTCGGATTTAAGGGCAATACACTCGTTGCAATGTGGTTGATGGGGATGTCTTTGGATCTGAATTCATTGAAGGATGTATCACTTACCGAGTTGATGGACTCGTTCTCGCAGTGATGGTGACTGTTGGGGGGGGGTTCCATTTCTCATGGCTATTTTGTAGCATATCTTCACGACAGTCCATTTCATGGTATGTACTAATGTAGTATACACCTCATCAACTGTGGATTTTATGGTGTAAGTGCCTAGTTACTTGGTGTGTGTCGTGTGCCTGTGGTGAGCCGTAGATCATCGTCGAGCAGATATGTTAGGTAATACGTATACAATCTACCATCTAATCATCCATTGTCCATCACCGGACTAACGTACTTTATATAGAGTACTCAACTTTGACAGTCACGATCGATATCCGTAGGATCCATCTCTAGTCAGAATCTCAATTGATCCGATCTTCCGATCTCAGCACGGTTGAGAAATAAACCCCCAACCCGAATGCGCCTCAATGCTCTATATACTCCAGTCTTCCACTACCCGACTATCTGTAGACATCTACAGTCATCACGCAAGAGTCAACAGTGCCCTCACCGATGGGAATCACGGTGCTACTGGACTCATTTGTCTTGTCAATCCTTTGCGCACCGTACCCCGTTCCAGCCCGCCTCGTCTCGAGGCTCGTGCTCCGATCCTGTCCTATCCTGTTCCAGTCAGACGCGCCTTGAGGCTGCAGTCTGGACTCTGGATCAATTCCATCTCGGTATCGAGAATGGCCCCTTTTTCCTTTTTTTTTTCTTGATTTCCTTTTTTTTCTCGAAAATGTACAGTCATTAGCCATTCCGGCTTTTGAACGCGAGTCAGTTGGTCGTAAGTCTGACTCTTCCATGTGTTGATCTCCCCCTCACCCGCGAACTTGAGACGGTCGTCCGTTGTCTGTTGACTCTACTATGGACCATCGAGCAATTCAAGGTCCCACCTGCTGGGCACAATATCAATCTCCATGAATGATCATCCACTCTTCCCTCTTGCACTGAAGTATTTCCCAGTGCCAACTGTCCAGCTCATCCATCCTCCAGCCTCCCCCTCTCCGCCATCACCAGCCGACCGGGCTGAGACACACCGACCAATTTGACTCCCTGCTTTCGTCCTCGTGTCCGCCTCGTCTGCTCCACCAAAGGCCGTACCCGCTTTTCCACTTGTCCAGGAACGAAAAAGAACATTCCAGCCTCTGTAGAGTCGGACTAGTAGACTTGGACTACAGTCACGACTCACGACTACACTACTCCAGTACGGAGTAGTGAGGACTGGGTACTGTTGTCACGTTGTGGTGTCTGTGTATCAGATTATCAAGTGTTGTCACTTGAAAGTACAACCCTAACCCGCGCGAGAATTACGAGGTCGAGTGTCTGCGTGAATCCAGTGAATCCACTTCTTCCCCCCCCCACAGCCCACTCCAATTAAACACTGGCCTCAGAATCATACTTGCCTCTGTCCCGTCCACACATTCTATTCCCACGGACGGACTGACGGACTGACGGACTGACGTTTGGACACCCCGCGATAACAAAAGAAAAACAAAAGACAAGACAGGTAGGTCCTGGACCCAGCACTCCTCACCTTCTCCCTCGGCAAACATCCCCATCTCATGCGCACCCCTTCAGGATCAACCTCGCCAGGGGTAATCTCATCACAGCCACCGATTCGGGGCATCTGCGACTCGGTCCAGGATCTCTGGCCCGGCCATCCAGGGACCCCTGTGGTTCCAGCCATCCGGGCGCATTGATCTCGACACACGCATCCAGGCGTCTGCACGTTTCACGTCCTTGGATCTCTGCGGCAGTGGATCGTTCATTTCCCACCGTTCCAGGTCTGGCTAGCTAGTAAATCGAACAGCCAGCACCGACGGCATTCATCATACATCATTGCTGGTACCGCAACGACATACAAGCGGCCACGGGCACGGCTGGATCGGGATTGGCCAATTTCCTTCTTTGATCTTCATTATCGCCGTGACCTTGATCTTTTCGGTCTTGAGCGTCGCATATAGTATTGTTATATCCAACATCCTCACCGAATCTCGGCGCTCTCACAGTTTCTTCCAGAAGAATGCCGTTGCGGGCTAGTTTGGTGCTGAGCTTGGGTTGACCCTTACCGGACGATTGTTCTATCCTCTTCCTCCCGCCGGCAAGAGATACTTGACGTTCAGACAATATACTCCTTGCTATATTAATATAACCCCCCGGCCAACTCCAGTGCGTTGAGATTCCGATCCCACCTTCTCATCCGAAGAATAGATACCCAGATTCGACATTCACGGTGAATCTGCGAATCTGAGCACCCATCACGACGGAATGCCGACGGCGACGGTGGTCAACGTCCCGGCGGTCTCCTTTCCATCCCATCTCAAGGCCGGGCCGGAGCATCCTGAGCACCCGTCATCATCATGCACAGCCATACCAGAGACTCATGACTCCACCCAGTCACCTCCCCCGCACCCATTCATCCCATCCCACAATTGCAAGGACCGTTCGAAGAGTCCATTGCCGAGGCAGCCCTCGACGCCGCCACGCAATGGATCGTCGACGTGGATGCGCAGACCCGCCGGCGGGATTTGCTCGAAAATGACGAATATGAACGATTATGCGGCAGGAAATGGCGACAGCGAGCATCAGAAAAGTGAGCAACCCGATTTGACACGACTGGAATCTCTCGCACCGCCCCATCCCTCCCCGGACTTGTGGTGTTCTCTGGAATGAGCTGGCTGATCGACCTGCCCTCCCTCTTAGGTACCATCCACTGTGGAAGCTGGTCTCCCAAATGGTCTTTGGCGTCCATTTGCTTGCAAAACAACAAGCCAAGTCATCCGTCACCGTCATGCAAATCCTGCAAGGTCACGTCGATGAGGTGGACGAATTCATCCAACGCACGACCGAGGACTTTCTCATCATTCACTTGGATGTGCGCACGCGGATCCAGTACCTGAGCTTGCCCCTCAGCAATCTCTCAGTCTTTGATGACATGTTGAATGACCGACACTTTCGACTCTCGCTGGTCTCTTACAATGACCAGATCGAACACGCCGTCGAGCGATTCACCCTGGCCATCACCGATGCTCTCAAGGACTTGCAAAAGGCCAAGGAAGCGGTGGTCATATTCTGGCAGCATTTGCAACAAGCCGTTGCCGACGGAGGATTTCAAACCGAGAGTCTTCAACCCTTTGCTCAGACTATGATGGAGAATATGGATGGCTGGATGCGCGCGCTTACGAAACTCTGTCGACAAGGACAAGGTCTTCAGGAGGCTCTTGGCCAGCTCGCCTTTACCATTATGGAAATGCAAAGACGGGTGGGGGTAGCGAGTCGAAAAGATGTGGTGAGTTTTTGCTCATGCTAGAGGTGATTGGGTTCCAGGCACGGAGCACTGACCAGTGTGACAATGCAAGCGCTCCATGAGTAATGATACCGGAGCCACTTCCGCTCGATCCAAATCGATTCGTCGAAAGCTCTTCTCGCGAGGCTCCGGTCCCGGGACCCCGGGGCGAAGGTCATCAGAAAAGCCCCTTCCTCGGGATCCATTTTTAGAGATCCAGACGCTGGGTACTCGACCAGCATCCAGGCTGGATGCCGTTGGTCCCGGTGCGAAGCAGAGCCAGTCTTCCAGGCCCAATAGCGCAATGCCCCAAGTTCTCAACCGTGCCAAATCATGCAGTGCTTTGGCGAGCGACATCAATCATCCCCCGGATGCACCCCGTCCACCTTCACGCTCCGCATCTCGACTCTCCAAGGCATTTTCTCTCGGACGACCATTCCCCTCCACCAAGCGGGCCTACGATGACCAACCAAACAGTCTCGGTCCCAACATCAAACACCACACCATCGTCAATCCTGACAACAGACCCTCTACCGCCCCAGCATCCCAAGGTCCCCCCTTGGACCGTCCCAAATCACGATGGACTCTCAACAGACCACAAACTCGTCAATCAAGCCGTCCGCCTCAATCAGCTTTCCCTTCCACAACAACACCTCCATCCGACCCACAAGACCCTCGCCACGAGGAGAAAATCGTAGAATCTGAAGACACTTTAAAGGAACAAATCACCCACTTCCTGAAAACCGACCGCGTCGTCGAAGCATGGGATAACATCGCCAAGACAGCTAATTGCTGCGGTACATCCATTGCAAAGACCAAGCAATGGCCCAGCAGCGTCTTCCGGGCCAAAGCATCATCCACTGCAGATGGCCCAGTGTCCGCACAAACCCCACAGACTGCACCCACAGAAACCACCAGCACAAAGACAAAGACTCCACTACGTAACCATCGATCAAGTTCCCTCTCTAGATTCGCATCTAGAGCCCGAAGCAAAAGCGCCGGTAGAGCCATGACTGCTCCAACACCAAGGACGCCGACAACGAATCCCACCACGACCGCAACACCAACAGCCGTGAAGCCCGACTCTTCACAAGTGCCGTTCCCCCAAGAGTCGGAGGATATGAACACCTTTTTCTTCAAAAAAAGACCATCAACATCGCCACGAATCCACGTCCTCTCAATTGCCATTGACGAAGAGTTGGAAAAGAGCTTCACAACAAGTAGTCAGAGTCACAGCCACAGCCACAGCCACAGCAAGACAGAATCCTATACTCATGGCCAGAGCCGAGCTCGCGCTCGCGCTCGATCTCAGGCCCGAAACCGCGAAAGCACAACCGCAAATGCAAGCACAAGCGCAGGCACAACTACAAGCGCAAGCACGAACGAGAGCATAGATCTCACAACCCGAATCCAAATAAACTCACATACGATGGGGAGCGAGGAGCTGCAGAGTGACCATGGATCTAATGCAGAGACGGGCTCGATTATCACGGCTTTGCCTCGTATTCCTGTACATGCGTCTATGCCGTTGGGTCCGGCACGGGGTTCGGCGGGGGGATGGAGTGTTTTTCCAGTTGTGGCGTGAGAGAAATGGATGGATGGGATATTTAGTTGGATTCGATGAATATACAATGAATCTGGACGGGATATACTACCGTGTGGTTCTCTTTCTCGATATATTGATCTTTGGGAGTTCCCCTACATTACTCTACTTTCGCTCTCCAATGATCTAGTGCCATGCCTTGGTTACAGAGCATCATCGTTCACGAGTTAATATGTCAAAGACAGCTCCACTATAAGGAAAGAAATATTTGGACTATCAGCAAGCTCATATAAGGTAGCTCTTAAGAACGGGAATAAATGTCTACTAGCAAACTGAACCGTGATATCCCGTCAGCTTCCTCAACCCTGATACCTTTGCTTCTATTAGAATATAGACTCTACAGAGTAATACCATCTCCTACAGCAGCAAGTCTAGATCAAAAATCATCCAAGAGGTCCAACCTTGCGGCGGCGTATACTGTACAAGTGTACAATGCATAACACAAATGCAGACTACGGCTTGTGATAGTATCGCAAACCTCGATCTCCCCCTCGAATCTGGCATGAAAGCACAACGAAACTCGCGTGCTTGTATAACGTGACTTTTCTCGTTTGCGCTACCTGATCATGCGCTTTCATCTCTTCTTTTGTAGAACGAGCCAGTTCACGTATCAACGGTACCGCACAACACGCAACGCTCAGCGCCAACAAACAACGCATAACACGAGAGAGCGATCTTGCAATCATCCATTTCTTCTCTCTCTCCCCTCCTAGCACGTGTGATAAAATCACCCAAGAAGAAGATTGTCTCCTTTGAGGATATTTTTGACGCACAGTGAAGAAGTTCTTCTATCTTCTTACCGTGTGGCGGGCGATTCTTCCTACGCTGAAATACCGTGTTCTTGAATTCCACTTGGAATCATTCTAACTACTGCTTGCAAGAATCGTGATCATGGCCTTCCGCGCTTTAAACATGACTTCTCCTTCGTCTAGCGATGGAAGTCTCACACCACCTGTTGAGGAACCTGAGTTTGAGCTCCATTTTGAAGCACGCGAGAGATTCTTACTTCGACTTCAATGGTACCAACCCTTGTCTGGGCTATTGTCCTCGCAATCACACGGGATTCAAGATGACTACGACTACGACTATGACTATGACTATGAAGATGAGGATGAAGACGCAGATAAAAAAGATTCAACCATCTCGTTCCTCAAAACTTTCTTCAAGTTCCTCCCTGTTCGGGGACAAGTCCACCTTGCCGACGACATCAACCATGAACACTGTCAGACCGACGCTCAGCTCCGAGACTTCGTCGAGTACATCAAGACAGCCCTGCTTCGACCTCTCCTCGTCGTGGCAGATCAAACACCCCGCGTCACGGCAACATCACCCTCATCTTCAGTGTCCCCCCTGGACCTCCAAAAAGCCAAGCGAGACGAACGTGAAAAACGCAAAGCACCGAAGAGAGAGCACTCCACCTCGTCTCAGCCTGGCCCGGTTCTCAAATTCGGCTCAGCAACCCATCAGGACAAAGACCTGCTCAGCACTAAGCAAGCCTGTTTGCAACGCGATCAGCATCGCTGTACGATTACGCGGCAATGGGGGCTCAGTGACACAAGTCAGTCTGAGCACGGCGGCAGTGTGTCTCTGGACGCAGTCCATATCATCCCCTTTGGACTGGGCAATTTCCGCGAGGATGGCCGGCGACGAAATGCACAGACGTGGAAATGCTTGTATCGGTATTTTCCCAATATCGAGGGCTTTTTCCACCGTGATGTTCCTTCCCCCGCACATACCGAAGCTGATCATGCTGGTACCGCATCGATAGAGAAAAACAACCCTATCCAGTCGGCCGAGTTCGACGTCAACCGTCTCGACAACCTCCTCACAATCGACACCACCCTCCGCTGCGAATTCAGCCGCTTCGCATTCATCCTTGAAGAAGAGTCCTCGTCTTCACCATCCCGCCCACGCTACCAAGTCGTGATTTTCCCAGAGCGATTCACAAAATGGACTTTTCTCGGCCGCATGCCCAAGACTGTGACATTTGAGGCCAACGACGCGAACCACTCGACGAGTTCCCGCCCGCACCCATTCCCCAATCGCGAGCTTCTCGCGGTGCATGCGGCTCTGGGGAATATTCTGCATGCGACGGGGGAGGGCGTGGCGATTGAGGAGACGATGGAGCTGTATGAACGCGAGACCCTTCATTATCTTGCGCGGGACGGAAGCACGGATATTGGCGGGCGGTTGTCATTTACGAATCTTGCTGCGCTGGCGAATCAGTTCGGGTGAGGGTGAGATGTCTAATATGTGGAGAGACAAATTGTAAGAGGTCAAGGTCAATATGAGGGTTTTGTGTCGCAGGGTACGTGTACTGTTGAGCAAGCCTTTCGCACGTGCTTCTATCATTCTTGCTTTGTTCGTTTGTTTTCCAAATTAGGATCTGTCGAGCTTATAGTCCCGATTCTCATCTTTTCAGTATGCGGTCTTTACTGAAGAAATAATTCCCAAATCACTTCGTTTCATGATTCTCAGCGCCAGTGTCTTTAACTTTATGGCTGAAGTGAACGACGCCAGTTTGGACTCCTTGATTCCCTAACAACTCAGACCTGCGACTTCGACACGGGTATAAATGATGTCTACTGAGATGACTACAATACTTCTTTTTGTTTGGCCGCGAGCAAGATACAAGTGGCTCATCGCATCTCACTAACACAATGCAAACTCCTCTTGTTCCATTCAACGGTCCAGGTACGGGATTTCTTCCTTCAGCTGGCCATTCGCCACTGTATGCCATAGCTATGTCTGCCAGCACGTAGATCTCGGTCTTATCCTCTCTCTTGAAGCGGTTTTTCAATTCCTAGCTATACTATGATACAGTAGTAAACGACGGTAGTAGAAGGATATTTGCACGGGGGAGGAGGCTATACACTTAGTCTCCAGGAAGGAGGGCAAGCCCCGGCCCCAAGAGCGCGCTTCCGGCAAATCGGGCCTTCGGCCTGACAGATCCGAGTATGGCTGATAATAATAATCATCATAAAACAGTAAGCAACTAAGCCAGGTGTCAACCCAGATCCTTAAGACAGCACATCTTAAGCGAACAGTCTTTGGAACTGAGTCTTTCCGAACTCCTCTGCCTCTTCGTATCTTTCCTCTTTCAGAAGAACGACCAGATAGTCACGGACGTCAACGTGAATAGGTCTCGCTTCCTGAAGAGGGTTTGTAAGACGAACCCAGGCAAGTGCATTCCAGAGCATGATACTGTAGTTCAGTGTGCGGTTCTCGACTACCGATAGTTAGCTGAGGAAACTTGCATCACGTAGATGGAATCCGAACTTACTGAGATTCTTCGCACGCCCGGGTGCCATTCCATAAATCTCTTCGAAGGCTCGGTACTCGTACTGCTCGCTGTGAAATCGTTGGCAGATCATGTCGGCGTCTAAGAGGACATCACCACCGTGAACCTGATGAATGAGTGGTCCAATGGTTTCACAACACCGTTTCAGGTCGTCGTCCGTCGTGGTTCGAAGGAACTGCTGTCGTTCTGGACCTCTCGGTGGCAGCATGATCTCACGGACAAAGGTCGCAAGAATTCGCTGTCGCGCATCGAAATGGGATCTTTGAAGCGGTGCGACGCTTGCTTTGAGCTCCGCGTTTTCTGCTTTGACTGCTTTTAATTGCTTCTTGGTTTCGGTTTCGGAAGACTCGATACGCGAAACATTCGAGTCAAGGCGATTGTTGATTGCAAGTCGTTCATCCTCGAAGCGCTTCAGTCCTTCCTCCAAATGCTTGTTCTTGGCCTCGAAGCGCTTCAGTTCTTCCTCCAAGTGCTTGTTCTTGGCCTCGAAGCGCTTGTTCATGGCAATCTTATCATCCTCGAAGCGCTTCAGTTCTTCCTCCAAGTGCGTGTTCTTGGCCTCGATGCGCTTCTGAGACTCCCGCATCTCATAAAGCACCTGCATTGTGTCGAGACCGGCTTGATTTGCCACGACGTTGATGTTCGCGTGGTGCTGGAGTGTTGTGGCCTCTCGCCTGGCTTTGTCCCGAGCTGCCTGGACAAAATCGCTTTCAGGCTTGACCGTAGTCTGGTAGAAAACGCGAATTTGCGGGTCAAGTGGGTTCTTTTCACAAGTCGATCAATTAGTAAGATTGTCAAAACACGAGATCAGAATCACGGTGATGAAACTGGGAAGGGTTTGACGTTGTAGTAACTCACTCCCATGGCTGCTGGCCGCAACCGAAACCTCGAGACCGCGGCCCAATCTGGGGTCGGCCTCTTGGGCGGGCGCTCAGGGCTCTCCCACAGAGTCAATCTTTTTGTCGGAGTCACTGGTACTGAGGACATGATCGAAGGTCTTGATTTTCAAAAGCAGTTGGTAGTGGGGAAGTGACTACATACTGTAATCGGTGAGGATACTTTGTCTCTCTCCCCGTAAGAGTCTTGGAAGGAGCTTGCTGTGAAAAACAGCAGGTACGCTCGAGGCAAGTCAATCATGGACTACATTGATCAAACAGATGACCCAAATGGAGAATTTTCATAGCAACACAACTGAAGAGTACAAGACAGAGAACAGGTATCAGACCTGCAAGCCTACAGGCACAGGAAGCAGCAAGAGATCGAGAACGGGTTGAGGAGAGGAAGAAGGGCAAAATCTCCAACCCTCTGAGTAGCTGGTCCCGACCACGCAAACATCACGTCCGAGGGGAGGAACTCTTTGGACAGGAGAATGGGAAACGAAATGGATGGGTGGAAGATCTAGGAAGTCAAGAGGAATGTGGACCGGGCCATATAAGATGTCAAATTGCTTCGTCCCTTTTCGATTCCTCCCTTGGTGTTTCGATTCTGACTTGGACCTCCACTGCCCTTCCTCATGAGCCTCATACCATGCCGTTGACGGTGTTTTCACGATTTGCGCCGAGGGAGTTGGTGGTTCTTTCTCAAGTGCGAGACCCCATTTCTGGACGTCATCGTGAATAGTGTTGCTCTGCTCCTCGGACTCCCCCGGCGACTTCTGTGATTGTTGGCGGAGAGTATCATTTTCTCACTTTAGATCCCGAACGGTGTCTCCGTAGTTCCTCTAGTTTTTGAAACAGTGACAGGATCTCAGTTGACAATCTCTTTCTTCGCTGATAGCGTATCGAAACGCAATTTGAACTGTTTTCGGACTGGCAGGGGCAAATTTCATCAATGTTGTCAGGTCCACGTCACTCAGTTCCGCTGCTTGTCGTTCCGAGGCTGTCATTGACTTCAATGTCGTCGGTAGGTCTTCTTGATTCCCCCTCATTCTCGCCATACCCGCTTCCTGACATGCAGTGGGTTTACAAGACGATCTATCCGAGGAAGACTGCTGTCGCTTCGGTGAGAGGTTGGTTCTGGTTCGCCCTTTGCAAGCGGAAATCCTCTCTTTCTCTTCTTCCAGAAGCCCTAGTCCAGATCGTTCCGAGTCCTCGTCCATCTCATCTTCAGGAGGGGTGAATCCTACCCGTCGATCTCGATGCCTGGCTGCCATTTCCACTCAGGTTGGCTCGAAGATCTGAAGAGGACTTCGTGGTATGATTCCATTCAGAAGTGCGGGAAGGGTAAGTGGTCGACTCTGTATCAAGAGACCCGATATAGTTGGAGTCCCTTGTATCAACATTGACCCATTCATGTACCCGGGCGTCGTTCGCGTTCGATACGGTGGATATCACCCTGAGCCTCACTGGACGTTGACCCTTTGGAAGTCTACAAGGAGATACCCTCCCTATTAGGAATTACTCTTCTTGAGTTATCGATGATCCGGCTCTTCCGATGGGATTCGGGTGCAGCCTCAATGTTCACTTGGTTATTACCTTCACCGGTATGGTCTGCTGGACAGTTCTTCGATAGGCTTAGTCCAACAAGATAGTAAAAAAGTTATTGCTTATTCTACTATGAGTCAATTAGGTATGATGGTAATAGCTATAGGTTTATCAAGTTATAACTTAGCATTATTCCACTTCGTCAATCACGCTTTCTATAAAGCATTACTATTCTGAGGTGCAGGTTCAGTAATACACGCTGTAGCTGATAATCAAGATTTTCGAAAATACGGTGCTTTCAGAGAATTCTTCCCTTTCACCAATTCAGTTATTTTAATAGCTTCATTAAGTTTAGTAGCAGTGCCTTTCATGACAGGAAGAGATACCAAAGCATTTTATGCGGAACAGATCTTGATGACCAGCAGAAGTAAGAGGGGAAGGATGCCCAGGTAAAAAAGGCACTCGGATCAATAAAGATTGGCAAACAAGAGAGCCTGGCGTTTTCCTCGTTGCTCTCGCTTCACTGACATCCGTGCCTCGCATGGTGACCCCGGCTTCCATGCACGGGAGAAGTTCGCGACACACAATCAATGGAACGAAGGCGTTGACGAAACGCACATTGATGAGATCTTCGTACGGGATCTCTTGGGGAAAATGCACCCACGACGAATTGTTGGAAATCTGACCGCTCCCCGTACGGTTGCCTTTTTAGGGTCATGGGACTCTCTTCCTTCTTGTTGGCACGGGCGATCGTCAACTTCTCTCCTCCACTCTCGATGCGCGAGACCCAAGACTCCTGAACACTGCCCTTGATTCTGGGCTGATAGACATTGCTTGCATGGTCTGCCAACAAGTGCTCGACTATGGGCGAGAGAGATCTCTCAATTGGGCTCCCCGTGGGACGGCTATCATTTCCGCTTGCACTGGGTCCGTCAAGATCTGTGCCGCGTTATTGATCAGGATCAAGGTTTCTCTGCTTGGGAGACCCGGCTTCTCTATTCCAGGACCGCCACAGTTCCTTCACCACATGGACGAGCCTAAAAGCATCCTGTGTGGCCCGAAAATCAGCATGAACAATCTCCAGTCTTGATACCTACTATGTGAAATCGGGTTTCCTTGGAATATTGATCTGCCGCGTCGGCAGGATAACGGGAGGACAGAATCACGTTTGCACCACAGCGAAGCAGTCTCAGTGCCGTATGGTACCCAGGATTGATTCTTCCACCAGTGACAGGGGCAGTCATTCAGGTAAGATCCAACTTGCCCGGCAGAGATGTCTGTGAAGACGCCAGGTTGAAGGCCCTCGCAGGGACTGCACAGCGAGGGATACAAGTTGTGGACGTTGAGAATGCTGCACTTCTGGTGATACCGACTCATCTGCCTGAAGACAATCCGTGACTTTGAGCGCTGTCTCAAACTCTTCGTTTGTGGGAAAATGTGCAGTCCCATTGACCAAGGAGTCATCACCATCACCTTCGACACGATCGAGTTGACCGCCTTGATCCCTTCGATGATGCTTTCGCATCGTTTCAATAAAAAGAGCCTTGGCGACGTCCACATGAGGCGTGAGGTGTCAGGCAATTGCTTCAAAGGGAGAAGACTGTCCATCGGGCAAACGACAGGCGAGAGTACTAGGAACCTTTCTTTTTTCGGCATAGCTGTTGGTTTCTTCTTAGACGCGCAGCGATAGCTTCGGCCTCGTCTGCATTAGGGTTATCCAGTTGATTCGAGCAGGCCTTGATCCCTCCAATGAAGCTGTTGCATCGATACATACAAATTTTTTTTCAGATAGCCCGTTGCGAGGTGTGAGATGCCACGAGATGGCGGCTGACAACTCTGGTGGTTCTTTAGATAGCTTCAGGACAAGACTGTTCGGTGGCTTTTCATCACGGCAGAGTTTCTGATCCTGGTCCAGACGAGATACAATATCCTCGGCGGGTCTCAAGTCCGAGGACAAGCTTCTAGCTACCAGCTGCGAATTGACTTTTATCCTCGTTCTCACTGATGATCTTGGAAATTGGCGGTTATGGGTTGAGTTCGTAAATAGGCCCCGCGCCGCTAGCGTCTGGAGGTGGAACCCGCTTGACTCAACCTCTGACTCAACGGTCAGTTCAAGGTCAGTTCTACTCTGACATCAGTCTCTGATGAATTGATACCTTCTTATCAGGCTCCGGCGGAAGGTCTTCGTCTTGAGAGTTTTTGTTCGAAGCAAACAGAGGCAGAGTACTGCGTAAACAACGTCAAAATGACCGCGCCGCCATTCGGGGAGATCGTTCGAAGTTTGTCGCTGATGCCAACAGAAATGGCCCACGCGATCATCGAAGATCTTCGTGTTTTTGACGTGCTCAACTTATTAGTATGCGACGATCCCAGAGTCACTGCTGCAATTTCTTCTCACCGCGGCTGCCAAGCTGTATTCGGCACAGCCCCTGGCACGTTCTGCGAAAGGAAAGAACTGATCAAAAAGTACTGGGCTCTGGCCAATCGGATTGGTAGCGGCTCTATAAACTTCTGGTATAGATCTGTCATTGCGTTCAATGTCAACTGTGCCGGATTGCAGCACCTCCCTTCAATCCTCGACGACCTTCACGCTCACGTATTGGAGTACATCAAGGACCAGACCAGTGTGGTGAATATGAATCGGTTTACTGTTAGCTCCAAGGGGATTCCGCCGGTTACATCTGCTTCATCTGTTGCACAGCTCGAAGAATGCTGTACAGCCATACGTGAGGCCAAAACTCACTTTCTCGAAAAAGCCTCGGGCCAATTACGCCGGGCGTGTATCTTGCTGGAAAATAACCCCGATCTCTTGAAACGCACCATGGATCCAGATCAGAAACCGCGGCCGAATACTGCGCACATCGTCGCCAGGATGAACTTTGTCGCCGACAAGATTTCTCAGAGCAATTTGCAGGACCCAGTGCACACCGAGTACTACCGCTACACGTTTTTCCCAGTGAGTCCATTTGACTCTTCTTTGGCAGAGTTGCTTCAGATGATGGATCATTTTGATATCATCGGCGGAGGTGAGCTCTTGCTCAACAAAGATGGCTCCTCCGCTTGCAAATGGCAGCATGCCCCTGCGGTTCATGGGCTTGCGCGTGTCGTGATTGATGGTATGGCCTACCATCACAACTTTTGGCCCAAGGATCAGGGCCAATATAGAAATTCACAAGTCGTGAATAAGAAGGGCGATACGTTCCGAACAGGAAATACACCTTGGTCTCAGCAACTTGACTTGATCTTGGATGAGTCAGTGCGAGGACCGTTCTTCGCACCTCATAAATTGGGAACAATGAAACAATGGAATCGACCACGAGAATGTGCCGGATGCGAGCCCTTTGATGATAAGGAAGAAGAATGGCTGACTTCGTTCGTGGAGCTATATCGGTATCTCGAGGCATTGAAGAACAAGCCGAACACGTCTAGATGAGGATTTGTTTGTCCAATTCGATTGAATAGGAAGGGAGGAGATTGCCGTCACGTACAAGACCCAGTAAATCTGTCAAACATTCTGGAAGTTGGGCTCCATGGGCCACAGACCTGGATTAGACTCATATACTACCGTTATTAGAGGTCTGGACTTTGCCGACTTGCTTCTATCATGCAGTCTTGCCGAAGAAGTGGCCTGGGGCCATTACAGCTCCTGCATCCAGACGGGACACTCTTGCACCACACTCATCTAGCCATATATTCCAGTTGCAGCTATTAGGGCTGTCGAAAAGACCGTCACCACCGTGCAAAGCCCTCTGATGCTCATACAAATGATACAAGATCACGCAGCGAAAGACGAAACAATATTTATATCTACCGGTAGAGGGAAGACCCTGCCGGTAAGTCGTCTCGTCCAAAAGTACTTTCCAGAAAGGAGAATACGTAGCTAGGACCCGATCTCTTACGCACTCACCCTACTCGGCTCTAGTCACGTCACGCTAACGTAGTGCTCTCCCTAAACTCCCACGGGCGACACGACATCCACCCGATGGCCCGATCCTTACTTGAACTGAACATACTAAGCCACATGATGGATAATCACATGCGAGTCCTACTCCTGACTAACGTAAAAAAAAAGTTTCTTCGACAGTATTTCCCCTATTCAAAGGCAGCCAGTTATATTCTTTCCGCCTATCAATGACTACAAGCTAGGCATTTTCAATTCTCAATAGCATAACCCCTCTTCTTAAGGTTCAATCTCACGACTGGGCGATTAAAAAGGGTTCGGACTCGGTCGGTGGTGTCGTCGCTGGAAAAACCTTCCTTGTTGAATGTGATACTGATGGTCATATACCTTTTTCTTGTCATTGTACAGCACATACGACCATAGGGTGTGGAGAACAGGGCTTCCCGTCCGCTCAGCCGTACTTAAGCCACACGCCGGCCAGTTAGTAGTATGGTGGGTGACCACATGCGAATCCTGGCTGTTGTATGTTTTTGTGTCTGTTTTTCGATATGGAAAAGGTAGCCTGCAAGGGTCTCTGCCCGTCTATTGATGTACGAGTAACAAAGAATTGTTATTTGATAAAACCTCTTCTCAGAGTTTCGGTTTTACGACTCGGGTATATGAGTACTCGGACAGTGGTTACGATATACAAACTCCGAAATCTGACTACCAGTACCAGAATTAGAACGTAGTTCAATCTTAATCAGCGACTAGTCATTTGGGATGTCTACAGTCCACCGTTACAAAGAAGATTTCCTCCTTTTCTAACTCTGAGCTCACAAGACTTGATCTTTCTCATCTATCAACTCAGCACATACGACCATAGGGTGTGGAAAATAGGGCTTCCCGTCCGCTCAGCCGTACTCAAGCCACACGCCGGCCAGTTAGTAGTATGGTGGGTGACCACATGCGAATCCTGGCTGTTGTATGTTTTTGTTCGTGTCTTTTTCTCCCGGGAGAAATAAAATAGGACAAGATCCGTCTAGAGTTAGGTCACTAGGTAGACTACAAGACTGGAGACATCCGAGTGTATGATGAGAAAAGAGCTACTGTGCCACTCTTGCTAACGAGAAGAAACGGCGTCACCGTGAGTTGATCAAAGGGACTCGGTAAGTACTCACTTCCTTTGTACAGTGTACACATGAACACTCGTCCAGAGCTTTAAGGAGTGTGAGTGACTTATGAGTCTTGGTCGAGGTTTATTACTGGGCCTTTTCTATATAGTCTTCAATCTTCATAGATGGATGATTGTTGATGGCTTGGACTAGACAAGCGGTTAGCTCGATAGGTTACCTATCTGCGCTTATTGCGCTTATTTCATGGCGGTGGGTTTGAGAAGGAAGGGAGAGCCGACTCCAAGAATGACTGGTTGATTGCGGGCGAAAAAGATATGGTATTTGTTAGTCTGTCAATTTGTAGAACTCGTGGAGGATTCGTTGAAGAAAAGCATTTTGCAAGAAGGAAAAAGAAGTGTGAGACATTATTGTTTTTTTTCTTTCAGCGAGAAAGCGCAAACACAAATAGTTTTACGAGAGTCGATCTGCTAGACTCGAAGAGAAAGTTGAAGCCTTGACGTTCACAACAACAGCCCTAGTACTTCCAAAAACTTGTTCTTCCCAACCTTTGGAGGTCGGTCGGGTAATTCCATCAAGGAAGCCACTGCAATCTGCGCTCCACGGACACTGTATTCCAAGCTACAAGCTGCATCACCAGGAACTTCCACGTACTGACCTATGAGACCCAAATTTGTTGTGCCATGAGGGATCACATCCGGACGGTCATGGTGGGCACGAGACAACAGCATCGAAGTCCCCAAGGGCATGAGGCAGGGAATGGTGATTGATGATGAAATGAGAGAATCACAGGCAAATCCCAAGTGAGAAAGAAGTTCACGCAAGATGTCTTGGCCAGAGCATTGGAGCATTGGCTTCTTGACGTATTTACCGACCCGTTCGGGACGTAAGGCGTAGCCCCAAACGACGTGGACATGGTTGGGCTGCGTCGCGAACACTGGCTGGTGAGGAAAACTGATGGTCAAGTCCCAGGGACATTCTGTGATAGTGAGCAGGGCGCCGGTGCCCGGCTTGTCTCGCGTCAGATGAGCGTAATGGTGCATGAAGTCCGTGGTGTGCAGGGTGACGGTGAAGGTCTCGATCTGCGACTCGCTCGGCCGGTTGGAGAAGTTGGCAGGATTGCCGAATTTGGTGGACTCGTGTTCGAGCTTCTGCCAAAGCGACCACTCTCCGCTTTTTAAGATGGTCTCAGACGGAGATGATAAGGGTGGTGGAGGGGCCGTGTTAGATCCGGTCTGCGTACCGGTAGCGACTGATCCCAATGTCACGATGACAATGTCGACAGGGTCTATGGTAATGAGATATTCATGGCCGTTTTCCTGCAGTACCAGCTCCGAGATGGTGGTCGGGTCACTACTCGGGTATGATTTGAGGTCGGTCACCATCACGTTGAACCGGAAGTCAACCCCTTGCTCCTTCAGGTATGTAGTGATGGGAGTGATGAGAGACTCGAAGAGAGTGAACGGGGTTCGTTCCATGTCTCGCACATCGTTGTGGGTGTGCAACTCAGGCAGCCATTTACTGAGAAGACGATGGAACTCCGCTGCACTATGCCACTCTTGAAGCAAAAAACTAGACAGGCATCAGCTCTGAGACTTGAGAACGCAAGAATCCCAGAAGGCGATCAAGGCTCTTACGTGGTTGACCATAACTTCCAGAATTCGGACTCGAAAAAGTTCGCGTCAAACACATCACTAATCTTCTTGGACTCCATAGCCCTCTCGCTCTCCAAGATGAACTTGATCAAGTCCATGCGAAACTTCGCCCCGATCGGGAGCCGATGCGTATCAACTCTACGCGTGCCATCTTCAGTCTGACTGACTGCGCGGGTCGAGGCTCTATTCAATGGTCGGTTGGAGTTCTCCTGCTCCCTGATGGCTTCCCAGAGACTTTTATCTGGACTTTCCCGACTGGGGACCATGGCAAGCAGGTCTTTGACACACTGCTCGTAGAAATACGGCAGTGCACCTGTGTGGAGGATGTATCCATCTTCCGCATTGCCAGACGTCTCCATCGCTCCACCGGAGGCATGATGGGCGTCAAGGATGTGGACTTGATTAGCCGGGACCTTGGCCTGTTTGATCAAGTGTACTGCGGCGGCGAGCGATGCAATACCGCTACCGATCAACCACGCCTGTACGCTCTGGGGATCACGTTTGAGGGTCATTGTTGATACAGCTGAAAGAGGCCCTTGACTAGAGAAGTGCTAAGGAAATGCTTTTCATCATGAGATTGCAACCCTTCCCTCATCAATATATAGACTTTTCGATACCACCAAGTGCTACTACCCAAGGCATCTGGGCGCCGGTCTCAGCATTCCACATCCAGCACTCGATGATTTAATAAAACCGTATGATCATGGCCAGATCACTTCCAAGACAGACTGTATGATGTATACAATGATTCATGCCACAGAATAGGGTCTAGCATGTGACCAGATTCTCGGTGACAGTCAGGTGACAGGACAGGGTTAGGTAGTTGTCAACCGCAGCAACCACGCCACTGCTGAAGGGGACCACCCAGGCTCTACCGTAACCGACGACTCTTGTTCGTCATACACGAGCTCGGAAGTATGTACGACCTGGGCCCAGTTCCAATCATGGTTATCCAGTTATGGCCATGAGCAATACTCCGTACTGTCGAAGTGGGCATATCCGACTGTGTACATTGGATACTCTAAACAAGTGGACCCGGCAATTTGGTCTACAATCATCGACTTGCTTTCCTTGTTGCTTTTCATTTCGCGGAGGAGATTTAAAGCTAGCGAACCAGTGTTCCTCCCAGATTCATTTCCTTGACCAAAAAACTTTTGGTGTGGCGTAATGGCTCTGAAAGTATAATCTTGTAATTAGAACAAATGTGAGGAAGGTGTATCCATCCTCATCTGGTCTTCGAGCTCAACTCGCAGATGGTACTCGCCCGGTAGCTCCTCAACGATGCCCATCTTGACTAAACGCTCCTGTCTCGATTGGATCCTGACTGAACACATTCTGGGAAGAGCCTCTTAACTGAGCAGACAGGTACTGTATTCACAGGTCTTCGATACGCAAATCGATGACATGCAGGTCCGGCGAGATTACTCTCATTGCCCTCTGGTGCCCATGGTCCGCATTAAGTTCATGATCAGACAACGAATCATACTATATGATTTCAGTCCCCGCTGCCACCAACACATACCAAGCTTTAAATCGATATCATACAGGTTCTGGATCATATGCTTGGGACGGGAGCCAACCAACGGCTCCCTTTGCATTCCGTTCGGCTGCGATTTCTTCCTTGCTGATCGACGTGACAACTTGACAGACTGAGTACAGACCGATGTCATGTCGGACATGCCACTTAGTACATAGGCACCCAATATGGAGACAAGTCTCGTACAAGAACTGGACTATTCAATCATGGTTTCATTCGCTAGAACCTGATACCCAGGCCTACTCAGCACAGAGACAGCATGGTTCGATCAAACCCGGAGAGAGGCTTCACAGATTCTAACACTCTCCAGCGCCTGGCCCGTCACAACACTCACGAAATAATTATCTCCGTTCTCGCCCGTCGCATGCACTATGACATTCTCCCCAAACTCGCAATCATTTTCGTTCTCGCCCGCTTCACAGTAGTCCTGATAGCTCGAGGCCGTGATCCCATCCTCTTCCGCGAGAAGCACGGCCCTTGCGCGAGCCCTAGCTTCAGCATAGGACTTGAAAAAACCCTCGATATGAGTGTCGTGCGTAGGCTTGCGCTGGTGACTGCAATAGGGAACATTTGTCTGCACGACGTAAAAAAGAGGAAGTTTGACGCGTCCATCTACATCTTCTTCCTCATCAGTCCTCAACTGGAGTGAATTGGGAGACGTGGAGATACGCAGCCGAAACTTTGTACCGTCGTTCGCGACTGCGTAGACCGCGAGTCCCGTCCCCTCTGTTGTTGCGAGCTGTTCCAGGGCGTCCGGGCTTGTCTCGAAGGTTGGGAACCATTCCCGCTCGTATCCGGCGTTGTAGAGACCGCAATGCGCGGCCTCCTTGGCTTTGCTGATGGACGTGTAAGTGCCCAGCACGCGGATCTTCTCAGTCTGTCCGATTGGCACTTTTAACTGGGAGATTGTGAGCATGACATGGTAGACAGAATCGGGAATATTCTGAGTGTGCTCGGCCATGATGGGTTCTGATATTGACGAGTCTGACTCTGGGGATTTGTGAATAGAGACCGAAAGATATTGTGTCCGACGGGGGCAGTGGTCTTTTGGGAGCTTGTGTCAAACAAGGGAATCCGCGGTCGCATTCAAAGCAGGATCTCTGGGAGGCCCGGCAGTGGTTAATATAGAAAAAGAGTATCTTTCATAGAAACCCCACACCATCTGAAAGTGAACGGAAGTTCCACGGGAGTCGAAATGGAATGAGACAAGCACCTCAGCTACCCAGCGATCAAATATGGTAAATGAGATCTTACGACAGCACTTACGCATGACATGTTGTGACAACCCGCGTTCAAAAGACGAGTCTGGTTTCCATTAGAGCAAATACGACCGAATGGCGAGACTGTGGCATGATCAACAGTCCCAAGGTTGTGGTAAATTCGGTACGACCAAAGTTTGCGTTTCGTTTCCTTTTTGTAGAAATTAGGTTTGAACCTACGGTTTCAGCCTGATCTTGAGTTGAACGTTTATCAGCCGGCCGGCAGATCCAGGGCTCACTCGTTTGTCTGGCCATAACCTTACGAGGTCGATGTTCACACAGGAACCTCGGGCGGTTTTCTTCTTGCGGCGTGTGGTAATTGATGACGAAAGATCCTCTGCAGAGGACTGCTACAGAAGGTCCCATGGATCATGCTGAACCCGTCACCTGACTACGGCCATATCATGGCTGAGTAAGGACGATGGACTCGGATCGCCGGTCACTCATCGTTGCCATGGCCCCTTCCGGTGCCTCGTAAATGACATTGTAGATTCGATTGCGAGGCAGTTGGCTTGAACGTACTGCAAAATCCAACCGGTAGAATGCCACGATGCAATGGTGAAGAAGTCTGGCGACTCAAAGGGAGCCTGGATTGAGTACTCAGAGTGACTAGGTAGAAACAGCCGGACTAAGATCAACCAAGTGGGTCTGTCTTATACAGCCAACGTGATCTTCGGTGCCATGGACGAGATCTTGATCGTGGTACAAGAGTTTCGAGAGTCATTCAAGGTCCATCGGAGTTTTATTTCATGATATGAGATAGTCAACAAAAGAAAAGTGAACATCGAGTATGGTAAACTCGGACAAGTAGCCGTAACGTGAAACAACGCCCAACTCAAACATGATTCTGGAATGGCAAAGAAGATGATAGTCCAATTCAACCCTCTGCTTCGACGATAGACTTCAGCCAAAAAAGAAATAGAATAGAAAATTACTGATGCACGACTCTGACCGGGCGGCACAAAGAAGAGTCCCTCAACGAGTCATCTAGTAATCAACGACTGTCTACTTGCACCGCTTTTCAACAATGTTCGCACCGTGCTCCTCATACTCCTTCTTCGAGATCCACATCTGGTGGAAGGTACCCAGACTGGCCAAGATACTGCCACCAATCCAAGATCCAAAGCGACGCTCGGCAGTATTTCCAGGCGCAGAGATACGCACCCGAGGGCCAGGGTAGAGCTGCTGCAGCTCGTGGTTGAGACGATCTGTGAATCCGTACATCAGACTCGATCCGCCAGTGACAACCACGTTGTTCAGCAAGTGCGGACGAATGTCGACATCAACACCACCCAGAGACGCCTTGATCAACTCGGGGATAGTCTGCGCTTGTGTGGGAGCAGGGAATGGCGAATCGGGGTCCGCAATCGCAGCCTTTGCATCAAAGAGGGACTCGACCACGCGGAAGCGATCGACGCCAAAGACTTGGTTGTATCCGTCGGGGAATTCGAATGGACGACCTGGTGAAGAGCGGGCCACTTCCTCGTTCGGTGCACCCGTGGGTGACGCTGCAGAGAGCTTGTTGGGTCCGGGCCAGACCTGGACGACGCACTCTTTGAATTCAGACAAGGTGCGCTCCTCCAGCAGAGCTCGCCAGGACGCGTCAGGCGCCTTGTCTGCGGGGAATGTGCGGTATTTGGCTTGGGGTGGTTGACCGGCCTCAACGGGGGATTTGGAGTTGACGAGGTAGTGAGGGGTGACGGTAATGGGTTGCGGAGAGTTCTTCTTGAACAAAGCGCGAATTTGAGAAGAGACGTAGTCGCCGCCAAGTGGTGAATGTTGAATGCCCCGCTTGAGAATCATGCCGTCGTGCACAGGGGTAATTGAGATATTTGAGGCACCAATGTCGACAACAAGACCCGACGCTTTTCCAGATGCGAAACTATGACAAGAGTCCAGATTAGCCCCGAGCCCAGTCTCTCACAATATATAGTCATTATAACATACGCAGCCAGCACACCACTTCGCGCTAGATAAAACGCAGGTGTCCCCCATTTTTCCATCGCAATTTCAATCGTCTTCTCGCGAGCCTTGGCCGGGTTCCACGCGGATTCGGTCATAAGGAGCGGGCTGTCCGCGAGAGGCTTCTCATCCGTTTCCACTTCCATCTCTGTGGGCAGTTCTTCGGCAGGTATATCATTCAGACCGTTTTGGAATGGATTGCCAGGCTTCGCAGTGGTGAGTCGAGAGGTGATCGAGTATTCCCAGACCTTCTCGGCCATGTCCCAATCTTCGACAATGCCATCTCTGCCCATAGGGTTGTGTACTGAGAATCCAGGGTGAGGGTTCACATAGATATCATCCCCGTAGAGAAGTCGTTCTTGACCGTCGGCGGTGTATTTGCCGTAGTAGGTTGAGATCAGCGACTTGGGAGCATCTTCACCAGCAAAGCCGGCGCGAGTGGTTGAGTAGCCGGGGTCGAGAACGATGGCGGAAACCTCATCTGGACGCGTATGGGAATTAGCACTGGAGCAAGTGGACGCGTGCTGGTCATTCAACCCGATGGTGTGCAGACGCGGTCATCTGGGGTTCTTGTCGCATCGCGCGAAAAAGCACATACCTCCACCGTACTCCGCCGTTTGGGGTGGGTTCGAAGGGTTCATTGCGAGGGGGTAATCGGTACTGTTGAGGGCGAGTGATTGGAAATCGCACGGGTGTCCGGATTCCAACGAGTTAAATCAGCACCACGCAGAAAAAAAAATTCCAAGACGTGGGATAGTGAGGGAGGATTAAAGGGCGAGGGTTTTCTTTTTCGGTGCGGGAGAGTCAAGAAGCTTTGGTTGCGGGCGGAGAGACACATGCTCTCACGTTGGACGGATGACCTCACGTTGCGCCCGCCTCTCGTTATATCTCTCGACAGAGTCGACACAACTACTCATTGCGCCCCCAACGGAACATAGAACTCTGCATTTACACATATACGGCTTTCTGACACTATGGAAACAGAGGTTGATAACATCCCTCAAAACCTCTTTCGATCCGCAAAGCGACGCAAGTTCGCCCGCCGTCGCCAAGATGACGACGAAACGCCTGCTGGTACTGCCACTGAACCGGCCTCTGAGAACCAGGCAAACACTTCTCAAACTCCCGAGCCCAACCAAAGGAATGAATCAGATGAAGGCACACATACTGCCGGTGTAGTTCGTATGCGGCGACCAAAAGCTCTACACAAAGGAGGCATTGGCTTTTCCGCCACGGCGCGACCATCGAGCAAGACTGGCGACACCCAAATTGCGCTCGTCCCAACCGAAGAGCAAGAGAAGGAAACAATTCAAGCCATGGCCGATCGCTTCCAGACATACACAGGCCAGGCAGAGGATGTGGATAAACACATGTACGAACCATTCTATGGCAGTCCCCCGGCCCACTGATCGACTGGCGCAATCCCAACTAACGTGATAAGGATGGCATACATAGACGCAGAAATGGCTAAGCGCTTCCGCCGAGGCCCAACGACGGAGAGCGCATCAACAGAACGACCAGAACCTAAACCCGTGTCTGAGGTTACGTCTGCCCCAGGACAGCCACATGAGCGACTTCCAGCCTCACTAGGCAAGCTTCACGAAATCGACCTAGGACAGGAGACGAAACTGCAAAACATTGCCAGGACAGAGGCTGCCGCGCGTCGTCTAGCAGGTGACGAGACACATGAACCCAATCAGTCGATAGACCGCGCAGGATCGTCCACGAAGCAAGGACGAAACCGAAAGCGTCGTACTAGCGCAGACATTGAGCGCGACAGATTGGTCGAAGAGATTCTACGCGAGAGCAAATGTAAGTCTTTAGTGGTCCTGATAAGAATCGCAATTCGCTTTGTTACGTTTGCTAATGCTTGTTATCTGCAGTGGACGTCTACGACGAACCCGAGGAAGAACCACAAGACGGCGATATGGCAGCAGACGATCGTATCGCCGAGCAATTCCGACGAGACTTTTACGATGCCATTCAAACACGTCGGAGGGCTCGCCCTGCGAAGACGGCGAAGACGGCTAGCAAGACCGAGGCACCAAAGGGCCCTAAGCTCGGAGGCAGTCGCAGCGCGAGAGCAGCAATGCGTGAATCCCAGGCAAAAGCTGCGCGAAAGTAAATCAGAGTGGAGGCTATACCTGGAGGTTGATCCTTCGAGGTCTTTGATCTTGCGAGTAGATAGTGCTTCAAATTGCAATGACTGTTCACTCGCACTTTTACTTCAACGAGTGCGTACTTGATATTATCCAGCAAACATGATGCGAGAAAAGTCCCCGCAAGGTTCAAGAATTTCCAGCCGAACTGGTGTCCATGACCAATTGCCGGGAGAGAAAGCGAGCCTCCCAACACTTAGTCCCTTACCATCGAATTACTCATTCCTATCTCTACTGAAGACCCGCGGTGTAAATAAACGTTAGTTAGTTGTTACCCGTACTTGACGGGACGCTTTATTCAGTGGGGCAAAAAGGGAGAGTGCAAAAAGGGAGAGTGCAAAAAGAAACAAGCTCTGCTCACTGCCAGATTTGAACTAGCGACCTCGTGATTACTAGTCACGCGCTCTACCAACTGAGCTAAGCGAGCTGGTTCATGCAAGACCAATCCTATTTTAGCAATATGAATGTTTTTGAAAAATCGATCAAAAAGGACTACTGTACATGCAAGCATCATGGCATAACGGAATTTTCCCACGTAAAGTTCAGTAAGGTTTTGAAGACGTACATCTTATCAGGGCTGGCTTGACTTTGAATTTATCACGTGCTTTGGCTGTCCTACATGAAATGAGGGACAAGGCGCCACGAGGAACGGCCGGCAGCATGTGGATGACTATGATTACAACGAAGTCAGATAAGTGATTTCAGCTTGGCCATATTGAGTAGCGAGATCCAGCGAAGTTTGGCCACTCAGATTAATTGCGTTGACTAGAACCCTTTACAAGCAAGTAACTGCCGGACAATCTCCTTGGACCCCTGCTTCGCAGCCAAATGCAGCGCTGTATCACCGTGAACGTTCCTGGCGTCAATCAGGACATTATCTCAAGCGAGCAAAAGCTTGGCCATGGCTTTATATCCGTACGCAGCAGCCAGTATTAGCGATATATGACCCCAGCAACTCCTGGCTTCAACCCCGACATTATCCGAAGCGAGTTAAGGCTTGACCACGGCCTTCGTGTCCATACATAGGCCATTTCGACAAGTTCTTGCCAGTTGCTGAGCCCTGAAGATGTACTGCAAACTTGTCGACAGCCTATATACTGACGTCCGACGATGAAGTGAATTGTAGGTTTCAAACCATGATTGAAGCTCGAAACATCTGAACAATTCATCTTGCGGAATACTGTTCGCAGCTGTATCGGCGTCGCTATGTTCTTGTTAATATAGACACGAGTCATGGGCAAACCCACAAATGTAGCAGCACTCTCCCGCAGCCTCCCAGCTACTTCGTAAGGTGATTGTTGCTCTGATTCTGATCTGATGCAGCGAGCAAGATATCTCGCAGAAAGGAAAAATTTAAAAACATACAACAGTCAGGATTCGCATGTGGTCACCCACCATACTACTAACTGACCGGCGTGTGGCTTGAGTACGGCTGAGCGGACGGGAAGCCCTATTTTCCACACCCTATGGTCGTATGTACTGGAGATAGTTACAAAAAGAACTATGGACATCAGTTAGATGCAAGACAGAAGAGCAGAATGACAGAGAGATGGATGGTAGGCTGGCTTGTAGGCCATCGCAAGTCTTGGAATTGGATAGCCATGCGTCAGAGAGAATCCTAGCAAGTAAGCAGTGAGCAGAACCAAGGTCGGAGGACTTAACCGAAAGTTATTCGACTGCTCTTAAAGCTCAACTCGACTACTGTTACCTATGCCCGCACATACTTATCAGTGTAACCACTGTAACCAGTAAGTAATCGCTGATAGAGTCTGCTTTGACGGAGCACAATCTACTAATTGAACGGCGTGTGGGTGTCCTTAGGCAGATGATTGGGTGGCTGCCGCCCGGGTGAATTTAGGATGGATGGTCTTCGGTGTGAGGAAACACTACTCACCTCACGGCGACACAATAGGTTGCATTCTGTCGCATAGCAGTCGCTGATTGAATTTCCAAGGCTTCAAACTCATTGTGAATGCTATTGGTGCACATGTAAGGTTTACTCGGCTTCATTCGGAGATATTTGACGGAACAATAGTATCCTTACATTGCAGACAAGGACGTACCAGTCACTTAACTTAGGCCCAGGTTGGCTCATCTCTCCCATTTCAATAGTCCACTAAACTGAGCATTATCACAAATGGTACCACTATTTTCGGTTAGTCACCGGTTTCATCTCTGCGCCTGCTCACGGCCCTCTTCTCTCTGGTAGTCTGGAGGTTTTTACCGCTCCTGCATTTCCATGGGACGTATCTCTTTGTTAGGGAAGATACAGAGGCTGGTACTTGTACCTAAACGGAGTGCCGATGCCGTATGAAGTAATGCCCGGATCTCAACTTAGACATCTATGTTGCGAGCTGGGAACATCCAGTGAGTGCTGTTCTGGTCATCTCGTCCTGTCTTCAAGTCACCCCTATTGACTAACTGCTGTAGTTATCTGAGAGTACGTTGATGTTCCTGAATCACTCAGATCGCTTCACATCACTCGAAGAATTCAAGTCTTTTTCATCAAGATGACCGATCGCCAGCGACCTATCAAGACACGATTCCTCGTGCTTTCCGACACACATGGCCTCGAGAAGCTTGCCCAAGATACCTCGAAACATACTATCGACGTCGTCATCCACTGTGGAGACCTGACCACGGAGTCCAAACTTGAAGAATTCAAAGCTTCTATTCGTCTCTTGAATACCATCAACGCACCGTTGAAAATTGCAATAGCTGGAAATCATGACTTCACGATGGACATTACTGCCTTCCGAAGAAAAGTGGCTGACGCCAAACCACCTTTGAACCCTACCCTGGTCAAACAGACGTATGGCTACGAAGGAGAGGCGAGGAAGCTATTCGACAGACAAATTGGCATTACTTTTCTGGATGAAGGAACCCACGAATTCCGATTGAATAACGGCGCGATGCTAAAAGTCTACGCTAGCCCATACACGCTGTCGCTAGGTGATTGGGGTTTTCAATACCACCCTGATCAAGGTCATGATTTTGCAATCCCCAATGTCGACGTTGCTATTACCCACGGTCCTCTAAAAGGGGTGATGGATATGACTTACTCTGCTGAGCGAGCAGGGTGTCCTTTTCTTTTTGAAGCGATAGCTCGAGCTCGGCCTCTTATGCACTGCTTCGGCCAGATCCATGAAGGCTGGGGGGCCAAACTTATCACCTGGCGCCAGAAACGGAGTGCTAAGCCTTCACATTTGACCGATATCGACAACGAGAGATCCACTACAATAGCGAGATTATCTAGCGAACGGAAAAAGCTAGTCCAGAGCCCCGCGGGGGCCTTTTTCACCAGCCATTGTCATTCTGATCTCAACCCGCTCAAGAGGGGCTTGCAGACCCTGTTTGTGAATGCTGCGATTGAAGGAGAGAATTCTCTACCAATCCAACCAGCATGGATCGTGGACTTGGATCTCTCATCAGCGTGTTGACGGGGGAGCACTTTGTATTAAGTCATGGGCAGCGATACATCAACTTCAAATATCGAGCACACTCATTGACTCCTCATATTACTATTCATGCAGAACCAACTGCTATTGACATGGAAATTACCAAAACATTGAATGAGATGAATACCTTTAATCCCACAATTACGTCCACCAACTTCCGCGTATCTTTAGAATAATTGCTTTCAAGACCGCGGTCTTCAGAAGATTACGATGCAATAAACAAACATGCCTGTTGTTTAAAAGGTGCTCCATATTCTGGACTCCGTAAACTCGAAATCCACTCGATTTGAGCAAATTCTCTTTCTCATTATCACTTACACTGCGCCTGTGACTACAACGAGATTTTACAAAACCACAATGACTATCTTCACACTCCCTCCGGAGCTCTTGGCTCGCATAATATCTGAGGTGACCATGAACTCAACAACTGACCTTGTCGCCCTCGCTCAAACATGCCGAATCTTCCACCAGCTGTGCGACAGGCAGACTTGAGGGCGATTTCACCGAGTGCGAATCTTCCCAAGTGCCAGATTTATGGATCAAGGTTTTGATCTTCTGATGGAGATCCTGAAAAGACCCCGCCTTGGTCAATACGTACAAGAGATCCAGCAGCTCGGGCAACCGGGAATCGAGGTCCTCCAGATGAGTGTGTCCGACCAGCGCCGACTCGGCCCAGAAGAGATGAGCTTGCTCTCTTGTGCGGTGCAGAGAGCGGGCTTTACAGGGCGGGAGGCGCGAGATATCACTGGGCTACTTCTCCATCGCTCCAAGGACATCGACGATACTGAGCTGTTTCAGGTGCAGGATCCAGAATAGTAAGTATACCTCTCACCTCACTTCTGATTTGACATCACCTCAGTGTACTCTCAGAAATTTCATACCCAGGTTAGGGTCTTCAGGTCACATGATTTGTACTTCGCAGACCGCTATGGCAGAACGCCTCTCCCCCTAAGGGAAAAGAAGAAAACTATTATAGAGAGGACCCCCCTCCGCCCCCATTCTAAGCGTATATTCCAAACAAGTTAGCCTAAACTATTGTTGTTGTGTCTCTTATCCTGATTCCTGTACAACCGAAGTACTAAGATTACGCCGGCCACTGATACCTACTTGAATCTTCAATATTGTGTCAACCCAGGTAGTTCAGCCCTAGAGATAGCTTTTGCCACCGTTCTTCTGGGGATCTTTCCAATCATCTACCAATTCCGTGATTGTCTGAGAAGATCTCTACGAGAGGGTTCTAATAAAGACTTTTTCCGTCAGAAAGTATAGGCCTCCACTAGAGGTCTTATTGTAGGTCTCCATTCAGTATTCACACGATGATCATTCCGTGTGTCCCTGCGCAACAAGACGCCAGGCGGGAAGAATCGAGGAATCTTGGCCCTTTGGCAAGGGTGTCTAAGTCAAGAACATCTGCCCTGTTCGAAATGACGTATTGTATTTTCTTCACGACACCTGCTAAATACATCCTTATTCATATTCCCATACCATCAGCTAGCCGCCCACCTTACTATTAGCACATTCGACATGCGCAGGAACGTGCGTGGGCACTCGAACAAGGCCCCCTCAATCTCAAGGCTTATCACGCCGGAGATGAAATTACCGACGACCAGTGGTGCACTGGTGTCTCAGATTAATAGCGCCCGGGATAGACCGCCGAGCGGGAACTGTGCCAACGGAGACCAGTGGCAGGATACTGAGGCAGGGGGATGGGGTCGTTGACGGAGAGAGGACACGAGCGGGGCTAATTGCATTTCGTAGTCGTGGACGGGGAAGTGGTTCGAGAGGGTGCGGTTCTTTGCAGGCTGGGCTTTGAAGGGTTGCGGTGGGATGGAGAGAGCGATTTCTGTGTTGATCATTTATTTGTAGGAAAGACAATCTTGGAGTAAGTATGTATGTAAGATAGGGCCAGACTGCTAGTGGTAAGGTCGTCGTACTGTAACTATGGCATCCATGGCCCGACGGGAGGTGTTCAAAGGATGTGATCCACTGCTTAATTCAAGATGCTTTATACCCGATCAAGTATGTAATCATTGTAATGTACTGTACGTGTATGCTAATCCAGCGCGATACAATACCCCAGTACGACTGTCGCTCTCAACATTAGTACAGTCCGCTCCAAGACGACGGCTGCCCTGGTCTAGAACCATGCCGATCGACAAGAACACGCATCGCATTCTTTCCTAGTGGGCCAGACTGCGGTCCAGCCCAATGCCGAGCATTTGTGCATTCTTGGTGGGCTGACAAGGGTCCTACTGTACATGTGGATGTATGGAAGTGAGAGTACTCTGTAGTCTGTACTCTGGTTGTTCTCTGCTCTTAGCTACTGTCGGAAAGCAAACCCATGTCTCTGAATTCTGCATGTTGCCTCGAGTACAAGACCTGCATAGATCTGATGCACAATGAAAAAGTAAGGGCTTGGTGGTGCCGCCACTCGGTACTCCGTGAGTCCGTTGGTGGCTTGCGTGTGCCGCGTACCATGCAGGAACCAGTGAACCACCGATAAGCTGTAAGAGCCTTGGAGGTACAGTACTCCAGTATTATTGAGTCAGGGATTATTTGGTCCCTATGTAGTAGCTTGCAGATACTCGAAGTGGATAGTCGAATCACGGATAATACCCGGTACAAATGACGATGAGCCCAGATCAGCCGGGCGATATAGGGTCATAAATGTCTATTTATATATGAGATGAATGATGTGAGCCGTCTAATCAAATTTTGCGCAGAGTTAGTCCAATTGCTAGTATTACCTTGATTTATTTCTATGCTGTATGCTCGAGCGTCATACCCTCCCACCAATTCTCCAGGATCATGTGATCTCAACCCTACTAAGGTACGCACAAAGTGTTGTGATCGATGGTGTTACAGTGGCGTGCCGTGGAGGGGACTGTGGCTGAAGGTGGCGCTCCAGTCAGTCATCCAGGTGTAGATTGGAATGCGCTTGATGTTTACCGTTGTCAGAGATGGTCTCATACAATACTGTGGTGTACTGTGATGTATGTATCCGAACGTCCAAAATCGAAAGGATCCTCCCGTCTATATTTGGGGAGTCATGATTGGAAGCCGGTGTAAATTATGGACGGGTGTACCTGTTCGGTGGTGTCTGGATCGCCTCGGATTCGCTTAGCGGCCCCAGTTTGGTGTCTGTCTGGGTCACGATCTCAGTCACATGGCACAGAACCGTGGACGCTCGAGACCGGCCCGCTTCCACTCCACTGATTCAGGGGAAAGAGATACCAGGAAGTTGGAACTGAGGGTGGTATATGAGAGTATGGGATTACGGGGTAGCAATACTCTTGGCCGTATGACAAAATGACCTGGCAAAATGATTAGAGTCATTGCCATACTGGAGAGTCTCCAGTAGAGAGTGTAACAGTCATGTGAAGAACAGGATATGGTGAAGCTTGCAGGTGCCAAGTGGAGCTGGTCAAACCTATACGAAGCACCGCCCGGGCATTCTCTTCTGGCATTGTCCGGGTTCTTGTGTCGCAGAGCGCGCGAGAGAGAAGAATAAAATACATAGCATCTCTCTTTGGCTCTCTCATCATCGCCCATTCTCGGCCTCTGCAGTACCGTCCACTTACAATCTTACAGCCTTACAGTATATTTCTCTCATTTTTCGTTCGGGTCTTGAACTGCTGAAACACGCTGGAGCCAATCAGTCCCGGCTTCAGGGGTGTCTCGAATACCCCACCCATCCTCTGCATGTGGTCGGGCACTCCCTCACAGACGCCCTCCATTGTTATCCTCCGTGGTCGTGCTCCCTTTCTTTCATACAATCAACCACCACCGCTGTTCCAGCAGAAATCCGACATTCGCTCTACTCAAACACACGCGGTGCTCGACCGTCTCTTGTTAATTCGCCTGTTCGAACGGGGCAATTGCGTTGTATAATTTTCGACCAGACTCGCAACGACTACTGAGTGGTAGTACTGACTGTCCCACACGCACGCTCTCTGTTTATCCCGATCGCACTCTCCGTCCGAACCACTCATTCTCCTCTCACAATTGGACTTGTCTCCCTATTCTGCGGCAATCCTCAACAGCAATTGCTGCAATCGTTCATTTGGAGCGCCTTCTTCTCGCGGGTTGATCCTGCTGAGCCTCATTCGCTATCGGTCCACTCGTTTCGTCTCCCTTGTCGCTGCTTTTCCTATTCGACAACCACGTGGGGGTTGACCTCCGTTCATGAATCTGTGGGCATATTCGACCGTTGTCGCCTGAACTAGATCGTGCCACTCCACAGAACTCCGAGCCTCTCTTTCACCCTACCTGTGAACCCCGAACCTCCGACTCGTTGCACTCGGTCCATTGCCCTTCTCGGTCAAAGATGCGCACCATCATCTTGACCCTCCTGGGACTGGGTGCGTTGGTGCCCCAAGCTCTCGCCGATGACACCCTCAGCACCAAGGGATTCAGTCTCTGCATGAAGGATTCGGATATTGCGGTGCAAAAGTTGGATGTGTCTTACTCTAAATCAACCAGAAAGGTTGTCTTCGACGTGGCGGGCTCCAGTGCGAAGGAACAATATGTCACTGCCTCTCTGGTGGTGACGGCTTACGGTCATGAGATCTATACAAGGACCTTCGATCCCTGTGGAACGGATATTCACGTCGATCAACTATGCCCCGGTAAGAGAAATCCTCCATGAACGTGCGACGGATCCTCACGATCTTCACGGGGACCAGGAATGACCAAACCTGAGATCCGTGGTGATTCCCGAATCCCCATTTCTCGCATGAGGTTCAATGCTAACAGAACCGCCCCCTGTAATATAGTCCCCGCAAAGGGTTTCGCCGCCAGCGGTGACATTGTCGTCCCCGACGAGTACGCCAGTCAAATTCCCTCCATCGCCTTCAATATTCCCGATCTCGACGGTCAGGCCAAACTCATCCTGACGTCAAACAGTACCGACGTGGCCTGCGTGCAGTCCAATCTATCCAACGGCAAGACCGCCAGTGTAAAGGGTGTCTCTTGGGCGTCGGCCGGGATCGCGGCCGGTGCGCTGGCCTTGGGTGGCGTCTCTGCGTTGAGTACCGCTGGAGTCAGTGGGGCCCCCTCCGCCAGCCCGTCCGCCGGAGATGTGATGGGATGGTTTGGCTCTATGGCGATGAATGGCATGCTGAGTGTCAGCTACCCGCCTGTCTACCAGAGTTTCACCAGAAACTTTGCTTGGAGCACAGGCCTGATTCCCTGGGCGAGCATGCAAAATTCGATCGACAACTTCCGCAAGTCCACTGGAGGCAACTTGACCCACAACAGTTATACTTATCTCTCGGCTCTGAACACGGCCACTTCAACACAAACCACCAATGCTTCTTCCACGGCCTCCAAGCGTAGCGCAGAGTTCGTCTACCAGAGTCGCCACCTGTTCATTCGGTCGTTGGATTTCTCAGAAAACAGCGGGTCGAACGGGACCGGCACTGCCAATGCCACCAGCAGCTCGTCTGGTGGTCTGACCTCGTGCGGTGATGTCGTGTCCAACATCAAGTGCTATGCTCAGGAGGTAATGATTCCTTCCGCCAACGTCTTCATGACGATCCTTTTGGTCTTTGCTATTGTTGTTGCGGTCATTGTGGTCGGTATTCTGTTGCTCAAGGTAATTTTGGAACTCTGGGCCCTGTATGGCAACTTCCCCCAGAAACTGGCCAACTTCCGTCGTGATTACTGGGGTCTCATGGCGCGAACCATCACCAACATGATTCTGGTCCTCTACAGTATCTGGGTCTTATACTGTGTCTACCAATTGCGAAACGGTGATTCCTGGGCCGCCAGGGTTCTCGCTGGTGTAACTTTGGGCGTCTTTACGGCAGTCCTCGCCTTCTTTGCATGGAGAATCATCTACCTTGCGCGCAAGTACAAGAAGACCGAAGGTGATACTGCTGCTCTGTACGAGGACCGCGAGACCTGGCGCAAGTACAGTTTGTTCTACGATTGCTACAAGAAGGATGTCTGGTGGATCTTCGTCCCCGTCATTGTCTACGCTCTCGCCAAGGGATGTATCATTGCCGGTGCTGAAGGCCACGGCATGGTCCAGACCATCGGTCAATTGGTTGTCGAGTGCTGCATGTTGGCTCTGCTTCTGTGGAACCGTCCTTATGCTACCAAGTCTTCGATGGGTATCAACATGACCATTCAAGTTGTCCGTGTCCTGTCCGTCATCTGTGTGCTCGTCTTTGTCGAGGAATTAGGTCTCTCTCAAACCACCAAGACCGTGACCGGTATCGTGTTGATTGCCGTGCAATCCACTTTAACGGGTGTTCTTGCCATTCTCATCGCCATCAACGCTATCATCTTTTGCGTGCGAGAGAACCCCCACGCCAAGAAACTTCGCGAAGCCGGTTCGTTCAAACCCTCTCCATTCTTTTCTTTTTTTCATCTATGGCCCTCGTTCCCCCCCCAAGAATCCACCAATACTAACTCTATACTCTCCTGGTCTACAGAAAAAGCCAACAAGGATCTCGATGATCTCACACCGCTTGATGCCCGCGAATCTCTTCTGATTGATCACCCACCCAAGCGCGACTTTACCGAGATGAGCAAGTTCAACTTTACCACCCCTTACGAGCCATACCGGGATCAACCGATGCACCGATCTGAAAGCCACGAGCACTTGGTCAACGCTGACCATGGAGTCACCCGTGGTATCGCTTACGACCGCAGTCACAGCTCTGCTGTGGATTCTCGTTCCTCTATGGAAGGTCGCAAGCCGACTGCCCCCGGTTATGGCATGGCCTACTGATGTCACGATGTTGCCTGACTTTATTTTGTTGAAATATCTCTCTCTATGCCTGAGCTTCTGCAAGTCTCTTCCCCTTTTTCTCCTTCTTCCAAATATTGTATTCCTCACCCCTGCCTTTCTCCTACCTGATGCATGCTTCTGTACCCAAAACACCGCGTGAAATCCCTACTTTCCTGAATGGTTTGATTTAGCGTTTCTCTCGCATGGCGGAGTCAAAAGGTGTATCAAGCTGCACCTCATCTGTGATACAGGCACTGGATGGAGGAGAAGCCCCGCCAGTCGTGGACAATGTACAGTTGAGAACATTTGTTTTTCTCCCCTGTGCTTTCCCTCCTCCACTCATTCATCTGTTGACAGTTGAGCTGAACTTGGCTTCTCCGCCCCGTCGTTGATTTAAGAACTCGGCGGTTATCTTTTCGCCTTTTTTTCATCATTTTCCATCTTGATTTTGACCTTGCTTATACCAGAATTTTCACTGTTCAATTTTGACTTTATTCGTTTTTTTCATCTTTCTTTCCAGTGGAATTGGTGCTATAAGCTTCTCATACGCTTCATTCTCATATATAGATGATCTGAGGATCTGGAATTTGAGATCTGGAATCTCATACAATTTCAACCAAGATTTTCGCCCTCGAGAGATGATCTTCCTGCCTACGTAGACTGCGATGCTGTATCGAGTTTGGAATGATCAGCGATTCAGCACCCATTGCCATGCGTGCAAAATATGGAATCTCAAACCAGGTCGGACTATGCCATTCCTCACTTCTTTCGCTCAATTTCCTCCCCTCTCAACTTCGACTAGACTAAGTGTGAAGCCATTGTACACTGGCAGTAGACAGCTAAGCTTACCTCCTCCACCATCCCGGTGATACTGGGCTGTCCATTGACTCCATTCCCCCGTCCTCGAGACACTTTCCAACCCCGAATCCGAACGCAAACCCGAAGTTCTATCCGACAACTCCTCCCACCGGGCCTGCGCAATCAGCACAGGATGCGCCATGCAGCCATGCACACACCCTCAAGAAACGCGAAGTCGAAACACAAGGTCCTTGGACCTGAATAGAATCTGCAATCTGCACTCGTCGCAATGACATCTGAAGTTCCACTGCGCACTTGACTCTTGAGCAGTGTGTGATGCGGTGGGCCACTGGGCTCTGTATCCGCATGGTTTGTTCCGAGTCTCGGTGTGTACTGTGCAGGTGCTTCTCGCGTGTGCTTTTTTCGGTGGTTCGTTCCGGGGGCGTGGCGGATTGGCCTCGGTTTTGTTTTGGGTATTTGCAGATTAGAGGATTGGAGGGTATAAGATATAGGATGTAGAAGAAGGGTCAGTCTTCCAGGGTCGACTCCCTAATCTCCAGCTAGTAACTAATAGGTAGCTGGTCTACTAAGATAGAATTAAAAGACACCATTTACATCGAGCTCTTTTCGATGGCAGACCTCAGATCTGGGTACTAGTTCGGTGTTGGTCGAGGTACATACTACATAATGGTATGTCACGAATTCCATGTACGAATTTCATGCACGGATCCAAGGCCGATCTTGAATACCGATGAATATCAAGACCCACGAGGCTGTGAACGTCGATTTGTCACAGCTATACAATCCAGAAGTTCAGAACCACAGGTAGTGCAGAGGCCCATGCAAATATTTGCATACCATAGTATAGTTAATACTATATTATACTTAGGGTTGCGGATGCCGGTCTCAACATTGACCATTCAGAAAATATACCGAGTCAGTGAGTACTACAAGACACGAGTAGTAGGCTGGTTCGGGCTGTGGTAGAACCTGTCTATATTTTGACTTCGGGGTCCCATTGAAGCCTTCTTTAAGCTCGGCTGTCTGAGGGGGCTCAGATTCCGAGGTTCTGTGCACAGTCATGCACGGCTACTTCGCAGATGGATATCGATTGAAAAGGAATGGGTGTGATTCATTTCGAGAAGAATGACGGGATTGACTGGGGAGTGAATGGAGACATGTGGTAGGTATTGGGCAAGGTGCATCTCCGAACGATCAATACCGTATTTGCGTCAATATTGTTCGATGGAGTATTGTCTCCGCTGGCTTGTCGATTATGTGGAGAAATTCAGGGCCGATGTAGTTCTCAGAGAAGACAATATCGAGAAAGATCAGGAGAGTCGGTAACTCTCATCTATCATGTGGGGCTCCAAGTATGTGTGGCATTGGCAATATCGGAAACGTAGCGTAGCATGATACGGCGATCTGAAGAAGTAATTCCATAATTCCAGGAGAGTGCAATACAAAAAAAAAGTGAAGTGATAGAATATCAATATCCAATGGCCCGGTTAAAATAAGTAATACATGTTTCGAGGGTAACCTGGAATAAAGTCCAATCATCCAGAAATAAACCAAAGAGGGGTTCAAAAGGAATTGAAAACACAAGACGGGGCAAGTGACAGGCAGAAAAAAAAAGGACGAGATGTGCCTCCCGAATGGTCAGTTCTTTTGTTTTGATTTTTGAGTTCGCCAATCTTGACCTGAGTACCTTGTTCTTGCACCAGTTCCCAAACACTCGATGATCGAACCCTCCGCCAAATCAATGGATGATGTGAGATATGAGAAAAGATATGATGGATATATTGGCTGTTCTGCGCTTTTGTGACCCAGACTTGGAAGTTGATGACTTAGCTCGGTCGAATGCTCGATTAGCGAGAGTAAGGGTGGAATCCACGGTGTCCACCACGACCGCCGCCGCGGTAGTTAGCACCGGGCTTGCCGGCGTTGCGGGGACCGGTTGGTGCATTTGCAGGGGCGCTCTGAGGCTGAGGAGTGACACTGGAACCTGAGTATAGAGAGAGGAGAAGAAGAGAAAGATGTTAGTTGACGAGCGTGGTCATCGACGCAGGGCAATCTGGAGAGACGACAGAGGTGGAAGGAGAAAAGGACCGGAAAGCATGGCATAAGGAAAAGAAAAATCATTGAACATACCACGACCCATGCTACCACCACGAGACATACCCTGAGGTCCGGTAGGGATATTCGGCTGAGGAACCTCATCATACATGCCCTCCCATGAGGTCGGACCGCCCTGTTGATAAGGCGCATAGCCACGGCTGGGATCCATAGCACGACGAGCCTGCTGTTGCTCATACTTTTGCTGTTCAAACGCAATCTGCTCCTGGGCGTTGTATCCAGGTCCACCGGGCTGTTGTTGCTGCTGCTGGCCACCACCGGACACCTGACCCTGGCCCTGCATTTGCTGCATCATGGCCGCGTTCATCATGTTGGGCATGGCGTGCTGGGATCCCGGCGAGGCCGGGTTGGGGCTCATGCCGCCGGGTTGCTGTTGCTGCTGGGATTGAGGCTGCTGCTGAACCTGCTGCTGCTGTTGAGGACCTCCACCCATCTGCGCGGCCATCTGCTTCATCTGCATCTGTTGCATCTGCTGCATCATGGCTGGGTTCATGGCTCCCATGTTCATCTGACCACCTCCCATCGCCATTTGCTGCTGCATCATGGCAAAGTACTGCTGCATGCGCTGCCAGTACTGGGCCATCATTTGGGGGGTCATGCCACCGGCCATGCCCTGCTGAGATCCGCCTTGCTGCTGGACATTCGAAGATTCTCCACCCTGGTTCATGTCGCGGAAGTTGTCACGACCACCACGGCCACCGCGGTTCTCGTCGCGCAGATTGCCTCGTGGCTGGGCCTTCTTGACCTCAATCTGTTTCCCGAGGATCTCAAGGGGGCGAGAGGGGGCGTTCTCAACTGCGGCCTCGCTGTCAAAGGTGACGAAGCCGAATCCACGAGGTCGGCCAGTATCCTTGTCGATCATGAGAGTAGCATCGATGACACGGCCGAATTGGGTGAAGAATTGCTTGAAATCTTGCTCGGTGGCCTCTTGACTAACGCCGCCAACGAATATTTTGCTGGTCTTTTCTTGCTCATCACGGGGAATAGCGCGCTTGGGATCAATCTGGTCAAAGAAGAGAATGAGTTAGCCAGATGTGTTTCGCTGTCCATCTGTGAAGAGATCTTGTGATAGAATGCTTCTTTTCCATGATGGAGTGCTCAACTTACAATTTTGCCGTCAAGGTAGTGCTCCTTGACCATGACAGTGTTGACAGTCTTGGGATCACGGAAGGTGAGGAAGCCAAAGCCACGAGAGCGGCCAGTAGCACTGTCACGCATCACAGTACATTCCTGAACCTCACCAAACTGGGAGAAATAGTCCCGCAGGGATTCTATATGATATATCAAGTAGAGTTAGGAACCTAATTCATCGTTTCAAACTTCTCATATTGAGCTTCTTGGATTCCGCAATACGTACGATCTGTAGTCTCCCAGTTCAAGCCGCCGATGAACATTTTCCTATCCAAATTCGTATCAGTATCATAATCTATCACTGACATGCGTTCTCCACAGCTAGAACGTGTGAATGTGGTGACTCAAAAGCCACAACGAGTCCGATGTATGGTGACATGATGAGGACAAAGTCTCTCCCTTCTTGTCCAAGGTCACGATCGAGCTGACCATGAGTTGGTGCCGCTATGCTGCTGAACACAAATACAGCCGAAGCTGGCTCGGACCAGAATCCCATCCTCTTGTGCCAGGATGGCTTTCGAGGGCAGGATCAACCAAAAAAGGCGAGACCTCAAAGCTATCCAGGCAAGTCCTTTCAGTTACATGACCATGTCATGCACAAAGGTCCATCAATTGCAAGCTCGGTAACCAGGCCCGCCCACTGGACTACATGAGCTTTAATCATCCAGGATCGATCGCGAAAACCCGGGATTTCTCTTGAGTTCAAAGACTCGTGCGGGAGAATCGGATGTACCAGTAGGGTCCGAGTGATTGATGTGTTCAGGCGAAAAAGTGAATTTGTCAGGTAACTCTGTCTGTCTGCTCTGCCTGATTTTCTTTCTCTGACACGAAATAGGAACAGCAAGTTCTCGTTTAGGAGAAAATTCCTGAGATCTGGAGCGCAGGCACAGAAGCTTCCACAGTAAGTGAAGGCTGTGTGCCCTCTTGCTCTGCCCTATCAACTTCATCGACAAAGCTATATAGTATCGAACGTACTATATGACTGCTGGGTGCAGAGACTGATCTGGAGCGCCAAACTTTTTCCATGAATGCATGAGGCAAGGTGGGATTTTCCTCGAGCTGAACTCTTGATGATGTCGAGATATTTCCTGAGCCGAAATCACTCGAGAACATTTGGAGTCGAAGATGGTACATGGGCGATAGACGCAATCGAAAATGTGAGTCGCGTGCTCAGGGCTATCCAATTGATGTCTCGCAATTTTCGCATGCCCTTGGTCCCAGGTCCCGTTGAAATGTTGCCGCTCAGGTATTCCTTCTCTGACTTGACAATGCCCAGAAAGCCCCTCTTGGGTTTTTTTTACACCCCTTCAAAACACCGGGCCAGCATCACCGCAGCTCGAAGCTATGCCCATGCCTCCGAGAATCCAGTCGAGCACCATCACATTCCGTACATTGTGTGCTGCCGAGGACACATCTCCCTCGTTCGGCAATGGACGATCGGCCACGATGGACCAAAAAAAAGGCAGATATGATGTATGAAAACTCCTCGCACTTACCCATCTTCTTTGATTCCTGTTCCGACCTTGTGATCATCGTGATCAGCGTGAGGCGTCCCGGCATGGTGATGACCATGAGACTGGTTGTGGTCCACTCCATTGTGACCTCCAGAGTAATAGTCTTGCTGAGGGGCGGAGTGATTCTGGTGTGCGTCCATCGACGAAGTATTGTAGCTGGGAGCGACGGTCTCTTGAGCAGGCGGTTGCACCGGGACCGAGTCTGGAACTTGCTGTGCAGCAGGCTTTGGAGCCTCTACCGCAGAAGTAGCACGGTTGGTAGAATCATCGGCGTCATAGCTGGAGAACATATATTAGCTTGCTTCCGATTACAATATGAGGTGAGATGCAAACCGTACAGGTCCGCGAAAAGATCATCGTCAATGTCCCCGGAGTCAGCCATTGTTCCTGAAGATTAGTCAAACTAGGTGCCCTGAGACAACGATGAATTGCTGGTTGAAGTAGGCCAGCGGACTACGAGTGATCTGAGTCAATGGAAGCGATTCTTGCAGTGAGCCAGACTGTTGTTGATTTTTTTTTCGACGCGCAAGTGAGTGAAGGAGTGATGGACCACTGGAAAGGTAGGAAAGGCGGAGTCACGGACTTACATACATCCGTGGCAGTGGAAGAAGGTTTGCTGATCCGGATAAGCGCGCTCGTAACGAACTTGCTCAAGAGTCAGTAGGCATTGGTAAGTTAACCGATTCGTGTTAGCATCATTAGAAGCTTAATTTTACTCCAAGTTGAAAACATTTGCTTTTAGGGTATTTGTTCAGCCTTGATTGTCTTCTTCGTCTAATTCGACTCCCCAGATATTGCTCTTTTGGGGCACGTGATAGACCATCAGATGCATTTCTGGCCCATTAGGAAGGTGGTGAACAGGGCGGTCAACACTATGAGTTGCAAGCAGGGGAGTAAGTGGCGTGCGAATCTGTAGCCAGACGGACCAGTCCGCGACATCTACAACCAGCATTGAACCTATCTTTGGTCTCCACCTCCAATTGCATTGACCTCTCCTGAGATCGTGTATTTGGCCAGCTGTCAAAAGCTGCAATGGGTGTTTGATCAGGACATTTAATCTATGGCTTAGCTGGAGAACGCATCACCATACCCACTCCTCGGCCGCCCCGCATTCAGTCGCCGCTGAGACCAGGTTACGTCGAGTAGCTAAGAAGGTAGAGAGGCATGGCACACAAAAAAGGCCAACAGGTACGTATCAACCGCTTGATGCTTCCCAGAATCTCATCATGAAAGATGCTAAATCATACTTTCTAGGAGATGGTGCAGGTCGGTGCGTCTTAACACTCTTTATCCCCGCATTGTCTCGCCCCGCGAAGCTAATATCAAGCTTGCGTTGCTAGGCAATTCCGAGTATGTTGTTAACCTCACATTTACACCTCCCCTAAAAGCGCAACCGGTGGATAGCTAACGGCTCTCTTAGGCGTGCCGAATCTCCATTCTGGGCTGGTCGCAGTGTATCACTCAATCAAAGCTCCTCGAGAGTATATGGCTCAACCCCTGTCGTTGGTGCTGCATACTCCCATGCCGACATCGTCCAGTGAGAAATCTCCGAAAAGCTTTGTGCTGCACCTAGTTCGCGGATTCGAGCAATGACCACGCGCTTGCTGACAAGTCATGATCCATACAGGAGCGCATTGTCTCACCAAAGAACCAAAACCCCGCCTCGGTTGGCAGGAAGCACCCACCATGCTGGGTCCTACATAACGAGCCGCTCGGCGAGCATGGTCGCATCACCACCTCGACAATCATATCCTGGATTACAGGCGAATAGCTCGAATGAGTGGGGCCGTGATCCAGTGGACGACGACGATCAAGATGACGACGATGACGATGACGAAATAATTTATGATGACGACGAAGACGAATTCGGATTGCCTAGTCTTGCCAGTATGAGACGGAAGAAAAACACGTCTTTGAAGTCCGGAAACATTGACTTGGACATTTCGACGAAAGGAAACCCTTCATCCTTGGGATACGGACTTGCGGCTGCGTCAAGGCAGCGCGCCAACAGCGCCGATATTGCTGAAGAACGCGGAACACCAATGTACCCAACTGCGCGAAAAACGGAAGGCAAGATTTTGCGACCACAGTACAAAGATATTCTTCAAGGTATGGCGCAAGAAACATCGGCCCTGTATTTTTATTTGAAGTCCTGTTATTGACCTTTGAATCCCCTTTAGATCCTGCGAATGCGCTCAACTTGATTAACCACTCAGCCCCACCTACCAATGCTTCTCCAAAGGATAGAGAGATTCACTCTAGCCGCATAACTCGCATTAATAAGTTCAAGCGCATTCTACAGGCGAGTACGGTATCGCTCACCGAGCTCCGCGATCTGGCATGGTCTGGGGTCCCTGAGGAAGTGCGTCCAATGACTTGGCAGCTACTGCTTGGATACTTGCCCACGAACAGCGAACGTCGTATCTCGACCCTTGAGCGAAAGCGCAAGGAGTACCTCGACGGAGTGCGCCAGGCATTTGAACGGGGCAGCGGAACCGCTGCGAATCCGCCCACTCCTGGCGCCGGACGTGGACGAGGTCTCGACGAAGCCATCTGGCACCAGATCAGCATTGACGTTCCGCGTACGAGTCCGCATATCCCACTCTATGGATACGAGGCCACGCAGCGGTCCCTTGAACGCATACTCTATGTATGGGCCATCCGCCATCCAGCAAGTGGCTATGTCCAGGGTATCAATGATTTGGTCACCCCGTTCTGGCAGGTATTCCTAGGAGTATACATCACTGATCTCAACGTCGAGTCAGGCATGGATCCTGGTCAACTGCCGCGGAGTGTCTTGGATGCTGTCGAGGCTGACACTTTCTGGTGCCTGACCAAACTACTCGACGGCATTCAAGATAACTACATCTACGCTCAGCCCGGCATTCACCGCCAAGTGAGAGCTCTACGTGACCTCACGAAGCGCATTGATTCCGCGCTAGCCAACCATCTAGAACAAGAAGGCGTGGAATTCATGCAATTCAGTTTCCGATGGATGAATTGTTTGCTTATGCGGGAAATGAGCATTCGGAACACGATAAGGATGTGGGACACGTATATGGTACGACGAGGGTCTCTGTTTGCGTTTCAAATCTTCAGAAGAACTAACAGTCTTCACAGGCCGAGGAGCAGGGCTTCTCTCGATTCCACTTGTATGTATGCGCTGCCTTTTTAGTGAAGTGGACCGACCAACTTGTCAAGATGGACTTCCAGGTATGTGACTTTCCGCAACCACATGGATGATGCCTGGTGTACCAGGGCTGACCATTAAGCACAGGAGGTTATGATGTTTCTACAGGCACTACCCACAAAGGACTGGACCGAGAAGGATATTGAGCTCCTTTTGAGCGAGGCCTTCATCTGGCAAAGCTTATTCCAGGATTCACGCGCTCATCTTCGGCCAACAGGAAATGAACCTCCTGAGAACGGTATCTTCTATTGACAATAATCATTAATTCATCATTCTGTGCCGGACATACTTCATATTTTGGTTGTCCGTGGGTATCTGAAAGTAGCGAGAAGGGCGGGGACAATTCTTTTTCGATCAATCTTCCGGGTCTCTCGATCAGTTAAAGTGGATGCCCTTCTGGTTGAAAGCCCACAGCAACTTCAAGAATTCGTTCTCATCACACATTCTTGCGCGCTTGTCGGCGAGGCCAGTCTCGTCTTCCAGCACCTGTCGCACCTTCTCACGGACCAGCTCTGAGACCTTTCCTCGCTTTTTGCGCTGAGGCTTGCTCAGAGCTTGTTGAATACGTGCATTTGCCTCCTCCTTGAAGAAGTCGGGCACGTCATCATCATCCATTTCCATGACTTCGTCGGCAACCTCCTCGTCAGCTTCCTGTTCCTGTTCTTCACCCATATCCATCATATCACCCTCCGCATCTTCCACGGGGCCGTCCTCCACAGGGATGTCGTTTTGAGCACACCACGTGCGGTAGTTCTGCTCCAGCATGTTCATGATGCTGGGTGTGCCGATGAAACTGGCCCGAAGCGTCTTGTTCTTTCGCACAAAGGCAATGCGCAGCAAACCGTCCCACTCCTCGTAATTGATCTGTGGCCGGGGAACCTTGGGCACCATGCGAATCACACTGGACTCGACCAGGGGTGGAGGTTTGAAGTTGTTCTTCCCAACTTTCATGATGTGATCGATCTTGGCCCACATCTGGGCATTTACAGACAGTCGACTGTAGAGCTTGTCGCCAGGCTTGGCGAATAGACGCAGAGCAAATTCCCGTTGAAACCTGTATCGCGAGATGAAAATGTTAGCATATGACCACAATCTAATTTCATTATATGCACACGGTGAATATGAGCCATTCAGTGGCGTACGCACATGAGAACACAGGTCCGAGGAGCGGGTGTAGTGGCAAGTAGCTTGAAAGTAAGAGGAGAAGAGATCTTTGAGGTTCTGGTCAGCTGTCCATCTGGTAGACTCTGTGCAAGGACGTGTTCACGGATGAGAGCAACGTACCTGATAAGGAGTGTTACTGATGCAGACATCAAAGTATGGCAGCTCTGTCTTCATCACGTCGCCGAGAATGACCTCCAAGCGCTTCTGCAGAGGAGTTCCTTGGAAACGCTTTGTAACTTCGGCAGCCATTCGAGGATCCAATTCGACCGCGATCACCTTCTTGGCCTTCTCCAAAATCTTCGCAGTCAAGTTACCAGTACCGGGACCGATTTCGAGAACGATCTGATCGACAGACATGTCAGCATAGTTCTATTGATTAAGGTGCATTGAGGGATGCTGACATCGCTTTGCTTGAGATCGGCTTTGATCACAATTCTTGAATAGAAGGATTAATATCTGTCCCAACCTGAACTCCTCAAGTCGAAAGCGCACTCACTGCTCAGCGATACCGGGGTTCTTCAACACGTGCTGACCGATGTCTGTGTTCATCTTGAAGATACTGTGCGCAGCCTTGGTCTTTGCGGCGGCGTCTGCGTGCGCATTGTTGCGCTTTCCCTTTTGAACTTTAGGCATTTTGGTTGCCTTGATTGTTCAATGTTCAAATATATAGTCGGAAGAGCCGGGTCGAGTGAAGCAGATATCAGATATACGACAGCAACGTCTGGCAATGAAAAAGCCCGCAACTTGTTATTCCCCGCGGACTGCCCGATGAACTGTGGGCGACTTTTTTTTCCTGGGTTGCGATAAGACTCTTATCGGCAGTCGGGCCTACTTTTCTACGGGCCCGCCCTCCGTCTCTCTTCCGGGCGTTGATAGCTCTCAGTATCGCATCGCATTCGAGCTCAACGGCTTGATACCTGTGCCTCACAATGGCGTCTGGACGCAAGGACTTTCTCAGCCAGCAGGCGCCTGAGAATTATGTGGCCGGTCTCGGTCGTGGTGCGACTGGTTTCACCACGCGATCTGATCTTGGACCCGCGCGCGAAGGTCCTACGCCGGAACAGATCCAAGCTGCGCTGACGAAACGAGCAGCGCTCCTTGGTGCAGCAGCTCCTACAGCTTATGGAGAAAAGTCCCGCGAGAAGGGTGGCAAGGAGGAGAAGGAAGAGGAGGACGATGAACGGTTTCAGGATCCCGACAATGAGGTCGGCCTGTTCGCATACGGACAGTTCGACCAGGAAGATGACGAAGCGGATCGCATTTACCAGGAAGTCGATGAGAAGATGGATCGTCGTCGCAAAGCTCGAAGGTGAGTCATCGTCCCCTATGTCCATTGTCTTCAAAGACGATTTGTTCATCGGGTCTAGTTCCCCGTTTGATGGATAGATTACCGACTTTGCATCGTTCGCCACCTATAGGGAAGCCCGCGAGAAGCAAGAACGTGAAGACTACGAACGCAAGAACCCGAAAATTCAACAACAATTTGCCGACTTGAAGAGGTCGCTCGCGGCAGTCTCAGAAGAGGACTGGGCCAACCTCCCGGAAGTTGGTGATCTTACAGGCAAGAACCGTCGCGCCAAGCAGAACCTTCGTCAGCGATTCTACGCTGTTCCCGACAGCGTCATTGCAGGTGCTCGAGATTCTGCGCAGTTCGACACCACAATCGCCGATGACGGCACGGAAGGTGGAGGAGAAAACGCCGACGGAACAATGACAAATTTCGCAGACATTGGTGCCGCTCGTGACAAGGTTCTCAAAGTGCGATTAGACCAGGCTGCGCAGGGCTCATCAGCCACCGCGGCTTCTTCGGGAAGTGCGACCAGCATCGACCCCAAAGGCTACTTGACTAGCCTGACGCAAACGGAGATGAAGGCCGGTGAAGTTGAAGTTGGCGATATCAAGCGAGTCCGACCTCTCCTGGAATCAGTCACAAAGACGAATCCTAAGCACGCCCCAGGATGGATTGCTCTCTCGCGTTTGGAGGAACTCGCTGGCCGCATCGTGGCGGCTCGTCACGCTGCAGCCAAGGGCTGTGAGCTCTGTCCCAAGAGCGAAGACTTGTGGCTGGAAAACATTCGATTGAACGAGGGCCACAACGCGAAAATCATTGCTGCCAACGCCATCAAGAATAATGATCATTCGACTCGACTGTGGATCGAGGCTATGAAGTTGGAGACTGAGACGCGTGCGAAGAAGAACGTCTTGCGGCAGGCCATTTTGCATATCCCTCAATCGGTTCAGATCTGGAAAGAAGCTGTCAATTTGGAGGATGACCCGGCTGACGCCCGCCTACTTTTGGCCAAAGCCGTTGAGATGATTCCTCTGTCTGTGGAGCTGTGGCTTGCTTTGGCGCGTTTGGAGACGCCGGAGAACGCCCAAAAGGTTCTCAACGCAGCGCGTAAAGCAGTTCCCACCAGTCACGAAATTTGGATTGCCGCTGCTCGACTGCAGGAACAGATGGGTACTTTCGACAAGGTCAACGTAATGAAGCGTGCTGTGCAATCACTTGCCAAGGAGAACGCCATGCTCAAGCGCGAGGAATGGATCGCCGAAGCCGAGCGATGTGAGGAGGAAGGAGCCATTCTCACCTGTGGTGCCATCATCCGCGAAACACTCGGATGGGGATTGGACGAAGATGATGATCGCAAAGACATTTGGATGGATGACGCCAAGTCCAGCATTGCTCGCGGCAAGTACGAAACCGCTCGCGCCATCTACGCGTATGCGCTGCGAGTCTTTGTCAACCGTCGTTCGATCTGGCTTGCGGCCGCGGACCTCGAGCGAAATCATGGCGACAAGGAGGCTCTTTGGCAAGTCCTCGAGAAGGCCGTGGAAGCTTGCCCACAGAGCGAAGAGCTTTGGCTCCATCTTGCCAAAGAGAAGTGGCAGTCAGGTGAAATTGATGATGCGCGACGAGTCTTGGGTCGTGCTTTCAATCAGAACCCCAACAATGAGGATATTTGGCTTGCCGCTGTCAAGTTGGAAGCCGATGCCAAACAGACCGATCAAGCTCGCGAGCTACTCTCGACAGCTCGTCGTGAGGCTGGTACCGACCGTGTCTGGATCAAGAGTGTCGCTTTCGAGCGGCAATTAGGCAACATCGACGAGGCTTTGGACCTTGTCAACCAGGCATTACAGCAATATCCCAAGGCTGACAAGCTCTGGATGATGAAGGGTCAAATCTACGAGTCACAAAACAAGTTCCCTCAGGCACGCGAAGCGTACGGTACCGGCACACGAGCCTGCCCCAAGTCGGTTCCTCTCTGGCTTCTAGCATCGCGACTTGAAGAGAAAGCCGGTGCAGTGGTTCGAGCTCGATCTGTTCTTGACCGAGCGCGTCTCGCTGTACCTAAGAGTCCCGAGCTCTGGACTGAAAGTGTTCGCGTCGAGCGACGCGCTAACAACATTGCTCAGGCCAAGGTTCTCATGGCCCGAGCCTTACAAGACGTTCCTGCATCAGGTCTTTTATGGAGCGAGAGTATCTGGCACCTTGAGCCGCGGGCCTCGCGCAAGGCACGTAGCCTGGAGGCCATCAAGAAGGTTGAGAATGATCCGATCCTGTTCATCACGGTTGCACGAATTTTCTGGGGTGAGCGCCGCCTCGAAAAAAGCCATGACGTGGTTCGAGAAGGCTATCGTTGCGGATAGCGACTATGGTGATGGATGGGCGTGGTACTACAAATTCTTGCTGCAGCATGGCACGGAGGTAGGTTCGGATGTTTTGATCTTATTTCAGGCAGCCCAGAAATCCCTGCTGCTTTTCGATTGGCCAATTGCTCACATTTATTCATTTTTGCACAGGAAAAACGAGCAGACGTGATCTCAAAGTGCGTCATCACAGAGCCCAAACACGGCGAAGCATGGCAATCCATCGCAAAAGACCCGGCTAATGCATCTAAGCCAACAGAAGAAATTCTGAAGCTTGTTGCTGAAGCGGTCAATTAAGATTACGAGATGATAGTTTTGAAACAATGTATTACGACGGAGTATCTTGTCTATATGCACAACGAAGGCGTCTGTTTGTTATTTCTATGGTCATGGATGGCGTTTTGAATATGAATTATACAGACTCAATTAAAGAACGATACCTTTCTTGACGTGGAACGGACGTGGAAGATACGTGAGACGCACGGGACTCTCCTTTGAGGTCAATTTAGGACTTCTCCAGTCCATAGTCTTTAGAAGAATCCTTCCTTCTCGTCTGCCAACACTCAGTATTTCTTATCGGTGCCAGTGGACGAGGCTGACTCGTGAGCTTCATAATATGTATGGCTTGATCTATCATCTTACAAGGTGTACAATTTGATCGAGGTGGGTGAGACTCCACCATTGAGCGCTTATACCCATGGCGGTTCTAGATTGTTCTAGAGAAGGTACTGGGATTGATCAATTAGTAACTTAGTGGCATTTGAAGTGTGGATTAGGTAGTCCTCGAGAGGTGGATACGCTTAAGTTTTAACTATACTATGCTCCACAGTCCACACTGTGATCCCGAGCCGTACCCCGGACTCGAAGGCAACGGAGCGCCTACAGGTCTGTTGTGGCAGACAATTCGGTATTCAAGACTATGGGCGCTTAACTTCGATTTTTGGAAATGTTATGCGACCTGAATCATGAAGTTGATCACATGAGCTTCACCGGGAGAAGAATTGGACCGAGCCGACGTGGGTTGGCGGCTACTAGTAGCTGGGAAGTTATTTACGTACTTCCCCCTGTGCCATCATGCTGGGTATGTCATGTCGAATTCAACCCACAGTGGATTCGCAATTCTGCAACGTGATAGCTTATCCTGAAAAACACTCAGCGCCGTACATTGAAAAGCTTCGATGGATTCGCCGAACGGGCTAAGACCCCGTTGATTGCTTCACGGGGAAATCACCTGGGAGGAAGCCAAGGAAAAAGAGACGGACATACTCGATGAATTGAGCAATCATGCCCAAAGAGTCAAACTTTTCAACCATCCGTCACAACACATTCATGTCATAAAATATCTCACTGCTCATCCCCCTGGCCTAGAGTCAACGGAAGAGATTTACGTCGCAGATCAGGAGGATTGGGTCCACGGATCCTTCAATGTGTGCATCTTGATTCACATCGGTGGTCACAATGCGGGTGGTCGCAAAGAACGTCCCCTGAAATGATTGGTAATGCGGTTTCCCTTACCATATGGCATTGGAGAAGACCCTCATTCAAGCAACTCGGATGAAAACGTTCTCTGTGAGGCTGGCACACACGCATGGATTGAGCAAAATTGCGCAACTGTTCCTATACCTCGGCTATGTGGGCTCGGACTTTCGAATGGAAGAACAGTGAGTGACCACTTCATGGCCTATCGTTGGGGGATCAGTGCTTGAACTCAATTGTCCCAGTTCACCTTGCGTGATAATTTACCTACGCTCATTCGTGCTGAAGAGCGTTTGCGTCGCTCAGTACTACCAATGTCTGGCTACCCAGTGCCCTCTTAATACGTTCCGCATCCTCGCAAAGCTGAGCCTTTGGGAAAACCGTATTTATTGATCGAATACATCGATCCATCACGAGGCAAATCGCTCTCTGAAACCTGGAAAGAAGGACGCCATGACACCGAACTTCGCAGCAATTTCTTCCATAGCTTGTCACGCGTCATTTTGGCTCTGGCCCGAACCCCATTGCCCAAGATTGGCTCATTTACGCTCGATGGCGATGGATATCTGATCTTGAGCAATCGTCTTCTTACCATGCAGATTCAACAACTAGAGAATGAACCCATCCCAGCTGGTCTGCCGCGAAACCTGACCTACGCGTCTGTTGACGCCCATATTTGCGACAGACTTGCGTTCCACGAAAGTCGACTCAGGCGTCAGCCTAACGCAATCATTGACATACCAGATGGTGCTTATTAAACGTCTGCATTGGCGGTCATGAGATGTATATGGTCTTGTCTCTTTCGTCGAGAATTCTCTCGAGGGCCATTCTTTCTCAACCTAACGGACTTGAGCCACCGCAACATATTTGTGGACGACAAGTGGAATATTACATGTCTTGTTGATCTCGAATGGGCCTGCTCGCATCCGATAGAAATGATACAGCCACCGTACTGGCTGACAGATCAGGTCGCCGATGACATTAAATTCGAAGAATACGAAAGCATTCAAGCAGAGCTAACGAAGGCATTTGCCGAGCAAGAATCCAAATGCAAGTCCGATGACCCAGTCAGCTTCGACTCTGTCTTGCAACAAGGATGGGAGAGAGGAACATTGGTGTGCACTTGCACTCAGAAGCCCCATCAGCGATGTTCTCCATTTTCTATGACCATATCCAGCCGAGGTTTACTAAGTCGCACCACGACAACCCAACGTTTTGGGAATTCGCAATGCCCTACTGGACATTCCATATCTATTCGTTTATTGAGAAAAAGGTGAGATACAAGGAACAATATGATGTCTCTCTACCCGAAGCATTTCAAGCCCGAGGCTATTTGTGTATATAGTATCTGGCTTGTTGACAACTTTTATGTGATCTGTCCCTAGGTGCTGCTCTTGCTTGTATCACCGTGGTTTTTCTTTGCATAAACCTCTATCGCTTTCTCGTGACCATGAAGCTCCTTTTTGTTTTTATTCTTCCGCGCAGTATCGCCAGACGAAGTAAGCTGTGCAATGTCTCTAGGCCTCATCCTCACGAAAGCCTCGGCCTACTCGACGTTGCCGTCGTAACTCGAATCGGAGCTTCGGTCCCCCATCTTGCTATGCGAGATTTGAAACGCACGACCGGATTTCAAGCTATGGCAAAAATTGCGTACTACTCGAAGTTTGACTTAAAAATACAGTCTGACTTTCACGAGGTATAGAATATATCCGTGTCTGGGCACCACAGCGTAGCCCCGTGTATGTACTATCAGGTCAAGTCGTCAGTCTTGGGGCCCATTTCTTCGACACCCAAGCAGAAAGGTCTACTGACACTCAACGAGAATGAAGCTCAAAATTTGAGGTTTGGAAGAGAAAGCGCTTATCAACCCGACTCTGAATTCAAGACAGCAAGGCTAAAGGCCAGGGAGGTCTCGAAAGTTGCTCTTTATATCAAAGGCGCCCAATCCACAGCGTTGCATCAGACTCTTGTACGGATTACTCGAGCAAGCCGGATTTTCTCGCAGAATGGTGTTGATATTGGGATACTGACTCGTGTGTGTCCCTATATTCGAGCCAACGACCTTCGATCTACCGTAGAAAAGTCATTGTGTCTTTAGGATACTTGCATACTTGGAATTGATATCCTAACAGCAAACACCATCAACCCCTTGATTCATCACATGGCTTTCGTTGGTCATTGAAGAAGTCACCGTCATGTATCCAGTATCAAGAGTATTCAACAGCATGATGTAAGTGCGAACTAATAAGAAAAATATTGTCCGCGGTTTGAACCGTCCTAGGACCCCCTTCACTGAGTTTCCCACCCATCTAGCCTGCCTGGCCACTTCACTATTGTGAATTGGGTACTTCAGATATTTCAGCAGATTCCGAGTAAGTTGGATGATCCAACACAACTCTGCTGCTGCTGCTGCTGCTGCTACATAAGCAATCAATCACAGCGTCGAGCCGTAATGTGCTCATTTTGTAGTATGAGGCTGTGCTGCACTGTGATTCACCAAGAAAAAGGGTGACATGCTTCGCGAGTCATCCATTCATACTCGATACCTAGGTCTCGGGCGGTTGATCAAGCGATCATCTGACTCTCACTACGACTCAGATCCTTCTGACTTCCAATTGTATCTGCCATGACTCATAAAGAACTGCCCGAGCGAGGAATGACTCACAATTGAAACCATATGTTGGAGACATCATATCCAGTAGAAGGCCTAGTAGGTCTGCCAGTCAAAGTCATGACATCGAGGCGGTTCTTGACAACGTACCGCGCCCTGATACCCAAATACTCCCGTCTACCTGCGAGGTCTAGTTCCACAGAAATTTAGTAAGCCAGTCAATTTTATAAAGACAGCAGTGACAGGTTTTCAGCGTTGGTGCGACACTGTTTGCCGCCTTCCATTAAGGGAGCCACCTCATGCTAGAGGTATACTAGACGGCAATTTGAAAGTATGAGAACTACCAACCTCTTCGCACCTCTTTGAACTTCTTTTATGAAAGCTACATTCCATATAGATATACTTAGCGGTGATCCAAGTATAATGACCAGTCAGTTCTGAGCAATCATATTTCGCGGCAAATTCTTCTTACAAATGACTTTTCAAGACAGAATGCTGACCACACGGATGACCTTTCCCGTCAGGGCCAGGTCTTTCCCACGCTCTTCAAAGCTGATTAGGTTGGAAATAAATTCCCAACCACGTATACGGAGCGATCGGGAGATTTTTGACAATAAGACCTTATCGATTGATAATCTGAAGATAGGGCGCAAAGACACCCCTGAGTTGAAACTCTCCAATATAAAAGTGATGTTGCTTCGGTCTGACTACCCAGAGAGACTTATAAGTGCCGATCACCTTGGGTATGAACATCGGGACGCGCTCACGCCTACAAGCAATAGTGGCTGCGTACTTCTGAGACAAGAGCTCTTTAAGGAAACAGAATAGATTTATCGACGAGCCCAACTAGGGCGACAGAGAGTGCTTAGAGACGAACATCCACACCCAGTTTCCAGCGTCAGGCCTTGGATCTGTACTTCGGAGTTAAAGGAAAACGCAAGAAAGCAGAATCAATGCACTGACGAGCTCTATCAGAACAAATGAAGGTGCCAGAACACGAGCATCCAGAGAGTATTGCCAGTGCCAATCGACTTCGTTTGTCGCTCAAGAGACGCACTGCCCATTTGACCTGAGATATGAGAGGGAACGGTTGTTGCAATGTCAACACCTGTCCACGACCTGCCAGGTCTGTGATAGATGCTTGCCTGCATGACTTGTTCGAACTTCGAAGGACCTACCCTGCAGGTCCAAGAATCATGTGATACATGAGAGTTTCTCTCCTTGCGTGTACCGCCCTCTGTTGAACCTCGTCTTAGTGAATCTCGTCTTAGTTTACGAGGATTGTTTCTATTTATCGCCATTTTTCCATGCTATTCTTTTTCCCACAATCCTCTTCTTTCCATCGCTTCTTTTCTTCTCCCTACCTTGCCTCCTGTATTGTTTCGATACTTGTCAATTCTTCTCTGCTTCTGGTTTGCCTTTTCACCAGTCACCAATACATTCATTATGCCTTGTTCTCTCTGTGCCCCCGCGTACTCGAATCAGCGCGCCCACGAAGGAGCCTCTACATAGTACAAGGACTAGGGAAGAACTTGCCTTCACATACATAATACTGACTCACTGAGGTGCTGAGCTCTGAATATGCCGAGGCACTCATTTACCAAGGAACCCTCAAATATCTAGATCGGTCGTACTGAGCACTCGAAACAAGAATGAGTAAGGAAGTGATCGACGATAGTTCGATCCCCTATTGCAGTGCCCTGGTGGACAGGGAGACCTCCTCCAGCTGGAGGCATAAAGACCATCAACCGGCAGAGTGACGGTTCTACCGACTATGATAAAGGTTTCGTTGTAGTTAGGTATACAAATAAGATTGGAAGGTTGAAGGAAATTTGCAAAATTAGAGCAAGCCAAAGGAGCAGTAATGGAACGGGTATGGGGGTATCAATTCTGGGTGCTTTTCTCCTGAAATTTATCAAGCAGCCATGGACAAACAATCGTCGAGCAAGCTACCCAATTGCTCGCGGTCCCAAGCAGCGCCTCCTTCCCAGTCGGAAAGTTCGTCATCTTCGTCGTCGTCCAGGTCCATTTCGTCGTCATCGGGCTTCTCAGGCTTGGGCTCGTGAGAGGCACTGGCGCCGTTTCCAAGACGATCTTGTTTGCTCGTATCGAGCTCGTCTTCGAAGTACCCACCCATGACCTGGTTGATCACGAGGGGCATATGACCGAGGACGCCGCGGCTGAGCTCAAGTGTGAGCCGGAGATCTCTGACACCAAGCGAGCGACGTGTCGCGGCTTCTTTCGCCTCAACTGGGAGTAGACCGGTCGCCGTGTCTTTGGCGATCTCACCTCGCGTGAATGCGAGTTCTTCACGCTCTAGTTGCTGCCGGTAATTGCGCTTCATCATACCGTTAATGGTTCCCGAGGGGCCATTGCAGCGCGTGCGCGAGAACACCGCAGACAAGACGTCCTTGACGAAGGTCTCCGTGGCGATCGCCATGAATTCTGCACATGGTAGACTGGCGCCACCTGGCAGGGACTCTTCGTAGCACATTGGGACCATTCGAGCGAAGATCGACTCGGCATCGGGAAATTCGCCCGTGTCCGCAGCCAGCGGTTGCGCATATCGTTTGCGAACCTCTAGCTCCCAATCTGAAGACAGCCACTCGTATCAGTATGTGCATTCTCACCTCACCCACCGCTGATTTCTCTCACCGAGACCACAACATGTGACCACTTACTCGTTTTGTTCAAACCCCCAGCACTCGCAGGAACCTGACTGGGGAGCTTGATCTGTTTCGCCTGGTGGTAGATTTCCAACTCCGTCGCAGGTACGTCGTTGGGGTCTCGCTGCAATCCAGAGATCGTCTCATTAGCAATCGTGATATTCGTGACCCTTCACTTCTTCCACCCCTTCGTGAGACACAAACCTCAGGAATGGCCTTGATTCTGCGCCGATCCCGCGGCGGCAGCTGCATCACCTCCGTCTTCAATCTCTGCTCGGCCGCATCTCCCGACACCGGCTTGGACACCAAGGACGGCTTATCGTTCGCCGAGACCCAGTTTGCGACGCCATGGTCGGGGAGGTCGCGTGTGAGATTGGCAAAGATCGCGCATATGAAATTATTATGTAGGTGTTCGATCTTTGTGTCGGCACACAGGAAGTAATCGACTCGCGACGCGTACTCGTGTTGGTTGCAGTGTCCTGTAAATTGAATAAAAGGGTCAGGAGGTCTGGGGTTGACTTGGTGGGAGAATGGGAACAGCGTTGCGAAGGAGGCTCTCCGCGCACACGCGCGCGCAAGACGGACCCCCGAGCCACAATGAGGTAATAGTGGTCTTTTTGTTCGCGAACATACGACGATTGAATTGAACACCAACATACCTAGTAAGAAGGAGGCTGTAGCATCCTTGTATTCCGCCCACTTGTCGCCGATGGCGGCCTTTAGTTCAGTGTAAGCCGGTTCCAGGTCAAGGCGCGGCACCGAGGGGAGACTTCGTGATGACTTCACCGTCGTGGATGAAGTTGTCGTGGTGGTCTTGGTCGCATTAGATGAGTCTGGGCGACTCAGAGCCGCGGGATCGATTTGCATGATAGCGGGCGGACGGGGAGGAGCGCGGCGAGGCGAGGCCGAAGGGCGGCTGGGTCGTGAGGATCACGCATTCATGAAGACGGGCTCGGAGGAAACGATGTTGATTTTGGAGGTTGTGAACGTGGAAAGGAAACGAGTGAGGGAGTGAAATGGATGAAGCGACGATGGGAATGGTAGATAATTGATGAAAGGAGGGTTGGGCGAGGACGAGAGGTTGGAAGTGAGGTTTCCGAAAGTTGCAGCTGCCCCCGCCAGAAACGGACGCTCTCGTGCTCCGCGAACAGACCAAAGACGACGAGGTACAAACAACTGCGATTGAGATACACTGTTTGTTTTGATTCAATCTGGGCTACCTGGGTCAAACACGATGGTGGAGAGCTCTAGCAAGATTTACAATCAATTACTTGTTGATTCTTTCACATATACACGGGGAATTGATGAGGAAAAAGAAATCCGGGGTAAATGGTGAGCAGTTGGTATTTAAGCCAGTTGCAGCATGTCTTCACTCCAAAAACCAAAAAGCTGTCCAATATCCGCCAATATTTGGTGGATTTCTTCAGAAAATTGTCCGGTGACGAGAACTAAAATCGAGAATGATCAGAGAATGATCAGCGAAAGATCTGACACCTCTCCGACAGCCCTCTGGAAAGGGTCCAAACTGGCATAGGACTTACTATACGAATACAGCAGCGAGCTTTCTTCCTCGGTCGTCAGCAGTGACACATCATTGTCTTGCCGATATCGATATATCCGCGCGAGTAGTCTGTCTCGAGCATGGTCTATACTAGGCAAGACATCGTTGAGGGGGTATTCTAGTTTCATCGAAGACGCCATAACTAACGAGAAGCAAGGAAGAGCGAGGTTAGAACAACACAAGGGACCAGCTCACATAAAAAGCATGAAAGACCTACCGGAGAGAAGATGACTGATTCGAGCTGAGAGCTGATGCCTCTCTGTCGCAGTATACCGAAGAAGACTGATCTCACCATCGGTAGCAGTCTCAGTCTTCATTAGTTCAAGGTTCATCGCATTCAACGCATTCACCATACTTCGGGTGCGTTGAATGATATTCGTATATGTCTTTGCTGGAAACGCGCTGCGAAGCTCGAATTCTGACCGTGCTGAAGCGAGCAGAGTCTCCAAGCGAGTGAGGAAGCGCTCAAAGTCTAGCCTCTCACGCGCAGTCAGGTATGCGACAGCCTTTCTCGTTTCAACCATAGCTGATAGGGGATTCCGTCTCCAGATTAGGCTGAGTCGAAGCCACAGCATACTGAGGCTGTCCTTCAGTCTGTCGCGCGCTCGAATCGGCCAGATCAACCGGGTGATGATCACACCCCAGAGACAGCCGGAAAGCACAGCGACAACTCGATGAAGCGCAATCGCCCCAATGACAGGCTGTTGCCCGCCTTCGTCCTTGTCACCGTCTGCTACCTCTTGGGTGAGCGAATATGCATATAGAACCGAGAGATTATATGTGAGCATAATAAATCGTCCCAGCGGGCCGTTGCCCTGGACAATGGTGATGTAGGAAATCCAGATAGCCATAAGCCAGCCGAAAATGGCAAGGACAATTCCATTGCCTTGAGAAATGTACCAGGCCAGGATTGCCAAGACTGCGCCCAAACAAGTTCCCAGGAATCGAGCGGATCCCACAGTGTTGGATGCACCGACGTACATCGAACAAACCAGCATGTATGACAGAAGACCCCATTCTCCACGCCAGTGTTGGTAGAAAGGTCTGGTGGAGGGTAGGAATGCCGGCAAAGCATAAAGAGCCGCACCCGCACCAACTTTGATAGCGAATCTAGTGTCATCGCGCCGCAGCCATCTAAATGATTTCCAAATGCGATACCCAAGTCGTTGCTTCACTGTATTCTCAGAGGGTGAAGTCGGTCGAATGGACGTTGGAGCGGGAATCGATGCATCGGCTCTGAGAGGTTCCAGAATCTCCAGCGGATTGCTCATGCCAGCGTTCTTTTTCCGCCAAAATTTGAGCCAGTTCCAGGATCTGCCGCCGGGTCGTTCATCCAGTTCAAGCTGGAGCTGATCCAAGATTTCGAGTAGATCGTGCAGTTGCTCGCCGAACTCGAGAAGCGAAGAGCTGAAGTGACCACAGCTAGCAGAAACTTCTTCCAAGTCCGCTTGGGCTTCGGGCGTTCTCAACGTGATCGTCTCGATTTGCTGGTAAAGTGAATTGAGCGTTCGTTCGCGCGATTTTTGATAAAGATCGAGAGCACAATCCAGGCTGGTGAGTAGCCGACTGTGAACGGAGACTTTATATTCGGGTGCTGGCCCAATAGGTATTTCATTGAAGATCTCCTTCAAAGTGAAGGCGAGGGACCGCTTTCAAGGAAAGGTCAGTATTACTTCACTCAACTCGCGGAAACGCTTGCGATCAAGACATACCATGGCTGGTCCCAGGTGGGAAATGAAGAGCGTAAACACCTCCGCAGGGAGCAGAGGCTGCTTGGTCGGCTTCACTCCTCCATTCGAGTCTGGCGTACCGGCGGTGCCACCATTAGTAAATTCTTCCTCGGGTTGCTCGTCAATAGGTTCGAGAAATGCTCCATCGGGGAACGACCAGGAGCGTTCCAAGGAAGTGTAGTAAGTAGGATGGGGCGGACCGGATTGTCCGGTCGAATTTTGCATTTCACGATCAAATGTTTCCCGAATCAAGCTGAACTGAAGCAATGCCGCACTGCGCAAGCCACCCATGTTATGGGTTATATCCTGGACCCAACGAACGAGCTTCTTTTCAAGTCTGTACTCTCGTTCTGTACCGGCAAAGTAGTGCTCGAGCTTTGCCTCGCGGATCAATTTGTCAAGCTGGCTGTAAGCCTTTTTGTGTTTCGTCTCTGCCTCGATGAACACTGCTGATTTGAGCTCGTCTTCAGATCCGCTAAGGAAGCTCTCGGTGATCAAGGCTAGCATCACAGCCAATGTGTCGGTCGTGGTAATCAAATTTGCACGGAGCTTTTTGCGCGCCGAGATAGGGAATATTGTGAACGAGACGGCACCCGCAAAGACCACCCCCATGATGACCATTTTCAATACCTGAATAATCTTATTCAAGGATAAGTCTCCATTCTGCACCGCACCTTCCTTGGTCAACACTGTGATCGTGGACAGGGCAGTGAGCGAGCATGCCACATTTACCAATGGGTCCCCCAGTCTCTGCTTCGTCCACCCGACGAACCCCAGTCCGCCGCCGCAAAAGACGATGACAACAACTGCATGTCCCAACGCAGGGAGATCCAACGTATCCTGGAAGAAATTCTCCACGAGCATGCTCGTGATCGACAAAAAAGCTGAATACCAGAAGGCGAGCATTGCGCAGATCAATGCGCGATACATGCTTCCTCGCGATCGTGCCGGATGGAAGTACACGGTCACCGTTGCGACCATATGCTTTCCCTGCTGGTGGCCCAAGAACGCCGACAAAGTCGGAACAAACGTGGCCATGGAGCCGAGCAGATAGGCCAGGCTACATTTTAGCACCCCGATGCCCTGCTCGGAGGTGATGAAGCTCAGCAGCCGAGCCCACAGCTGTTGCGCCTGCTTTGACAGCCATTCCCCGTACCCATCATGATGTGGTTCGATTTCCCCCGTGAGCAAACCGCGCCGCTCTTCTCGCGAGTCGCCCTGATTGTCCGGTGGGCTTGGTCCATGAGCGGAATCGCGGAGGCTGACGAGCCCTTTCAATCGCTGACCGGTTCGCGGGAGGACGAATGTTGCATTTCGCAGCTGTGATTGAGCCGTTCATTTAGTGTTTGTCCGAAAATGTTCGCTCGCCATTTTTCTCACCTCGCGCGCCGTTTTGGGTGCGCTTCAGGGCTGTCTGATTGCAGAGCTCAAAAAGCGTCGATCGGGCACATACATACCTTGGGTCGCAATAAGCGGCGGGAGCTACTGGGAGCTCCCCCAGATTCAGACGGCGCCATTCAGTGCGGCTCTCCCGCCCTCGAAAAGCGAGGTAAAGTTAATTTGAGTATGGGCAAGATCCCATTGTGTATGACAGTATTTTTTATCGAGAAATTGATGTTGATTAGACGGGAGAGGAACAGAGAGAAAAAGTGCGTCAGAAAACGAAAGCTCGGTAGAGCCATTGCGCATTGGAGAATGAAGCTATGACGCCCACTCACAAGGCTTCAGACCTCCACTTGGTCCACTCCGTTTGAACCGGCCGCGCAGCCCTGCGGCCACCGCAGAAAACAACATCCCGGTCTCATCTCACCCAGCCGGAACACACCCTTTCCTGGCTGCAAGAATTCGGCGACTGGCTGTGCTCTAAAACTTGATCTCACGAATATCCCAGGGTCATGGTACCGGGCCAAAATTATGGTTCCGGGGCAAGCGGGTGGAAGTCCAATCAATCGAGATACAGACAAAAAGCAGAAGAGGGCTTTCAAATAACTCGAAGAATACAGGCCTAGTATGAATGCAAGTCGCTCAAATTGGGATGGTCTACTTCCTTATTATAGACCTTCCACTTTCCACACTTTCACAGCAGCATCAGCCCCGACAGAGGCAATCTTAGATCCGCCCTCGATCCACGCGACTCCATTGACACCCTCCTTATGCGCGTTCTTGACCTCCAACCAGTCACCCGGCTTGGCCAAGCTCCAGACAAAGATGTTGGTGTCTAGCGAACCACTGACCAGATGAGTGCCAGTCGGGCTCCAGGCGAGCGAAGTGACACGCGCTGTGTGTGCCGTCCAGCGATCCGTGACAAGACTGCCATCGGCAACCTTGTAGACCAAGACACGACCACGCAGATCTCCCACGGCCAGGATTGAGCCATCGGGAGAGAAGGCCAACATAGAAATTTGGTTGCGTGAAGCTTGAATGTCGGCCTGGGCTGACAGGCTGGCACCGGAAACCTTGCATATCTGCACGGCTCCATTCTCGCCGCCGATGGCCGCAATCTGTCCATGCGCAGCCACGGTAGTCACCGGGAAGCTAGTCTTGTAGTCATCGGTCTTTTGGCCATCTTGGAAGATTTCGACGGCCTCGGCACCGCCAACGAGAACACTGGTACCGGCAGATGCAAGCCCCTTGGGTTGTGCGGTCAGCTTCGCTGCGCTGCCGGTATAGGTCTTGGCCGCCACATCGACGGACCGGATCGTGTCGTCCCACCCGACACTATAAATGCGGCCAGAGCCCTCGGCAGTCGGGGCCAGACCAGCAATGTATCCAGGGTGTCCCTCGCCCTCAATCTCTTCGGAGGAACCCGATGCGACATCCCAGCTGCACACACGGCCCTCGAAGCTGCCCGTCCACAAGGTTTCCTTGCCGTCGAAAGTGGACTGACCGAGTGAGGTGATGCTCTTCTGATGGCCTTGAATAACCCGACGGGGCTTGGCAGTACCCTCGGTCAAATAGTTCAGATCGCCACTCAACGACAGACTGATGATCAGGTCATCTGTTCGGCCGTGGGGCCACACAACACCGACCTGGTGATCACGAATGGCATTGGCACCATCCTCCCCAAGAGTCCAGCTCTGCGTCGCCTTGCCCACTTCGACGTCCCAAATCTTCACCGTCCGGTCTGCGCTGGCAGTGACGAATTTTCGCGAGTCCTTGGACCATGACACACTGAAGATGCTCCCCTTGTGCTCCCCTTCACCGATTTGACCCTTGGTCTCGCCGGTCTTGCCGTCGTACAGCCAGATCTTGCGATCCCCGCCGACACTGACCAAGTGCGTGCCGTCCGGACTGAAGCCCACGCCGTAAATATAGTTGGTGTGCTTGTCACCGATACCCGTGTTGAACTTGAACGGGGCGCCATGGTAGAAGACCAGCTTCTTATCGTCACCGGCGGCTGCGGCCCGAAGGGGTCTCTGCTGTCGGATCGAGACAGAGTTGATCTGTTGCGTGTGGCCGTAGATCTCGCCAACCGTGTTTCCACTGTCCCATGTGATACAATGGCCGTATCGCTGCTTTCCGTCACCTACGGCAATGATGCGCTGGGAGTCTCCGTCCCAGGCCAGGTCGTTGATGCGACCGTTGACAATGCTGTAGTCACCCTTGGTGATGCCATCTCCGACACAATCCCACACTCTCACAGTCCCAGTCGCATCACCACTTGCGACATAGAATCCGGAGGGAGAGAAGCGTGCGACCGTAGTCTGAGCCTTGTGCTCGGTGTACTGTCGGCCAACTGCGGGGTTGTCGATCGAGCGAATGAAGATGGATTTACCGGACTAAAGACCGAACAACTGGTCAGTGAGCTTGATCTTCTGGGATGATTCCACAGTCACACATCAAGGATTCGAGGGGTCGCACCGCATATGCAAGTCGCTCACCCTTGGCGTCCGAGGAGAGCTGGGTGGGTGCACCGCGGGTTGTGGAGGGGCTGGCCGCCCAGATGGATTCTAGAATACGAGAGACTGATCAGCATGTTGATTCTCTTGGGACAAAACAATGATCTCAGGGGGTTTCCTACCGTTTGTAATTGCCATGTGGAAAAGTCAACTTGGTGCTGGACGTGGAGGGGTTTGGATTGCGAGTGATCGAAAGGGAGCACAGCTCTGTCGCCTGTGGGTGTTGTAAGTTGTTTACGAGGCGGGCTGACGTATGCGGGCCAGGCACCCCTCAAGCGGGTTGAGCCGCACATCAACCTTTTGTCCAACTTTCTCAGGCAGCCAACTTTATCAGCCTCTGGAGTTCAATAACGTACATCTTACAGATTGTAGCGTGTCCTTCAATTCTTAAGCATCCAAGTATCGTACAATCGCATATACTATGCAGTACGACTGACAGTCTGCTTTGCGTGAGCCTGGAATATGAAGCCAGTAGTGACAAAAATCAAGGACACGCAACGTCGAGCTACCGCTGCTATATCCCATTGATTGTTTTGGCTGACGGCTTAGAACATTGGCCACGGCAGACAAACAAATCAACAGACTTTGCCGCCTGCCTCAAAGCTCGACGGTGGCTATTTCGTACCTTGAACTATAGAAGACAACAAAGCTCCATAGAGTGCCAACATAATATCAAAGATAGCACAACCTGAGATCGATTGCTTGACCGTGAACGCAGACGTAAGTCAACACCTCTCAGCGCGTGTTTAAGGAGGGATTTTCATGGAAAACCTCACTACGTCCGAATGTCGATGAGTCCACCAGTCCTTTACACATAATGATTAGTATAATCAGAGTACATAAAGCCCGTCATCCAAAAATGAGCAATGACTTGATGATGTCCGTGAGTCTTTAAGATATATGGCTTCGTCGCGCTTTCACAAAGTACATACTACCTAAAGTGACGATGACCAGATACTCAATCTCCTACGAGGGACAAATCAGACATAACAGTAGGGTATCTATTAATCTTACGTTGAGTGGAGCCAAGTTCGCCAAAAAAATTGATCCATGCTAGATAGACAAGAAACAAAATCCAACTCGTCCGCAACCCGATGCATGCCTACAAAGTTCCAAGCAATCTCAGCCGTGTAGTCCGGACATATAAGCTTCCGATTTAGTACATAATATATTTTGTGGAGGTATTCAACATATCAAGGTGCTGTGGTCTAGTGGTATGACGTCACGTTGTGGCCGTGCCAGCCCCGGTTCGATTCCGGGCAGCGCCAAACATCTTCTCTACATCTTTCCGAATTGGTGTAGTGGCTAACATCGCCGTCTCTCACACGGCAGCCAGGGGTTCGATTCCCCTATTCGGAGATCATTTTGTTTTTGTAACTTCGTGCCATGCGATGTTGCTTTTTTGCCTATCGAGACGTACTACGTACTACGTAGTATTCCTCTTCCGCCATGCTAATCGACTTCGAGGCACGTTTCTTTACTGAGAGGTGGGCTGTACCCAAGTTGAACGGTATCTTGAAAAGTGTCTTGCAAGCAACCCCACAACCTGATAACCATTATACGGAGTTGGAAACAGGTACATACTAAGTCCAGGTAATTCTCCCAAACGGAATATATAGTCTAAATTCATCAAAGCCGTCCCTAAGTCTAGGCAAACTTCTAAACGCGAGTGCTGTGAAGGGTGGTATATTCTCCGGTCTGGAAACTGCTCATGCATAACCTGCTCGATGGAGACACTGAGCATGATCCCGTAGCCATATTCCTCAGTGAATCATTCAACGCCAGTGCTCTGTAGAGTGTAAATAAGGAAGTGTTGTCGTCTTGAACCTTGGATGACATAGCACTTGACATAACATCAAGGATCCTCCCATTGAGTGATCAGAGACGATTACAAGTCATCTGAATCGCGACCACGGCCGACACAGACCCATAAGTATCCAGGCCTTGATGACTTGATAAATCTTTATCAGTGAGGATATCTCGCTCAATAATCAATGGCCTGGGACAATGCGCTTGTAAAACACGATAGAAATTTGTCATCCAGACTAGAAATACATATAAAAGCAGGCCGTGCGAGCCAGGCCGAAGGCTATGCTCTGTACAAAGTACAAACACACAAAACCGTTGAACCAACATTTCTCGATATGAAATACTCGTAAAATTGGAATTCCGGGACCCCGCGGCATCCTCTACCGGAACGAGTTGTCCAACCTGGCCTTCATGTCTGCCGCAAGAACTTCAGGGTGTCGGTGGACTGATGGCATGAGACCGAGGCCCATGGCTCGACGGATCGCCTTAGCAATCTTGCGCTGGTTGACTGGTCGTAAACCAGTCTGGTCGCGGGACTTGATCCGGCCGAGGGGAGACACGTATTCGGACATGATCGAGAAATTCTAAACAGGTAGAATGGGCTGTTAGTATTCAATTGTCTCCGGTCAGAATCACGCTCGGGATATGACTGTGGGCTTGGCATAGGCCGCACGCAAATAAATGGACACAAATCCCGGACGTAACTGATATCCAGCAATCACTCACCCTGTACAGCTCCAATGGGTTCAAGTTCAAAGCATCAAAAGCATCACGCGAAGGGCTCTTGCGTTTGCCCCATTTCTTCATCTCGGCCGGGCTGAGATCGTGAGGAGCATAGACATCACCAGCCTTCCAGTCACGAGTCTGAAACTTCTCAAGAGCTCGACTCTCGCCCTGGGCTTTTTGTTCCTCCAGGAATCGCAGGCGGTTGGGTAGTCGACGTCGGATCGAGGCTCTAGGGGCTATCGACATGGTCAGCAAACAATAAACTCAAAAATAATTCCCAAATAAAGACTGAGAGTGCCCTCTGTCTTTCTGACCGCGACTTACTCTGATTGTGGGAAGGGGAGGCGCGCTGGGAGGCGAAAGCGCTCATCGCTGCGGTCGAACTTGAACTCCAGCGGCAGGCCGAGGGAAGCACATTGGCGACATTACGAAGCAGTGGTGATGAGAATAGACTTTGTGACATCTTTGCAGAATTGTGTGAGGGTATGCAGACTCGAAAGTCACGATCTGCACCTGAAAGTGTTAGGATGTTGTACCGTCAGAGTCGCAGAGACCGTCGAGCGGAGGAGTAACGCGGGCGGCCGAACATGGGGATCTTTTTTCGAAATGCCAAGACCGCCCTCCGCCTGCACCAACCACGGCTTCTCCGCGTCGCGCAACATCTCCAAAGACCATTGCTCTGTGTCACTACAGCTTTAATTGCAGATTGCGCAAGTAGTGCACCCTGTCAATCGATTACCGAGTGCTTCTTTTCTCTTCGCGGAAGCTTTATTTGCGCCGGGCCATGCAGTCCCATCTCTCGCGACGGGTCTTCCGGGCCCTGATCAATAACGAACCGCTGTCATTCTCAAGATGCCGACGTACACGACTGCTACACAGCATCTCTCCAGCTCGAACACGGCCAAGTATCGCTGGCATCTCGCATGTACAATCGCGCAGTCTCTTTGCATTCAGCCTGGACCCGAAAGAGGTCTCGGGTGAAGTACTGCCCGCCACCTTGACCTCCGAGAAAGGTCTGAAGCCGATGACCGATCTCAAACGATCCCTGGAAGATAAGAGCAGAGCGCCTCCGGACCACACACTCGCCGAAGCTTTCAAATTATTCTTTGAGACTCGAGTCGATTCGCCCGGAGTGATCAATTCTTTCCAGGCTCGGCTGCTGTCCATGACGTGGAAGCACCTCAAGAGCCGACAAGAGGAACTGGATGACGATGACTGGCACAGGGTGTTTTCAGTGGATAGTTTGGAACGTGTCTTGTTTGTCTTTTCCGAGGCGCAATGTCTCCCCGAGGCTAGCGAAACGATACTGAGACTGGCGCGATATGCGTATCTGGAACTTTGCGCGGACCACGGGTTTGGAGCGAATAAAATCAGCAGACCTGCACTATTGGTATATATCAATCTGTTAGCTGTGAATGGTCATCCGGAGGACGCGCGACAAGTGATTATCAATTTTGGAGGCCAACTGCGTGGAGCAAAGCCTTCTCCCTGGCTCACTGTTCTCAAGGGCTTTGCTTTGAAGGACGATCAACGGCAGATGCGCAAGATTGTTCAGGAATTGGACAAACACGGTGTCACGTTCGATCAAGCCTCTCATCAGGAGTTAGTTGAAATCCTCATCGCGCAGGGTTTGTTCAAAGCAGCACAGACAATCTATGAATGTCCCGTTGCTGGAAAAGCAGAACCTTCGCTAGCGGCCAAAGAGGCGGTCATTCGCTATGCATTGCTCAACGGTGAAAATGCGTGGGCGCAACCAATTTACCATTCATTAATCCAAGGCGGGGCGCCGAATTCCGAGACTATTGGCACTGCCTTGCTATGGAAAGCAGCTCAGGGCGCCAATGCGTCTGCCTTGGAGGAGCAGGTTGCTGAGTGGAATGCAAAAAACCCTAGAGTTCAGGACGCAATCACAATTTCTGATATTAACATGCTTCTTCGCTATGCAAATGCTCAAGGTGACTCAAATTTGGCCACCTCCTTTGCTAGCCTGGTCAATCGATGGCGGCTCGTTCCAGATGAGCAGACCCATCTTCTACAGCTGGAGTCCGCTATTCAGGCTGCGGATGTCGAAGCCTCCCTCCACATCTTGGAAAAGCAAATGGACCCTCATTCCCTCTCGAAGGCTGATCCTTCTATTGCCAACCAGCTTGTTACAATGCTCTGCATGTCGGAAGAGAAGGACGAGCTATTCCAAAAGATCTCTTCTCTTCTGGACCCCTTGTTCCAAGACGGAGTGTATCTTGAGGCTTCAACAATCGCTGCCTTGACCCGCATGCTGCTTTACCGGCACGACAACGAAGCAGTCTCTGAACTTCTCCGTCCACGACTGGCCAACTTTGACAGCGAAGGCAAGACATTAATTCGAAGAGCTGTGACTGACTTCATCCTCGACCTCCAAGAGACAGACGAGGATGCGTGGGACGTATACGAGCTGTTCAAGCTTGCATTCCCTGATACAGGCGTCAGCGTGCGGACAGAGATCATGAGTGCCTTCTTTGAGCGGAAACGCAGCGATCTCGCAGTTATGGTCTTTGGGCACATGCGTCAGGCCGACGATCTCTCGCGTCGTCCAAAGCCCGACACTTACGCTCGATGCTTCCAAGGTATTGCGCGAAATGCCGACGCCACCAATCTTGAGCTGGTGCATAACATGCTCAAGCTGGATCTTGAAGTTGAACTCAACACTCGCATTCTGAACGGACTGATGCTGGCGTATGCAGCGTGCGGAATGGCCGATAAGAGCATGAATATCTTCCGCCAAATCCTACAGTCGGATGAAGGTCCCTCGACCAAGACGATTGCATTGTTCTTTAAAGTCTGCGAGAAACACCACAATGGTGTGCACGAGGCCACCAAGATGATGAGTAAAGTGAAAAAGTTGGAAATCGAAGTCGATCGACGACTTTACTCCTCGTATATCGAAGCCTTGGCCGCACAGTGTGAGTTCGACCGAGTCACAGAAGCGATCAATAACATGCAATCTGAGATTGGTGTTCCCCCAACAAGTACAACGTAAGTTCAAGCCCATTGATCCGAAGTTCAAAAATCTCATGGATACATGGACATCCTCCCAGATGAAACTTTGCAAGTACTGACTTTGTTCACAGTATCGGACTCTTCTACAACGCTATTCCATACCAGTACTGGAAAGACCAGGTTGAAGAATGGGCTCGCAAGACGTATCCTGAGCTGTGGGAGCACTTGGCTCAGATGCACCGAAGTGAACATGAAGATGGCCAGAGATTCGACGCGATTTCGAACGAGATCTGGGTTTGAGGGGACGACACAGCCCCCAGTTGAGGCTTTGAGCTCAGCAAAGTGTTCCTTGAATGCCTGTATAATAACCTTATCGACCGATTGATATTTCTCACTGAAGTTGATAATAAATTTGTAGATTACTCCACCACACCGAGGCTTAGAGGAACATGTATGACGGCCCCCAAACAAAGGCTGTTGAATCTCAGGTATCAAGATCTACCATCCCTACCAGCATCCATCTACCGACGGACAATGCACGATGACCTCTCGACCTACCACATTCCCATCGACAAAGTACCAAACCACGACGTTCTCTGTCGTGGTGTGCTTCCTCCAGCGTGTACCGAGTCGAGGTCCGTCGACCACACCCGGCGCAACCTTATCCATACAAGAATCCCAGCGTAGGGGACCGGTCGCGCAAGTGTACGTCTCCATTAGCGACATACTGGCCACGGAACGAACGACTTGAGGGCAGACAGGCAGGAGGAAGGGTAGCCATCCGAAACACCCACAACGACGAACGTACTCCAGTTTCTACCTCAGCGATCACTACGAGATTCCATATCGGGCCAAGACAGCACGAGCGATGACACTCAGCGATGCAAGGGACATACAAATCACTCCTACCTCTTTGCCCGTGGTAAGACCCATGAGAGAAATATTCTGCTTTTCTGAGCTCAGGATGTCAGGGACTCGGAATAAGAAACGGTTGTTGGTGCTGCAAGTGGCCGACGTGTGAGATGCTGCCAGGGCTAATACTACTTACGGATGAGATTCATTTCTCCGCTGAATCGCTCATTTCAAAACATAGATGCAGCAGCCCTATGAACTTTAAAAGCGTTTTACCGAAGAGCGGAGGAGACGAACTGTTCGATTGTTTTTCACGGCCCTTTGAGCTGGTTTTGGAAAATGGCTTTCCAGACGCATTTGTTGTTCTCTTTTAGTTTCGATTTGCTACTGGATTTATTTTGGTGAAGATGCATTCCTTTTCACATTCTTTTATGGACTCGGCGTGGACGTGGAGAGAAATAAAAGCGAATAGAGTAGATAATCTGCTGATACTCTCAGTATGAGGCTGGGTCATCACCAAGTCTTCTGACAATCGCCGACGTTTTCAGCGGGAAAACGGGTCTTTGCGAAATACGCATGATGATACCGGCCTATAAGCATCGCATTCCAGACAACGCGAGCTGTCAGTCTCGACTACGGAAGCAAGCGCAAAGTAAAAACCATCAAGACCCTCCTCACAATTCATCTTTACTCCTCCGCCCAACTGACCCTGCCACTGCGGAACTGGCTCACCAGCCCGATGGGCAACAATCCCGGATCAACGATATTGAACCCGCCAAACCGCTCCACAATCTCCGGCCCGTACAGCTGCGCCAGCCATCTCCAGTAGGACGACATCATGTACCAGTCTGACTGGACTCCTGATAGATTATTCTGGCCCTGTAGCTGACCAAGAGCCAGAGTAACCGGTCCGGACACATCTTGTTTGATATCCTCCAGCTGCGGCAGCTTCAAGAGCTTGTCGTAGACCTCCACCAAGTTCGTTCGGCCACGGTAGTTCAAATACTCGCGGTAACGAGTATATTCCTCGAATGACATGAATTGGTCTGCATCTTCGGGGCGCCAACGTTCTCGGAATTCGGCGCTAAGTTTGTCCTTTGCGTCGAACCATCGCTTGTGGTTGGCATAGTCTCTCTTTTCTGCTTCAAGAAAATCGTCAAGAAGAGAATCGGGGTCAGTCACAACTGAATCCCGGAGGGCGACGAGAGTGATGAATGGGCTTGACAGCTCGAGTCCTCCAAGATCGATCGGGAGGAAAAAGTATCCATCGGGAAGATTCACCGTGCCAAAGCGTGATTGGATCATCTCACGTAGATGGGTGATCACGCTACTGTCTCCTTGGCTTCCGCCGGGGCCTGACGAGAATATTTCACGTTGGATCCGCTCGTGGGTCTTTAGCATCGTGTCGACGTGTCGTTGACCTAAACAGTTCGCCGGCACGCCGAAATTGTAACTGAAGAAGGTGGATGCGTATGAATTCCAGGCCTGAATCCACCCAAAAATGCTTCCTTGCTTGTCGTCCAGCTGACGCTGCAACTCCTTGATATGCTCGTCTACCATATCTTGATCGATCTCGAAATTGCCAGACTCGGGGTTCAGGTACAGCATTCCCCATCTGATCTTGCCCTTGGGTAGAACCGGGTGAATGGTCGAGTCCCGCTTCTTTTTCTCAGTGGTGATGTGAGCACCCCCACAGGTGTCCTCACCGATGGAAATGCCCATCTTCTCGTTGAAGCGCTGAATGGCCTTCCACGCCGCCACACTTGTTTCCTGATCGCGGGACCAGAACCACATATCATCGTTGACTCGCCAGAGTATCTCGCCGTCGGTTTCCTTATTGATCATCAAGTCAAGGCAGAAGAGTGTAGTCTCGCCAAAGAGCTCACTCAGTGCGTGCGACCCTGGTGTTCCCCGTCGGCGCATTCGCGGCTCGGCCTGGGGCTCATCCATGAACTTCAGCGGCGCAGCCAAGAACTTTTCAAAAAAGCTCAGCCACTTTTCCGACACGCCGAAGAACCGGAGGACTGCAAGGATCGTAGAGTGCGGCAGGCTCGGGTAGAGCGATTCATACTGGGCCCGGAAGCACGTAATCTCGCCATGCAGCCGTTTGTTGATGATTGTGTCTGCGCTCAAGAGAAGTAAAAGGTTCTGCTTTGCCTTGGACTGATTGGCGGGTGACTTCATGCTTGAGCCATAGATGTCAGTATAATTGGCATCGGGCTCGTCAGAGGGGTCGTCGTCGTACAGACGGAAGCCCATGTCTTCATCAGACTCTTCTGTCTCCTCGGCTGCAGCGGCAGCCGAGGGGGCAATCTTGCGATACGCCATCGCTCTCGTTCCCGGTCGTGGTCTAGGTGCAGTCTGCTTTGCTCTGGGCCTGTTCGCCTTAACACAAGAGGAAGCCTCCAGCTCACCCTCGTCGTGCTTTCGGATTTCGTATTCGCTCTCAGGCAGCTGCGATACGAAGTATGCTTCACGATGAATGGTTTCTTTGGTGGTTTGCAAGCTAGGTATCTCATTGTACTTGCCATAGGAAAAGAATTCGAGACGCTTTTTATCAGTGGCCGGAATCTGGGATCGCCGGGATTTCCAGTTATCGCGCTTCGCTCGGAATTCACGAATCGCAGTTTTGAAGGACTTGGACCACATGACGCCGATATATTGCAAGAATATTGCTTGTATGAGGTCCTCGTGCATATGCATATGATATGTTCCATTCATCTGGCGTCTTTGCTCGACGTGGACAGCAGGACCCCACGTCCACGCATCTAGCCTCGCCAGCCGCATGTTGATCACGTCGCATAGCTCACTCAAGACGGTATCGTCCTTTGTAAACTCTCTCAGGGCCGTCTGCTGCTTGCCCGACATCAGATCTGAGTTCAGCAGCCCGTCAATGACCCACGTGAGAGTTGTGGGCTTGACAAGGGGCGCTGAGACGTGTAATCCGCAATTTCCAACTCTCGCCCGCAGTTCTTGTAAAGTCTTGTCCACACCTCGTGCTTGGCCTGTTTCTCCCTCCGGTCCAGGGGGCCCAAGTCCGGAGAACAGCTCGGTAAGAAAAGCAGTGATCACCTCAGCGTCATGGCCTGCAGCAGTGAACACGGTCTCCTCCCACGACTGTCGACTTTCCATCTTGGTCGTACTCGCGATTTTCTCAAAATCACCTTGAGATCCGACATGGGACTGTGAGCTCTGGTTCTTCTTGACCGATAACCACTCCTTAGTGAGCTGTGCGAAGAGTGTCGCGTATTCGTATTTGAGCGTGTGGATGTCGAGGTAGCGGAGCAAAGTCCGATGCCAACGCTCGATCATATCGGGCGAGATTGCTGGATCATAATCGGCTTGTTGAAGGAACCGGTCAAGATTCGCAAGGTCGATCTCAAGTTGTCTGTGATTACCCGAACGGATTATCACACGGCCATCTTTAATAGGAATGTTGAAGCACGACTTGACGCCATCTGCGAGAGCACGGATCTTTGCGATCGGCGAAGCTGTCGATTCTGCCGCGTCGATGGCAGACGCTTTGCGCTCCAGGAATATCTGACGCTTGAGGGAAAGCTCCTCGAGCTTTGCATCAGTGATATTTTGCAGCGTTTGCGAGTACTCTGACGAGGCCATTGTTGATGTTTGTCTCGATGGGCTGAACGGACAATCAGGTATAGGAGGCAGAAGTGAGATGCAGTAGAGAAACCGGTACCTGATATATAAGCGAGGCTTGGCTAGCGCCTTGCAGGAGGGGGCTGAGGTGGGACTCCCCAAACTGAGGCACTGCGACGTCGGGGACCCAATGGGGTAAGTACGATCACTAAGGTCTGTGTCATGAGCAATTGCGCAAGGGCCATAGGGTTGACACGGTTTGCTGACTGGTCGTACGAGTCATGAACACACTTCCTATGGTGTTGCTTGCGGTCTACTGGATATGGTGCATCATGAAAATGAGATGATTGGGAGCAGCCAGTTATCGAACAAACGACAGTGACTCGGAGACTTCGAAGCACAAGCCAAGATTCGAACACGTATCACCAATTATTATGTCTCTGACGAACTCTCACTAGAGGATATACAGCTTCAAATGTCTGTATCTGTAGAGTTCGCTCCTATACCTAGCTCTCGAGTGACTTGGTCGGAGGAATGTACTGTCGACGTGTAGCGTCGTTTCAAAGCTTACTGAATTGTAGGGCTTGGCAGTGTGGGTCTTGGGCGGGGAAGCAAATGCGGGAGGAAAGCACCTACAAACGACCACGAGGAGAGTGATAAGAACTGGCTCAAGCATCGAAGACGAGGCCACGATTGACAGCGGATTCTATTTAGAGCCGATCGGCGACTTTTGCGCATGAGAGAATGCAATAACTGGGCGTATGGACAGACTGCCATAATGTCACCAGGAACAATTCTGAGCCAACACCTCGAAAGGAAGTTTATGATCTTAGTATCTGTTTCGCGCGTGGCCTACTATCACACCAACACTGCCGATTCACGGCTTGTTATGGGGTGTCTCTCATCTCTATGCTCTTCCTGGTCAGTATAGTTGGCCGTCATAACGCGGCCCCACGAAGCAGCCTGTCTATCGTTTCTCCACCGCTTCGGCAAGGATCCGATTTGCGACTACAGTAACGAGCCTTCGAAGACTAATCATTGACCCCCAGCCGTCAAAGGTATCTGACTGCCGTGCAGTGCGCTTGATAGAGCTTTTGAGAGGTAGAGTCACTAGGTGTAAGATGATCTGCCCAGAAGATTCAAGGTGACTATCAAGTCTAATGCAAAACAACTCGTGCGTTTGTGTCTCTATCTTGAGACTTCTGTTGGAACAGGACTAAGCTTGGATCTGTTCGTATGGCTTGTGATACTGCCGTATCATCGCAGTAAGTAGTTCGTACTACGTAGTAAGTAGCCGAGATACCTGTAGGTAGAATCTCACCTCGCCAGACAATCTCACCCTCATCCCTCTCTTATATTGTGGTGCTGCACCTACTGTAGCCACGTTCCATCAGGATTCAATTTAAGCGCCGAGCTATTCCATCTTCACGACGCTTGAGCTGTCTATATCAATATTGTACTTGTTAACAATTAGGAGAAAAGTCGCTTCAAGAAGCAAGAGACCTCTCATTAGGTACTTGTCTGTCAATCGCGCCTTCTCAAGGTCTTGGCGTCCAGACGCTCGTATTCACGAAGGTCCAATCTTTGAATCTTAAATCTACTAATCTAGTAATATATATACCATCATACCACAAGTATCTAGCCTGGCGTCGTGGCGACGGTGCCTTGAATCCGACAGTACCAGACATTGTTCGTTTACATTCCAGTCAAGGATTTTGCCATGATCCGTTAAGACTTCAACTGTGACCGTGAATATGGTCATTCAACCAATCTGGGAAATACTGCCGAGTTAATCAGGGTGAAGTATTCAATGATTGGTATCGAGCCCTTGCTAGATTAGGGTTAAGGAGGAACCTCAATAGTTTGGCTTGTGAAAGACTTGATGTAGGCGCGATGGGTTTCGCTTCAGCGCAGATGTCAGTGTTTCCTAGTTATTTGGATTTGGATTGTGCTTTGCACGAAATAAGAAGGATGTGGTATTTCGAAAGTGATGGGGGAGTAGGGCAACTCCAATAGAGGCACAAGTTAATTACTGCATTTGCGAGTCGTTACGAATCGTTCAATAAGTCAAGGTTATTCTCGATTTGCTTGATCTCGTAATACATCACAGATACATAATCTCATCACATGCGCAGTAGACGGGACTCTCCACATTCGCCAATGGTATCAGCCTCAGTGGAAGAAGAAAAAAAATGGCCAGCAAATATTCTTCTCGACACAAGACGCCATGACCAGAAAGACCGCGCAAACGCCCAAAAAACGCATCCCATCTAATGATTCTCCCGAACATCGATAACAGTACTCCTGAACTTTCTCGCCGGCGTCTTGCGATTGAACAAGATATCCAGTTCCCGATACGACCGGTCCTTCAGCTCCGGCAAGAAGAAGTACGCCGACACCCAGCAGACGACGGCTGTTGCACCCCAGACATATCCACACTTGCCAGCCAGATCCCAGCCCGTAGCGTTGAGCATCTGCGAAGCGAGATAGATCATGGGGATCTCCGCGACGTAGTATGCTGCGCGGCCGACTCCAGTGCTGAGAGCGCGCAGACGCACGGAACTTGTCTCGGAGATGATGGTGTAGGAGATGGGGCCGATGGAGCCGGCGAAGACGAAGGAGATGAGGATGCCCAGGACGGCTTGGACGTAGTTTGTGGCGGGGTTTTGGGGGATGGAGGCGACGATGCCGAGGATGAAGAGGAGGGTGATGTTGGTGGCGGTACCCCAGAGGTAGATGGTGCGGCGGCCGAAGTAAGGGGTGAGGAACCAGGAGAGGGCGTTGGCGATGAATTGGAGGCAGGAGTTGACGAGATTGAGTTGGAAGGACATGTCGTGGGAGATGCCGGCTTCTGTGAGGGTTGTTAGAACTCAGTCCAGGATAGAGATGATGATTTTGGGCAGCGGAAGGGGGAAGCAAGAGGATCGAGAGAATCGAGGGGATCTTGTTGTGTTTACGATAGACGTACGCTCAAAGAAGAAAGTGGCCTGATTCGCGATCAAGTTACCGGCAAAGTTCTGCGAGGCGTACACCAGACAGGTAATTGTGGTTCGACGCAGATCGACGCCTTTGAAAAGATCGAGAAGGTTGGGAGATCCGCCCATTTGGGCCTCGATCTCGACGGTGCGCTCCATCATGGCCAGAGATTGTTGCGTATTCTCTGGATTTCCATCACCCAGACGCTCGATGCTGCGGAGGGCCTCTGCCTTGCGCCCACGACGGATGAGCCACCAGGGGGATTCGGGAGCGAAGAAGAGAAGGACCAGCAGGGGAGTCTTTTCAATATTTGTCAGTATGATGAGTTTCAGAGAGTTTGATCGATAGTCAACTTTATAAGTCAAACTTCTTGGATCGACACTCACAGGAAACAGCCACTGCAGAGCGAGAGGGGCCCGCCAGGCCCATTCATCCGTGCGCTTGTTGTAGCTATAAGTAGCAGCGGCCACGATAATGGATCCAATGGACCAGGACATTTGCAGGGTAGCTGTGCAAGCACCTCGCAGCGCAAGAGGAACGACTTCACTAGCATAGGCGGGTGCATTGGCGATGAAAAAGCCCCATGGCACACCTTCAAGGGCTTGACCCACGACCAAGAGAGCAAGCGAGTCCGCCTGTCGTGACGACATAACCCTGTCAGCTGACTGTATTGTGCCATGAGTCGAATGCCAATGGAGGACTTACAAAGAAAGAGATGAAGATTGTAGCATTCATCATGATCAGAGCCAGGATGGTAGTCCAGCGATAACCAATCCGGTTGGTGATAGGGCCGGCGACGAAGACACCCACAAAGGCACCACATTGACCGGATTGGAAGAGGGCAGTCTGCCATTTTGTGGGAATGACATAGCCGTCACCGACGCGCACACCATATTTCTTCTGGAAGGCACTTTGAGCCACAAAGTTTCCATTCAGAAACATGTCGAAGGATTCCATGACCTATCGAGGAGAGGTTGGAGATTAGCTTGAGATCTGATAGCTTTGCTCTGCAAGACACCTGCGAGATACACAAAGAAGGGACATCGGCTGTTCATCGCGTCTGCATCGACAACAACGACGGAAAATCTGCAGGGCACTGGAAGGACTCACGATTGTAAAACACATGGTAAAGGCCCACAGACACGCCCAGGGATGCTTCTTTGCCGCCTCCCACACGCCCATCTCATGTTCCTTATTCTCAGCCGCAGCGGCCTCGCTGAGCAAATCGCCATCGCCAAGCACCTTTTCTGTCTGCTCGACCTCGACCTTTTCCACTTCATGATGCATTGGCTTCTCCATTGGCGTGGAAGTCTCTTGACTTGAGACGGACATTGTGAACAGTGGCCGAGGAGATTGGGTGGCGTAGGCGCAGCCTCGGCACCACAAACTATAACACCGGATCTAGTAGACAAGGCACAAGAGGACGAAGTGAATCCACGCCCGTAAGTGTGTGGTGGGTATGAGATGAAAAGGAAGAAAATGGAGGAAGACGAGAAATGGTCGTTCAAGAGAAGATCCCTCGAGGTGGTACTGTGGTCTTTATATACAGCCGGAGGTCGATGCTACGCTGCCCTCGTCTTGGTCACGCAACCGCCCATCATGTCTCATTCACTGCGCAAAGGCGGGCGAGAGCCTGGGGGAGACTGGAGAACCTGGACATGATCTCCACTTGTGAAGCGGGTCTGGGGAGAGAACACGGGGAGAGACCTCGACTGGGGAAGCGCAAAAAGGTTGGAAAAGTGGGAATGAAGCAAAAGTCGGGGGAGTCGGGGATTGTGTGGGCCAGAGCGAGATAAGAGTCGACTTTGAGATGGCGGAGGAGAGAAGAGAGAGTTGTGGAGATAAAATGATCATAACATGTCTTACGTTCATTACAGTCCATGTGACATGTGAACGGAGGGATTATCCACCATATTGACAGGACACTGAGGACAGTACGTTGAAAACTCAACACCTACAGTATCTGTTGCTAGTTGCTACACCGTTGGACCAAGCCAAACACTTGGCCAAGGGTTGAGTTCGGGTACGAATGTTCTCAAGTTTCGGTATACCGCGAGAGTACAAAAACCCACCACTCTCGGCGCACATAGATTACACTGAGAAAACGACTGCAGTCCATGGCATTGGGCCATGGGCATTTTGTTCACACCCGAGTCACCACCATTTGACCCACCCAGACTTCCAAGGCAACACCTCTTTCTGTGAGTTTCCTCGAATCCACCATGCGGTTAATCGTCCACATTTACCCGGCGATGGAGAGATTCGTCATGGACATGAGACCAAGTGCCATCTTTTGCAGCTGTAGCCTGTAATTCCACTAAAATGTGACTGAAGATGTCATTTTATCAGTTTCCCTGCTCTCAAAGATCGTGGAGTGTACTTGCAATTCAGCACAACCACCTGCAGAGGACAAGCGAGGTCTACGTCTAACTACCTGAAAACAAGCGCCACATGTTTTCTCGATCAACCCAGTGACGAAAGTGAATCACACTAATGTCGGACTAATCACATCAGCATATTCGGCATATTCGGCAACGATTCAATTCCTACTTTTACTGTACAGAACCAAATTCAAAGTCCTTTCCCGCCAGCTCCGTACGACAAGACACCTACAAAGTAACGAGTCTATCGAGTATCGACAGCCCGGATTCCCGACTGGCCCTAAAGCGACCACCAAGCCGACGTTGAACTCGCCAAGAACGGCTTAGCCCATCTCGGCCCGAGACCGCATTTGGACGAAGTCCCCGAAATTTACCTTTTGCCCGACCCTCTCCCCCTTCGAGCCCATTTCGAACACAGCCCAACCCTTCTGCACCTGTATCTGCATCTGCATCTGCAGCTCGGGGATAGGCGGGAAAATTGGGAGGAACCAGGCGCTGAGCATCCGCTCGCTCCACTTGCTCACTTTATTACCACTTTACCCTGACCGTCCAATTCTCCAATGTGATCGTCTGCCTGTCGGCTAGCAGCTAGCGTGGTTCTGGCCTGCATGGCCTCTGCCCCGAAGGGAGAGGCCCGGGGTGCGATTGGTGAGTGACGGGTGTGAACGGGCCGGAAAGCGGAACAGGTGGTCGGTTTGGAAGGGAGGGGAGGGGGAAAGAATCTGGTATTCTGGCCGGAGTGAGTACGGTGGCGTTTGTTCCGGGTCGGGCATGGACTGGGATTGGGATGGTTGTGAGGAGGAGGGGGGGGCGGCCAATTTGGGGAGAAGCTCGGAATCCCGAGTCGATTTCGGGGTTGAACAGGCGTCGGGTTGGAGAGGCGAGAAGCCGAGATCGGTTTACTATGGAGGACGGACTCGGGGGTGCTCTCGAGATGCTGGTTCTCAGCTTGAGAACGCCGCAAGTGTAAGACTGGATTTGAAGTTTCATTGACTCTGGTGAAATTGGTCTTTCAACTGAAAATGACCACGAGAGCCTGGCTCCGTGGATTTGTGGAGAGATCCATATATTCCATAGTAACTGACTTGCTGTGCTGGAGTGGGCCGCTCCAACATGGTCAAACCCAACGCCGACCCCTCCTCCACACTGGATTTTTCCTCCTTCTCCCCCGTCTTTGTGGGTGAGAGAAAAATACGGAGTCGCGGGGATTCCCCAGAGTCGAAGGGTAGGGAAAGAAGAAGAAAAAAAGCGGGCTGCAACAAGAGCCCAAGGCGCCTAGTATATTGTTCGACGACGAGATTACAGAATACAAAGAACCATGTTGATACCTCACGCAACGGTAGCTTGCGATGTAAACGTCCAAAAGCAACATCAGCCACCTGCACCACAACAACTGTCTATGAGACATGGTAATGGCGAAAGAATGTACACTGTTGATTGCACCGTGCTTTAGTCACGTCTTGACGTTGATCAATTTCGAGGCACTACAGTACTTGGTTGTTTGAGAAACAACCGAACCACTTGCCCCAGACCCTAACCTCGGGAACCGCTCCATGTCTCCGTCTGGAATATGCTGCCGATCTGACAGTAGTAGTAGTAGTAGTAGTAGTAGTAGTAGTAGTAGTAGTAGTAGTAGTAGTAGTAGTAGTAGTAGTAGTAGTAGTAGTAGTAGTAGTAGTAGTAGTAGTAGTAGTAGTAGTAGTAGTAAATGGCAACCTCCAGACACTTTCATCCACTACTACTGGCTCAACTGAGTACTGAGTAAGTTAGTGATTCCTACTGAGTACTGAATAATCAAGCAGACCCCGACCAAGTCACTTTCCGACCAAACGTGCACACCCCGACCGTTCTTGGCCTCACTTTGGTATCAGTCGGATGTTGAGGCCCACATTACCCTACTGCAGTATTAAGAAAAGGAAACAGTTGAATTGAGCCTTATCACCTCACGGGAAACCTAGGAACCCCACGCTCGCCGTAAGCAGAATAATTCATTTCATAACAGAAAGCAGCTTAGCAGTCAAATCAACAATCATAAAGACAACAGGCTTCAACATGTGATTGTGCACCTTTTGCCATTCACACGCTACCTCGAGACTCTGTTAGTCCATCGTGATTCACCGCATTATCAACGCGTCACTTTGGCAAGTGGACAAATATCACATTATCATCCTTGAATTAGCCACACTACCTACTACCTACTACCTACGTACTACTTACAGTGCTGCAGTCTGAATGGCGGACGGGTGTTGGCGACCCGCGACACTACCGTACTAGTACTACTGCCACTGCTGCTGCTGTAATATGAAAATCAGCCAAGCTGAGCTGAGCCGAGCCGCCACGAGCCTCGATGTCGGGGTAATCTACATAGGTCGAACACGCTCCTTGGATCGGAACCTGAATTCTCCGTGAATGTCCGGTGCGGGCGATCAGGCTGGTTGAGCTTTAGTGCAACGGTGCGGGATTGTAATTACGACAAGTCCGGAGTACAGAGGACAGACAATATCTTCAACTTGGAATTGGAGAAGGTGGAGACTTGGGGCCGTGCAGTCAGCAGTGTGCACTGTGCAGGTCTGGTGGGCGAATAGGTCAGCCAGTGAGTAGATTTTCCGACAATGGCGGACATTCATCTGGTGGGCTTGTGAATTCCACTAGCACAGATAGTACGGAAGATTGAAGTCCCGAAGGCTCAAGGTTGAAGGCAGAGGGAGCTCTTAGGATGGAAAAGCCAGACCGGTGGACGGATCGAACGCATGCTTGAAATTCCGGTGAATGTACAGTGTACAATGTACTCGCTTGGTGCTTACGGCGGGATGCTATCGAGTCCGTAGAGTTGCTAGCCTGCTATCAATCACGGATTCCACCCACATACAGTGCATCTACGATAAAGGTCTTCCTCCCATGTCTGCACATCATGTGTTCGTTGAGATTCCGTTCCAGACAGGCTTCAAACCTACGAGGCAAAGTCCTTGACTTCTATCTGAGGCTATTTCAAGAGCCGAGTGGTGGACATAAGATATTTCTGTTTATGATCTATCGTGTCTGGAAATGCATCGATGTGAGAGGTTGAACCGCAAATAGTGAGAAATACCCGACAAAAAGAGGAAACATGGAGGAGTCGAGGCTCAGATATGATAGAATCACCGGGACGGCGAGAATGAGAATGCCAAGAAACACAGAAATTCGCTGATTTTTGAGAGCCCCGACCTGCGCTGATTCAAAGTTCGGGGCTTAGCAATGACAGAGACATAATGCGGATACAAGTAGAAGCGGTTACAACGGAAATACGATCACCCCGGGAAAAGCTCGCTCGAGGGCCAAAAAAAAAAGAAAAAGAAAAAGAAAAAGAAAAAGACTGCAAATGCGCAAATGCAATGATATGATGAATGTACAGGTAAGTCCGCCAATATATGCAAAAAAATGTTTTGTTTTCGAGAACATTGAAAGGAGCACATGATACCGCAATCAAATGACCATCAGAATCATAAACTGAAGATACCGCTCCTCTTCTTTCCATGCGGATACACAATCAGCGCAGAGACAAACAGACCCACTGAGATACCAATAGCCGTTTGAATCATGCCGTAACCCAATCCCAGTAGGTTACTGCCGCTGGTGCTGCTGTTGATGTTGCTCACATGGCCGCTCTTGACAGCCTCGGAGTATTGCAATCCACTGAGGATCGATCCACTGCTGGCCAGCCCAGATGGGACGAGGGTGAAAATACCCGGAATGATTGCTGCCGCGGCGTGACCGTGCCAGATGCGCGAATAGAGATTCGCCAGCAGGCCAATGGTGAATGCACCAACGGTGTTTGCGACTTGATTTGCGCCCAACTTCTTGGTGGAGAAGTAATTTGTAACGTATCCGCATACACCCATGATGACGGTGACGGGGAGTTGTTTAGGTTTGGCTTGATTGATGAGTGCAGCGAAGAGGCAGAAGAGAGCGACAAAGGGGAAATGCTGGATGTATTCATTGCCCCATGGGCCGGTGGGATTGGGGCAGGTAGAGTCGGCAGTGGCGTTGTTGTCCATGAGGCCGTAGATGGTGGTACCGACGGTGACACCGTAGCCGAGGAACAGAGAATAGATGAGGGTGAAGACCATGCGGATGGATCCGGCATTCATCTGGTGGCTTTGCAGTTCGAGAGAGGATGAAAGAACGGCAAATCCGGGGAGAATCATAGCGATGGAGGATTGAGCCATGGCGGCGAAACAAAACACTCGCTCGCCGTTGTGACTGATACTTCCAACGGCGCGGGCGAGAAAGGAGGTGAGGATTGCGGCGGAGACTTCAAGGACGTTGGTGTAAGTGGCAGATGAAGGCGCAAGGACATGTTGCATGAATCCGACCAGACAGCCAAGAATGAAGATGATGGGAAGGTCGATAGGCCGGGCAGAGAAGGCGTAGGGCCCCACCGCTACACTGGCCAGGCCTGTGAGAAGAATGAGAATCCAGCGGTTGTATCGAGGTTTACATTGCATGATTGTGTCCAGTTGGCCGGTAGCCTCGTCAACACTGATCACATCGTGCACGACGTTCTTGTAGACATTGTGAGTCTCGGCCAGTCGTGAAAGATCCAGACCCTGCACCACACGGATAATCTTCACCTCGGCGGTGCGAGTTAACGGATCGTCGAATGACATGAACATGCAGCCTGGGATGTAGAGGAATTGCGCGTTGACGTCGAGAACATTGGACGTCATCACCATGTACTCCTCCAGACGATGAGTGGGTGCACCGTACTTCATCAATGCGCGGCACAACTGCATGATGTACTGCTGGCGGGCAAGCATGGCAGCAATGTGGACGGTCAATTTGACTTCCTGTGCATTCTTGCGTTTCCGCTTTCGTCTCTCTTTCGCTGTCATGGGTGGAGGGCCATGAGCGGCTGGAACGCCGACTCGACCCATACCCATGGATGCTGAGATGAGGGATGAAGTGTAGTGATGTCCCGAAGGCTTCTGGCTCACATTTTCCCTGCTATTGTTGGCGCTCTTATACCATTTGACCTTTTCTTTCTTTCCCGTCGGGGTTCCAACCGCGGGGGTCGCAGTCCCTGTATTCGTTCCGGTATTCGTCCATGTAGCTACGCCCGGCATGGGCGTGGCATTGCCCGGCGTCCCTGATCCTGAGTGTCTGTACGGGAGAGTCTCCGTCTCGGGGTCCGAGGCGGCTGCCGTGGTGGCCACACTCATACGACTTGCCGATTCCATGTTGTTGGCATACACACGGAGGAGATGTGACAAGAGGCCCCCATTGAGCGGCGTGGATGCACCGCTCTCGCCCGGCGTCATCGCACCTGGGGTGGTTGCACCCGATTGCCCCTCGCCCGTATCAGAACCTAAAACACCGCTCGACTGTCGCCGATGATGCCGAAGTCCTAATTGTCGAAGCAAATGCTGCGCTTGTGAGTTGTGGTCAGTACCCATCAACCGCTGTTCTTCATCCGCCGCCATGCGCGCCTCGTGGCTTTTGATATCGTCGGTGGCACCATAGTATTCTGGGCCCATGCTGGCCGCCAGGTCGTCCGAGTCTCGTTCATGTGGTCGACCGAGTGCCTGGGCTATTGTGCCCGCCCGTTCGCGAATACGCTGACTGACTGTCTTCCACCGGTCAGGAGCGGATTTGGTGCTGTCTTTTTCAATCACATCGTCCTCGGCGTTGGCGGTTGCGGCAGGACGGGGACTCTTTGGTTGACCTGCATCGGGCTTGGGCTTGGGCTCTGAGTGATGCTCTGAGTGGTGCTCTTCCTCCAATCTTGGCGTTTGAGACCCTGAACCTTGACTGGACCGAAGGTTAGGCGTCTCCGGGTTCTTCTCATCAAAATATGACATTCGGATTGAATCGGTGGCGGCAGGAACCAAATCCTGCCGGAAGCAAGCGGAGATATGAAAGGAGAGTGTATCAGTGGGAGGTGAACCCGCGATGGCTCTGTTGAATCGGCCGTGATTAGGCAGAGATGTGCGCAGGACTGCTTGAAGAAGTTGCAGGCCCAGGGTCAAGAATGATGGCGAAGATGGAAAATCTGGGGAGGGAAAAAGAAAGGGGAAGCAAAAGCCACGCGGAGCCGATGCTTTCTTTGTATGTACAGTACGCAGCAAAGTAACGAGGATAGCCGACAGAGGGCCTGTAGAGGAAAGAAAGTGGGGTGGGATTTATTGAAATTGTCCACTCAGACTGGCCACGTGTGGGGAAAATGGGAATTTCGAAGGGGCCGTGGTGGATTGCCCCGACGAGTCATGTCGGGGGGATTTGTTGCCGTCGAGCCGAGAACGTCTGGGCCGCGTCAGAGGAGGAGGAGAAGAGTGTATGTAGAGGTACCCTGTCGGCCTTGGATATCCGAGTCATTTTCAGAATGAGCGATGTGTGTATCACTGATCGTTTCAGTCTTTTGCAGCCGACTGTTACTCAAGACATAGTCGTGTTGACAAGCTATCTAGAAATGTTGTCCCACTAGCCTGATAGTAACCTATGGCTACATACACCCGGACCAGACTGGATGTGCCACTGGGACAGGCGCATTGGAACAAGGGGACACCAAGCCATCGGGTCGACCACCTTGTGGGATTATACCAAAAGGACGAGCACATCGGTGGAATCAGTCGTATGTAGACATGATACGTCATGCGTGTCCTTGGTAAAGCCACGGAGAAAGACTTGGGTTATGCGTCCCAAAAGTTAAACTGTCAACAACAGCAAATCCAACGAACTCTGGATAAAAACAAGCTTCTGTCAATTGATCGCTGGGCGTCAAAGTGACGCTAGTCCTGCACTATTTAGTATCTACGCCGCGGAGAAATGATGTGGCGTGGAACATAACTTTATACAGATTTTCTCAGTGATCGAGGGTATCCGTTTTTGCCGCGCACTGGACTCATCCTCAATAAATGCACCTGTCAGTGCGTTCATACAGGATCTACTGGTTGTGCGGACCTTTCCCATTATCATGATGATTCTACTTCGTCATCCCGTACCGCCCCATGTCGCTCCCTCCACATGGGTCAATCAGAATGCTGTCCGACGACATCTGGTACGCGATCAGCATGATGTCAGGCCTGCAGATGATCTGGCACTTTATCAATCCAGACCAGTCACTTTGGAATCATTACCAGCAAACAATATGTGTCAGCCAAGGCTTTGCCCTGGAGTCGCGTATCTAGCAGCACAGCAAGGACCGCACTGGAAATGTCGCGAGCAAAGTTATTTCACGCCCTAGATCAGAGCGAAGAGTTTGTAACTTTCCCAAAAATAGAGAGCGACTATTCGCGGCACTTGAAAATCTCAGCAGTTACGCCGGAGAACCTCCTTGGTTGGTTGCTTGTGCCCGTCTTCGCTCTTGCGCCCAACTAGAACAATCCTTCGCGTGGCTTGCTCGGTCCGATCATGTGACGTTCTAGAACCCGCGTTGCACGGCTCACCTAACCATTTGGCTTGCTTGTCCGGGGCACGTGCGATGCTAATTTTAGATTCTTCGATCCATCGCAGGGGCTTGTAGAGCACACAGCAGGTCGATCAGGGTCATGAACCTGCCTCTGAACCTGCCTTCAAAGGGCACCTTTCCTTACAAAGCGGAGTGATGGCCTACTGGCCTTGCCACTTTTTGAATCGCCGGGCCGGACAACATTGAATGCCAAGCATTATCTTAATTCTAAAACGGCTGGTAAATGCCGGGCCGAGGCTTTGCGATCCACACCCTATATTCAAGCCTAGACCAGTGGGGAGATCACCAGAAAAATCGATGATGGCATGTGCTGTAAATAAGTCAGGGCCACTTTGTTGTAATCATTCATCTAACGCACTTAGTACATTGGGTGAACTCTTATGATTAACCCCAGCGAACTTGATTGAAAAGAGGCATCGGCTGAGACGCAAGTCAGATCAATACAAGCTTTGAATTCAACAAGAGATTGGCTATGCGACCCGTATAGAGCCCGACCGAGTCTCGCCACACGTATGAGCGAACAGCATCTGAACTTACCTGAAATGCCCAATTTGAAGTTGAGGAGTTTTAGCCAGACAAAAGGAAAAGTCAGAAGTCCGTCAATTGATGACTTATCATACAGCTTCATCTGCTTGAATTCTCTCAAAACCCCTGATACGGCTTTTTCAAGTCCCGTAGGCAATCTCGCCGCCTCGCCGCCCACTCATCTAATACGAATTTGTATTTCTCTCGTGATTGAATTAGAAGAGGATAGAGTTTGCGGGTAGGGTAATTGTGAGGAAAGAAGAGAATCAATGCGAGGACCGAGCTGAATACCTTATCACACTCAGTATTCGACGATAGCTGGAATATACCAGAACCTGAAGGCTCTAGCTAGTATTCCTTGAGAGATCATTGGATGCCGGTATAGGACTAGGTCACTAGGACAAAACTCTGGGCAAATTGTATATTTCCTTCGAGCCGTCATTGCTTTCTGTAAAAGGATCAAGAAGCAATGAGAAACAAACAGCATTCTTTTATCGGGTAAATGCTCTCACAATTTATTCATCTTGTCCATTGAACGAGATTCTCTTCCGGTCTCCAGTCGAATAGGTCTCGATACAATCGACCTTGATTCAATAATCACCAACGTGATCACATGAAATTCGGTCACTGAGCATAGATAAGTAAGAAGGGTACCTTGCCAGACGCGAAATAGCTACTTAACACAAAGTATGTATCATTTTGGATAGCGGATGATTACATGTGCATCGGAAATAGACCCAAAAAGAACTAGAGATTTGACTTTCATCCTTCTAGGAGCATACGAGTATTCATAGGGCGAGACTTGCTCCCCCTGGGGAAGAGACTGCGAAGTGAAACCACTGCTCTAATTAATTCGTTGACTGCTAGCCGACTGTAACAATAGCGGGCAGCAGGAAAGAATCGAGTGGATAGAGACTGAGAGTAGGCTAAATCACATGGCTTTACCAAAGTCACATGATTTTACCAAGGAAGAAATCAATCAGCGGCCGAAGATCCAGCCGGAGGTGACATTTAGCCCCTGGGGACATAGTTAAGAGGCGTTTTAAAAGAAGAGACACGCGACCCAGATCAGACGGTATTACCCGAAGATAATCACACAAAACACAGCCCATCAGATCGTGGCATTCCCGACGGAAGTGAAAGTGAAATATAGCGCCATGATAGCGCTGCTTCGCTCCGCAATTATTTTACCGGACCCGCGCAGCTGCGCAGGCCATGGCAAGGTCAATTTTAGGTAACTTCGACATTTCACCAGTAGTAATACTCATGCCTTGATCTTCCCATTCTTTCTCCAGCAGGCTGGGCCAACCAGTCATGGCCCCGCCTTTTGGCACATTCAAATGAGGGATGTCTGCGGAGTGAGGTCATTCTATCTTCACCCCTGCTGTTAGAAGAATATCTTTTTAGACAGTTCTCGCTCGCATTGGAAATCTTATTAGAGTATATAGTATGGTTCAATCTTCTTCATTTTGAAAAAGATGCGGGAGATGTAAAGCCATCCATTATACCACTTATATCTAGAACCTCATCCATTTATCAAAAGCCTTGGTGGCTTATACGCAATTACATGCCCCAAAGTTCTCCGCTCCAACAAGATCAGGTTGTCCCAATACTTGTTTCAATGAGTGCCTAGTCTGTACGGCTGTCTAGAAGACTAGGACACTACGCAACGACCTCTCCAGCTCTATCCAATATCTACGCGGGTGTGAAGTTGGATCACCAGGCTGGATGCTTCGTTCCTTCTACGAATTCGTTCCCCATACTTAGCTAAAGCAAGCGTTGGAATTATTGAGCTTTTGCTCTCGAGATCATCCTGTCAAGGCGCACTCGAGAAACAACGGGTTCTCTCATTCTGACCATTGAAAATGATAATGTGCAGCTGGAGAAGCCATAGACAAAGGCTTTAGACTGTTGGACGTTACCGTACCGAGAAAAAAAGGACTGGGCATGCGACTTCGGAGGTAGCAGATATAGGCCTCGTCGCCTCGATGATGAGACTGATGTAAAGGGCGAGGTCCCATGAAACTTGGGAGACTGCCTACATTAGCCACTCTCGCTGAGGTTTCACTGGGATAGTAGCAGCGTCCACTCCATGGCTCTTTCACGGTTGATGTTCGTATGGCATGTGATATTGCGGTCTCACCGGCGTTCGGGACTTCGTGGTAGTAGCAGAGCAGAGCATTTCCGATTGATCTCGGCCCGGATCTCGATGATAGTCATTCGCCACCTGTACTGGATGTGTGTATGGCCGTTTTCCGGGCATCTGTCAACCTTGGCTACCTGGTACCTTGATAATAGTAAGGCACCTAGGCATCGGGTAATAGGCAAGGTATCATATGCATGGGCCATCAAGGCCATCACATGTACCTGATCTGACACGTCTGGGATCCTCCGCCGTCTGAGCGGAATTCTTTCTGGGCATTGTGCTTGGCGGTGGTTGTGCACATGACTCGGTAAGCAGTAGGTAGTACCTAGTAGGTAGTAGGACTAGGTACTAGGTAGTAAGTACTCGGAAGCAGTTGCCCATGACCGCCTTGACTGAATCGCTGCATGTAGGTACCTGGGCAGTATCACAGTCGGGCGAGATGTAGCGGGACAGGAGGTTCTTGACTTGTCGACCTACTTGAAACCCCAAATAGCTTACGAGAATCTCCGAAAGATCTATGGAAAGGTCTTCCCCGAAAGAGCGTCGGGTTGATCCGTACTCAGTAGTGAATTATATGTACCGTACTGTCTGTACATCAATTCCACATGACTTCATGCCATGCCTTCCGGGCCAACTTGATCTGAGCGGGTCCACTCCCAGAGTCGATGCGGCTGGGTAGCTACTAGCCAGTAACTGGACCGGGATCAAGTATGATTTCTTCA